GCGGGGATTAAACTCTGCTGTAATGGCTTCTTAATGAGTCCCAACAAAAGGCTCTCTGCAGGAACAATATTTACGCACATTTATAATGAGGAAGACTGGGGCGCCCTCGCCAACCTCTTTGCGATCCAACTTCGCATATTTAATTTTAATGTTCGTCCGCTGGGGCGCATCCTTGGACTGGCCCATAGTGATAAACGGGGCTCAAACTTTCGGCACCCACTTATATCAATTTACAGAAAACCAACATGGCAAATATTTGTTGACGATGACCATTGGACGCACGCAAATCATAAATTCAAACTTTCATCGCATAATTTGCGATCTCTATAATAGCCACTTTATATGTGGATAGACTGTACCTATGCTATTAACGTATAATTATATTTTTTAACCCTATCAGTATACAGAAATAAATTTACGTGATGAAAGTCAACTAAGTTGAACAAAATGGTGATATCGTAGCGTGTCTTAGCCATACAACAACCTTCCTATCTTTTCTACATATTGCCATTAGGGAGAAGAAGACTTGGAGATTGACATTGAGCTCTTACTTAAGCATTTCATTTAACAAGTTCGGTTTATGCATAAGCGTCCAAGGGTTGAAGTTAACGACTGCCAGCGCCACGCTCACGTCGTTAGCGATCGGGTTTACGATCCTGAGCCAAGATCCCTGGAGTCTTTAAAATAATATTATATCTTAAGTTATTTGCAAACCCACAGAAACAATAGAACTTTACACAATGTTCATTTAACTAACCGACTTACATTTGGAGAGGTCTACAACAAAACCAGATATCTTAGTTGTTGTATTTCACGATGGCGAGTGAGCTTTACATGTGTGATGGCTCGCTACTGTTCGTATTCCAAAAGTTTTGATAGAAATTACACTATCGTTATGTGCATGTACGGTCAACAGCACGTCAACGTAAACACTCTGGTATCTTACGTAGTTGCGATACGGGCGACTTTGCAACGAAAATGTATAGCTTGATGTACTGTCGACTGTACACGTACACACGCAGTACTCTTAAATCTCACTCGCCTTCGTGAGTTGCAAGTTGCATCCTCTGACATCTACCACGAAAATATTAAGCAAATATTTCGTAGGAATGTCTATCGTTCGTTTCTGTTAATATTACTTTTTACTTTAAAATTAAGAATAAATCAAATAATAAAAATAAAAATAAGAAGGTTAATTAAATATTGGCACAGAATAAATGAAACAATTGAAATATTTAATTAACATTTATTTTGTACATACGTATCTACCTACAAAGAAGCTAACTATAAAATAATACCAATTTATAACTATTTGTATGTAGTTATACTTATGTAATGATAAAATTAGGCCAGGTATCCATTAGACTTAAATGTTACATTAACAAATTAATTGTAAGCCTATACTTATCCTAATAATTTTTTTTAGATTTTAATTTTTTTGAACGAAGAAGTTAGAATAAGAATGAATTAGAGTATGATCGAAATTTACTCTTTAAAGAAGTGTAATGTATACCTGGCTTTATAGAGATCAGACGCGATAATAATCAAAGTTATGTAGTCAAAGAGACATGTCTGAAAAACGTATTATTATAAAATAAAAAGCTTGTAAAAATAACAAATCGAATACCTATTTACTTCGGTAACTCTTATTTTTCAAATGTTAAGAAAATAAATTGCAAACATATTATACATATCAAAAGTAAAATCGCGATCTTAAAAATATTACCTAACAACAATAATAACTATTATATTGGTGTTTTAATTGCACTGAAAATTCAGTTCTGAATTCTGAATACCTCTACATAATTTACTATTATGTAGTCACTAAACACATAGATACACAGTAAGAATTATTAAGATACACGAATAGATCATAATGTTCATAAATTCGTTGGCCCAAAAAAATTACAATGTCAAGCATTTAATATTTGTAAAAAAAATATTTCGGTATCCAAAATACTAGAAGTTGCATCAAATGAAAAAGGTTTATATTATTTTATAATAGAGTTTATATTTAACTAGCTCGGAACAGGGGGTACAATAAAAAGATGATCAAGTAACAGTCAGTCTAAATGCTACAAGTACTCTACTGATTTTGAACGTTACGTCTTTTGTATAAAGGTTCAAAATTAATTGAGGATTTGTTATTTAACATTGTTGGTGGATTCTGTTCCAGTACGATTTAAGATATTATGCAACTGACCCCATGATTCTTGTTAGTTAAACTGCAAAACTATTATAATATCTAACACAACTAAACAAATGAAACTTATAGTTACCTAACCACAGTCTTTTATTTTGCCTTAGAAGCGGACATCCCTGTTTTATTAATTCAATCGTTAGATATTACTATTATGTATACAAATGATGAAGGAACTAGTAGTTGTATTTGTTTAGTTTCGAAGAAATATTCCATTTTGTGATTTTATAAAAAAAACTGTTTTAGAAGCATATTTTCTAAAAAAATTACATTAAGTCAGAATTTTGTAAATAAATTTACCTATCACTATAACGTCTACCTTTATGTAAAAATAAATGGTTATTGCTGCAGTAATTTAGGAATTATTTAATAATTTATGATTTTCAGAAAACATTTTTTTCTCTGTTGTCCTAGAAAAATGGCAGCTAGACTTACTTTATATTGATGCATGATATAATTATCTATAATACCTGAAAATATTACTTGCCTATCCCGTGGAAGTTCGATGATACGACTAGAAAAATTTGTCAAAAGTAATATTGACTAAGGCCATCGGTCAAAACCACTATTAACTGAAATTTGCAGTCAAAAGTGGTTTTGATCGATTATGAGTTTTGACTGCAACATATATATCGATGTTTCGAAAACGATAGGATTTCCAATAAGCCGCCACAGGGCCAACTCTATAATTATCAAACTCGACCAGACAAATTAATAATGGTAAAAGCAATGAATTTCAATAGTTATCTAACAAAGGCATTAAAACCGTATTGTTACGGACGGCATTTAAAAAACTAAAAAATATTTAGATGACAACCCTATTTACATATAAATCTTCTAAACTCATAGAAATTAAAATATCTTCGAACTTCCACGGGATAGGCAAGTAATATTTTCAGGTATTATAGATAATTATATCATGCATCAATATAAAGTAAGTCTAGCTGCCATTTTTCTAGGACAACAGAGAAAAAAATGTTTTCTGAAAATCATAAATTATTAAATAATTCCTAAATTACTGCAGCAATAACCATTTATTTTTACATAAAGGTAGACGTTATAGTGATAGGTAAATTTATTTACAAAATTCTGACTTAATGTAATTTTTTTTAGAAAATATGCTTCTAAAACAGTTTTTTTTATAAAATCACAAAATCGAATATTTCTTCGAAACTAAACAAATACAACTACTAGTTCCTTCATCAATTGTATACATAATAGTAATATCTAACGATTGAATTAATAAAACAGGGATGTCCGCATCTAAGCCAAAATAAAACACTGTGCTAACGTAACACAATTTAAACAAACACTAACGTCTAGCATGTCTTTATTTTATTATTCATATTCGTCACAATATTACATTGAAATCACTACAAGATATCGGTACAGTCTACTTTTATAAGAAGTCTGATTAAGTCTTTTTGCAAAGGCATGATAATGACATTATAAATTCATATTCACAGCATTTAAATAATGCTCTAAACAAATAACGAAGAAACTTTAAATTTGAAGTCATAATAAGCTATAGCAAATAATGGTTGCATTTAACAACTTACTATATTTTAGATGACCATGCTAGTAAACGTTTAGGTGTTTTCCATTTTACAACGGCAATAATAAAGTCACATGCCGTTGCCAATGATGGTAAATGAAAATACGCACTATTGCAACGCATCGTGAAAAGAAACAAACATAATGTCTATTTACGTGCAACTAAAGTCAAGTTTTTAAACAAGTCAAACCAATGACGTCGCTATAAATACATACAGTCCTCATATTCAGTACAAGAATATCGTTCTTATTATATTCTGTCAGTGTTTATTGAAAATACACCGTTTTTTCTGCTGCCTACTCTATTTAAAACACATTTAATGAACGTGCCCGAGTAGCAAACGACCGGATTAAAGGATCCCACTGCATTAAGTAAAGATAAACCCTCAATTGTTCCATGATTATACTTCTCAGAGTATCAATTTTAAATTTCCAATAAAAATCTTTCGAAATAACTCTACGACATCGTAATAATTTAAACTTAACTCTAGCACAGTGATTACACAAAACTAATACGAACAACTTTAGAATAAAATGCATACATCATTAATAATCACATAGTAGGTACCTCAATGCAAAAAAAGTTTTGTTCCTTTAAAAACAATCAATTATGCATTAAAAATCACATTTATATCAGCAGTAACATAAGAAGCACCCTTTAAATATCATCACTTAACAATAAAAGCGTCTACGTCTTATATAAAAATAATAAATGCTCAATAAAAACATACGGCGTAACACTTCATAAATCAACACATACTCACGAATAAAATATATTGTGTACGGTTACTCTAACTACACAGGAAGGGCTGGCAAACAAACGACCGAGAAGCGAAGCGTGCAGCGGTCAGCGCGGGAATAAGGAACGAGCCTCCCTGAGCTCACTAGCTCGCTCGCTCGCAGCGCGAGGCGAGCTAGCCGTAACCCAGGGTGACGCGGCGTGCTCATACATATTACATACAGTCAGCAAACACGCGATAAATACTACGCTAGGTGCTCAGGATAGGGTGAACGAATTGCGGGAAACACTAAAACGAAGCGATATAAAAACAACAAATCAAACGGATAAAGTGCATCACGTCAAAATAGGAAAACGTACCTACGATTTTTTATTATTTTTAATATTTTTTTTTCATGTCTAAAAATGCAATCTATGTTAGAGATTACAAAGGGGGAGTCCTGGAACGCTCCCACGGCCGCGCGGCCGTCCGAGTGCTCCAGTGCTCGAGTCGAGTGTCGATTTCCAGCTGACATGAATTACGCACTTTCAGCAAAGAAAAATATGTCAAAACACTACTAACATTTTCGACTTGCGACTAGTGAAATCAACTCTACTTGACCATTTATCGATTAGTTGTTTTTTTTATTCGTTATAAAACCTCGATTAGTTCGTCCACGAATGCACTATGTTTTAGTATTATACCCCTATCTATCTTCGACACCTTGTTATCGGTTACACACCAAAGTAAACTTTCGCGTTTTCATATAGCCTGTATATGAGAAGGAAAGTTCCGAACGCTTTATGAGTACGATTGCCAATAGTTGTATACCGTGTCCTGTGTTAATCTATGTTGCGATACTAAACACATTTTTATGATTGCTATTAGTTACCGCATTTATTTTAAACTGAGTACCTATTTCGTCATTGAAATAATACAAGTCGGCAATTACGAAGTCTACTTGTTAAGGTATAAACGTAATGGCGATCGTACCAGTTTAAAATCGATATCAAAGTGTATTATTACACATTGTTTTTCAATAATTCCTACGAAATTTACCTTAAGTTTAGCCAATTCTATAAATTAAATTTTTAAATTTTGAATTTCATTATTCGATTACAGGTATCTCACGAAGAGTACTAATTGTTTTACGATGTGATATGTGTCGATCGATCAATAAATGAGACGTGACGGTTTTGAGTGTGCCGTTGCGGTTTACCGAGTGGTAGAAACCATTTTCGTTTGAGGAAATTAAGAAAACGTTTTGACGGGTTATTGTCGACTTGCCACAAAGAAGGTTAGTCACAAAAAAGAACGTGTAAATACGTCACACTATCGGTAACCAATGGTTACAGCTTTATATTTATGACGAATTTACATTCAATGAATAGATCTTACGAGTGACGTATCGATTTTGTGGCGAATCGACGATAACCCAATTCGATCACGTTACCAAACGTGTTGCATTACTTTCCTTCTCATTTCCACTGTAAACTCGTCACGCCCGAGAATGTTCATGAGATGTCGTGTTGTGTTCGCCTGCTGATTGGACAATGGTATCTAGAGTTGACATACTGTGAAGTGCCACCGCGCGGTGCCTGGCCTCTACTCTTCTAAGCCAGCGTCCTCACTGATTGTTTCACCCGCTCTTTCTTGGGAAATGTTTTGACCTGAAACACCATTTACACATTTAATGTGGGAAAGAACATAATTTATCCTAAGTAGGTGAAGTGAGAGACCTATGTGAGAACCTTGAGTGATACCTGTCATCTTAATATTACTGTTGTAATAGAGTACAAGAGGCGAAAACGAATGAAATTATTAAAGGCTTACAGTGAAGTCAAAATTGGCCGTTGGCTGTAATTATTATTTTCTAAACTTTGGTTGGAGGCTTTTCATACATTTGCGTCATCGTGTTTGACACTTACCCTTTTTCGCTGATGAAAGTATGCACTTCTTGCAGCTTATGAAGAAAAAGGAGACACATTGGAATTTGGTGTGGAAGGCATGAGGTCCATCGTCTTGCACACCCAGCCCGCTATGTCTACTTTCTCTGCGTCCGCTTTGCGAATCCAATCGTGGCTCTGAAAAGATTAAGATGAAAAATTACGTCAATCACAATGGATTTTCAAAACATGCAGTAAGCCTGTTAAGTGTGGTCAGAGGGATTATGGTTACAAAAATCTGCAAATTGAAAATGTAACCACTAGATACAGTAACAAGGTAGCATATCCACTGAAGAAATTGATCATGGTGGGTACTGTAGTAAGTAGTAATAAAGGTAGAAATAATTTGGTTTAACAAGCAGTAGAGAAGGTAGAAAGATGGCAAGATTTTAATTAGTATTGGATATAAGTAATTATTGAACAAAAAAGAACTACACTAGTACATATTCTAATTCTGTGTAATAATTATCTTCATAATGTTCCGAACTTGACTCATAGTAATTTAATATTCCTACATACTGAAATTATGCAAACTCTGAGTCTTCCTAAAATAAATAAATAAAATCTAAGTCAAAGTCCAAATTTCTTTATTGGCATAGACTATTAAAAATAGTGCTTATTACATATCCTCAAATATTAAAGAAAATCAACTCTTCACTCACCATCAAAGTCTTCAAGTCGGCGCGCTCGTCAGGGTTCTTCTTGAGGCAGCGGTCGACGAAGTCCTTGAACTCGTCGGAGAATATCCCCGCTGGCAGCTTGGGCGGCGGCTCGTTCACGATGTAGTCTAGCAACTCGAAGATCGCCATAGGTCGCGGCGAGTTCGGCGCCTGCGAAACACGATTTTGAGCTTTGATAGCTACCAATAAGGTCTGATGTCACAATATCAATATGTACGTTTTGTGTACGCCTGCTGCAGCTTAGCTGCTGTTAAAATTATATCACGGTAATCGTAAAGCCGTAATTATGTTGCTATCGCGCTCGCACACTCACTGCGGGTGCCAGTCGCACAGTCGCGACAGCAATATAATTACGCGCGAGCGATAAGGATGGGTAGCTAGGGGTCATTGGACAAAATTCTACGTGCTCACGGACCAGACTATAGAATCCTGCATGTAAGCCCACTATTGTAAGCTGCGTAACTTCAAGCGGTAAGTACGAATACTTGTCTATGAATCTATGGCTCTGTGGACAGTATGCCTAATGCTAAGATATTTTCGAGCCCTAAAAATCAATTACCTAGTTTTCATTTTTCAATCAAAGTAGGTAAATATCGATATTTTGATTAATGATTATTCAATTGAGTTGACGTAATAGTGACGTCATCGGGTAAATCTGAAATAGTTTAGCATGCATGCATGTTTTTTATAGTCTAAATGAATATTTTGGTACCAAAAATAATTAAACTCTAACTTTATTACTGTATTTTAACTATTGCATGCCCGATATGGGTAACACTGTTGTAACTATTTTTTTGCATTGTGACCAGCACAAATTGTACACAGTTTTGGCAATAAAGATTATTCTATTCTATTCTATTCATGTAATGAAATTATTTTTTTTCAACGAATCATCAACCTACCTGTCCAGGCGAGTGATCCTCGTTCTGCCCGCCGAATATGGCGGCGAGGGTCTTGGCGTCGGGCGGCGGGATGGGATACATGCCGATGGCCANTGCGTGCCCTGGAGGCGCTCCGGCTGGGTGACAAAATTATCTACTAATAAAAATAAGTCGGGTTTTCCTTCCTGACGCTATAACTCCAGAACGCACGAACCGATTTCCACGGTTTTGCATTCGTTGGAGAGGTCTCGGGCTCCGTGAGGTTTATAGCAAAGAAAATTCAGGAAAAATTTAAAGGGGATAAAACGGGATCCACGCGCACTAAGTCGCGGGCGGCCGCTAGTTAACAATGAGTAAAAGAGGACGTTTAAACAATAGCTATCTCCACCAGCGACAGCCCGAGCGACCAGATGTCCGACAGGACGGAGTAGTGCGTGCCTTGGAGGCGCTCCGGCTGGGTGACAAAATTATTAACAATAAGTAAAAGAGGTCGTTTAGAGCTATATTTCACCGGGACACCATGGCGGCGCAACCAGTCGCCGCTATCAACAAAATGTATACAGCTTTGCGCAACCAAACGGACACCAGGTGAGTAACTCTCTATAGAGCTGCATAAATTTTGTTGGTAGCCGGCGACCATGGTGTCCCGGTGAAATATTCGCATTATACAATGGCTATCTCCACCAGCGAGAAGCCGCGCTCCGGCTGTACGACAAATTGCAAATTAAAATAACAAATTAATATCCTTGGATGCGGGAAATGTAGTACTGGTGATTTTGACAAAAAAAAAACTTGAGGGTGGTCTTTCTCTAGCAGTGAATGTCATTGGCTAAATAAAATGCACCCACGAATATCTTTTACACACAAATAATGTGAATTTTATACTTATCAATCAGTTTGTTTTATTATGATTAAGAGCGTTTACGTCTAGCGTGGCATGTCAAGTTTAGGTATAGCCTGACCAGGAACATAAAAACCCTGGCATAGAGGCGCCTCAATTGCATTTGATAGTGCAACACTGAGTACAGTCGTACATGTGTTAAATTAATAGGCTAAATTTATGTATCAGGATTCAGGATTACGGGCTAATTTGATATTTTCATAAATTACCGAAAAAATATTATTAATGGTAACCTGGTTTAATAAATTAAATGAAACCATCAATCGAGCTAGTAGGATTTATTTTATTATTCATCAATAATCAAATTCAGAACTTGAATATTCAACTGCAATGTCTGCTCATGAACGCTTTAAACTCGGTACTTCTTTCCCAATTCCATAAAATTCAAAACTTAGAAAGTGACAAAAACCTTTAAAATAGGTAGTTGAAACAGACTACAACTAATTTTCATAGTGGACTGTACTATACGATATACATGTCAGTCAATTTGACAACCTTTGTCGGAAACATTATTCAATGAAAATATTGTCCGAACCGTTAGTATTTCTCTTCGACAAATACATTAACACATTGTGAACCACTTTTCTTTCACGACTATAAAAATATTTTAGCAATTTAATTCACAAAATCAATTGCACACATTTAAAATAAAGTTTGTTTACACTTTGACAACAATAGACTGACATGCAAGGTGACATGTCAATGAAGTTTCAGTTACTGTTGCCACTAAAAGAAATTAGTACCATTAGTTTTCCGCAACATGGCGAGGGTTTTTATGTTCCTGGTCAGGCTATAATTTCGATGCTAGTTTTATTCACACTAAAATAATTATGACTGTGTGCGTGTTCTCACGCTCTATAGTCGAACCAAAATACTTTGATCCACCATCGTAAAAGTGTGCCAGGCTGTCAAGTGACAGCTTAAGGAAACTATAAAATCTTCAAATCTTCCAACACCGACTCCATAATTATAAATAATGGTATACATTAGTCCTAATCAGTGAACCACTTTTCTTTCACGACTATAAAAATATTTTAGCAATTTAATTCACAAAATCAATTGCACACATTTAAAATAAAGTTTGTTTACACTTTGACAACAATAGACTGATATGCAAGGTGACATGTCAATGAAGTTTCAGTTACTGTTGCCACTAAAAGAAATTAGTACCATTAGTTTTCCGCAACATGGCGAGGGTTTTTATGTTCCTGGTCAGGCTATAATTTCGATGCTAGTTTTATTCACACTAAAATAATTATGACTGTGTGCGTGTTCTCACGCTCTATAGTCGAACCAAAATACTTTGATCCACCATCGTAAAAGTGTGCCAGGCTGTCAAGTGACAGCTTAAGGAAACTATAAAATCTTCAAATCTTCCAACACCGACTCCATAATTATAAATAATGGTATACATTAGTCCTAATCAATAATAAATACGTAAATTCTTTATCAAATAGTAAATTATCAAAGGTTTTTTACTATTTTGAGAATATTTTATACAGCCTATGTTCAGCAGAAAAAAATTTGAATTTTAATGGTGAGAGATTTTTTCAAATCGTTTCTATTCAAAACAAACTTTTCCTGTTTACTATTCTTTTTTTTATCCGGAAAATGCATAACATTTCATAACCACCAGCTGCGGGGGCAGCTAGTGGGTTATGTGGGGTTCTTCCTACCAGAAGGTGGGTAGCCCCTACACCCACTAAAAACCTGACTGTTTCTGCCATGATCCATATGAGTGATATGAGGGAACGGGACAGTTAATCAATAATAAATACGTAAATTCTTTATCAAATAGTAAATTATCAAAGGTTTTTTACTATTTTGAGAATATTTTATACAGCCTATGTTCAGCAGAAAAAAATTTGAATTTTAATGGTGAGAGATTTTTTCAAATCGTTTCTATTCAAAACAAACTTTTCCTGTTTACTATTCTTTTTTTTATCCGGAAAATGCATAACATTTCATAACCACCAGCTGCGGGGGCAGCTAGTGGGTTATGTGGGGTTCTTCCTACCAGAAGGTGGGTAGCCCCTACACCCACTAAAAACCTGACTGTTTCTGCCATGATCCATATGAGTGATATGAGGGAACGGGACAGTTGGGGACCATAAACTGTCCTCTTGCGCCCAGGGTGTCGGCGGCGGATAACGGGAGTGTCGGCTGACGCCTCTCGCTCCCCCTTTCCACTGAAAGTAAGCACACTATATCATAAGATTATTTGTCTCATCATATATTTTATACTAATGTAGATATTGTTTCCGAAAGCGAGCGGGTTCATTCCGTACCTGTACGCTTCATGCGTTCTCTAGCAAAAGCTGAAAATCAGTGTTCTGCCCTTTTGAGGGTAGTGTTTATACTGAGCTCTTTGCTTTTTGCATCGCTGCGGCACACATCACTCTGACGCAGGGAACTATTTGAAACACTAGTCATCTTTATCTTATGTTGTTTTGGCACTTTTGTTATGTTGCAACTGTTGAAATTATTACTAACCTGTGTAACAAAATACCAGTGGTGTCACCTAGTGTGTTTCTTGACTAACTAACTTTATTTCGATATTGAATTGAATTTCAATAGCAACTATACATATTATAATGTGTGTGTTAAAAGCATTAAAAAAAGTGTCTTACAACAAATAAACAATTTATCTATCTATCTCACGCCTCTTCCCGATTGGTAGGGAGAGGTCATTTCCAACCGCCGCTCGTTCGCTTAGGCTGGGCACTGTTGGAGCGTGTCAGTCTGCTGCGGTGACTCACGTGCCAAGACTGCAGTGTTAACTGACAACCATCTACAGGCTCTCGGCCTATACGGTGGAGGAATGGCCCGAAGCACCCATGGCCCGGTAGAACCTGGGTCGCCCTTTGTGTGAGGCGATCATGCCGTCGCACCCACTCCTCTAATACAGGCAGAACTGCCTCTATGGTGCTACGTAAAATTTGGCTGACGGCCAGGCGTACCCTTCAGCACTCTAGGGCCTAGATCCTCAAGCCTCTACCTTTTGGTTTCCACCTCTCGTGGTGCACGTACACGTACATTTCCCCTTGGGACCTATGGTCACCTCGCAACTGGCATCTATTCTCGGTTGTCGACACTAGCTTTGTCGCCACTGAGGATAAATGGCATAAATAAAAATGGAAAATGAAAATGAAATTTTTTTATTGCTACACTAAAAAATAAATTACTTACATGTGAATGGGTACACAGAAATAAAGAAAAACAGAAAAAGTTATAAATAAAATTTGAATCTTATGATGTTACACTTTTGTAGGTAAGCAAAAGGTACCAGTCTCAGCATAATGCTGAGCTACAAGCTCAGCGCTGATTTTCAGACTGGCCCTGAAAATGGTCGGTTGGGTTGGGAGGATAGTGTGTTTTTTTGAGGCACATCTTAATTTTCTGTGGCGGTGTAGGTGTTTGAGTGTTTTCTAAGTGTTTTGTGTTGTTGTTTTGTGTTATTAGGTGTTTTGTGTTTTTTAATATCGAAATGCAAGTTAGGGTGTGTGTTAAATAATATCGATTGTCACCAGTGGTGACACATACTTTCCCAGTTATAGCTACAGGCTTTCTCACAACTTATGACAAATTAGAAAAATACATCCCAATTATGCCTAGTGGGGACGTACACAAATATTGACGCAAATGTCATCGTGCATGACATACGTAAAGTAAAAGTCAAGTAAGACCAGATGAATACAAATATTATTAATTTTATTTTGAACTAGCGGCCGCCCGCGACTTCGTACGCGTGGACCTCGTTTTACTCCTTAGTTCGTAAAATCTGTTGTTTGATATCATGTTGATAGATGGCGTTTCACGGCTTCCCCCGCATGAATATTTACGAACGTCAAAAACAGTAGTTTGTCCAGCACTGTAGATTTTAACCAATGACGATAGATTGCGCTTTTTAGACACGTCTTATTTATTTATTGAAATTTATTTGTCACATATCGTCATAAATTATAGCCTATAATTATGTTAATCTGGTTTATAAACAATAATACTGTAAAGTTTCAACAAAATCCGTTCAGTAGTTTTTGAGTGAAAGAGTAACAAACATCCAGACATCCAAACTTTCGCATTTATAATATTAGTAGGATTGTTATACGTCGCCACTAATGACAATATTTTTTTTCCCATTTATCCTCAGTAGGGACATAGTCAGTGTCCACAACCGGGAATAGACGGACTGCGGATACTATGCGGTATCCACGAATTACCTCAGCCTGTGCCTCAGTGATATCATGCGTTGCGCTTTTTTGAACAGTAGGATGCTCCACGACTACACAGCACTGTGCCATACTCGAGCCCCATATAGGACCATATAACGCGCGACGCAAAAGTATAGTCAGCGACTCAGTGCAGCCGGGCCTCCGAGATTAGGCATCAACCGGCTTAGTGCGCCGGCGGTAGCCAAAAGCTTAGGGGTGAGACGATTCAAGTGGCCGTCAAATGACCACTGTCCAACTAACTACAATCCGAGGTACCTACCGCAAAGATTTTCCGACTGTAATATGTTGTGTATGTTCCCCCTACAACTAGGTGGGACCCTGCTGGCAGAGCATTCCTATTAACTATTCTGTAACCACCTATTTATGGCAAATAAATTATTAGTATTATTCCTCTTTATAATATTAGTAGGTATACATACATAACTTGCTGTTCCAAATTTTCGTCATTCGTTTTCGTTTCATCGCTAAAAATAACTTAATTTTATTTTTCATTACGTCTGAAATAGAATTTGTAGTAAAAATAGACTGTAATGAAAAATAACAATAAAATATTTTAATTACCACGTGATCGCAAAATCTACCACCAAGATTTTGCGGATACACTATAAAAGTCCAGCTACCTGTCAAAGATCAACGTACGCGTGACACATGTCAGCAGAGCACCGAGCGACGTGACCTCACTCTGGAACGCCTCGAGGCGGACTGAATTTGAACGATTCGTGCGCGGCGTTTTATAGTACTTTTCAAATACTCATAGAAAAAAAATTACAATGAATTATTTTAAATTTCAAAGTAAATATTTTAGATAAGATATTCTTCTATTATATTAAGCTATTTTTGTGTTGAATAAAGGAAGAATATTGGTGAAAAAATCACTTTGATTTTTGGGTATTTCACGTTCTTTTAATTTGTGATTTCTTATTGTAAAATGCTTAAATCTAAAAATTTTCTCAGATAACTATTTGCCCAAGGATCTATGCTATAGGATATAAATGTTTGTTAAATCGTTTTCACAGTATTTTTATAAAAATTTCAGCTTGTAAACTGACGCTAAAGTGGAAATTTACAAAACCTGTGTGGACTTATCTTGATAGAATTCTTAAATGCTAAACTAATCGCAATATTTTCTCAATCAACTATTTAGACGACGAAATTGCCTAACTATTTATGCCTATAACATATTTGTAGTATTACTGGTTAATTATTGTAACGAGTTAAAAAAGTACTGTTTTTGCGCCGAACGGCGTAAACGCTCTTAACCACTATTCAAACAAATGATCGTTCTCCAATATGTGACTCATCTACGCCTAGGCGGTAGTAATCTAGTTGCTGATGACAATAAGTGGTGCACCATTATAAATGCAATTAACCAATTAGATTTAAGTAAATGACAAAGACAATGTACATTTGTGCATCCTAAAACTGCACACAACTCAAAAGTTGAGTCACAATATGCATTGTGCAAGAAAAATAGCCGATTTTTTACTTTAATCCCTTTTCTGTCTTCAATCATTCTGTACTCACCGACATATAACTCCGGGTGCCCACAAACGAGTTGGCCATGGAGTCAATGAGCTGGCCAGAGACACCAAAGTCACAGATCTTGATCTCGCCATTGCTGTTTACAAGGATGTTGGACGGCTTCACGTCGCGGTGCATGATGGCGTGCTTGTCGCGCAAGTAGCTTAGACCTTTCAGCACAGCTGAAGTTATAGTACCTGTAAAATATTTAAACATTTTTTAATTAAAATTCAATTGATAACAACTGAATTATTCATTCAATTCTTTTACTATTTGTACAAATTTATACAAAGTTAGTGATAATCTTTCTAGTAAATTACTCTGCAAAGAAAATTACTAAGAAGTTAAAATTAAATTAATTACAGTTACTAAGGGGCTATCAGGATCAGAATTTTAAAGTAAGAATTTTGATACAAACCTAGAATTGACTCTGGTATCCTGCCAGCTTTCTTCAGGATAAGATCAAGGGAACCACCATCCATGTACTCCATACAAATGGATATTTCTCCGTCACTATAAAATGCTCCGTAGAAGCCTACAATGTGTGCAAAATTGCACTCATGGAGGACTTTCAGCTCTCTGATGATTTGCTTCTTTATGGCTGGCTTCACTTCTAGATGGATAAGTTTTCGTGCCATGATGAGGCCTGTGGACTTGTGACGGACTTTCATAACCACTCCTCCATTGCCTTGACCTAAAAATAATAGCATATTGTACATGAAAATGCATGCTTAACTACTACAGTTTAATAAAAAGATAGTGTAACAAAGAGCTCAAATAATATCTGTATTTTCAAATAACAGTAAAGTAGCAATAGCACAATAAATTAGATAAATCAATAAATACTTACCTAGTTCACCAAGTTTCTCAAAATCATCATCACTGAGCTCTCCGATCTTCTCTTTCTGACAAAGGAACACCTCAATTCTGCGCCTCTGAGTGTCATCCATCTCAATTTGCTCCAGGCGTTCAGTGAGAGCCTCTATGCTGGTTTTGGACTTCCCGGCTAGGCCTTGTCGCCTTGAAATCAAACAAATGGTAAATGCTATACCAATCTCATTACAGTCGCAAAGCTTCTATGAATTAATCTTATATCACAGCAACAGTCTATTTGTAACCCACTTAAAATACACAATAAGGAATAAAAGCAGGAATTAAACATAATTCCTACAAACAATAACTACATGGTTAATTAGTGTTAATATGTATAAAAAAAGTGCCACATGATGTAAACCAGAGGTCTATAAAGTGTCTCTTAACTGTAACAAGCAACTTTCCAGGTACCAAAATCACTGAATAATAAACATGAGAAAATGAATACAGCTTAGGTCAAAGAGTGATTCATAGGATACTGTTGTCATCCCTATCAAAATATTATTTGGCTATTATGTCTAAATGTACTTACTCCGTTGCTGTAGCGGACTTCAGCTGGGGAGTCATGTTTGATGGGGTGACCGCCGGTGCGGTGTCTATAGACCCTGGTGGTAGGGTGAGGTTCAGTTTGTTTTTCGACATTTTACTCATCTTGGGATCACTTTCAACATTTATTATAAATCACTGCACCACTGCTACGTAACAAAAGTATGTTCTTTGCTATTTTTCTTAGTAGTTATACAATCGAATAAAATACTCATTCGCAAAACAACCACAAAATTAATTCTCCGAACAATGATTGTCGTCCATGGTATTTTTGTCATACGAGCAGAAAAACAGCTGTCAAAAATGTTCGACTTGTCGAGCTTAGCCACTAGGGATGCGCAATTTAAAGTGTGTTGATTCAATTGAACATTCAATTGATTGAGCATTGATAAATAAAATAATAACATACTGAATTTTGTAGATATTTATCTTTATCTTAAAAGTTTTTCATTTTGATTCGTTTTTTTACTATACTTTGCTGCAAATATTGTTCTAAAATATAATCAAAAGCTCCCGCTAAGGCCTTTAGACTTAAGAGACCAAAAATTACTGACTCATTAAAAAATCATTTTTTATGAAATAACCAGTTTAATGTTACATCACATAAAATACAACAGAAAATAGTCTTAAAACACTAACCGGTATTTACATGTTCACTATTATTAACATTAAAATATTATTTTCTCATGAATACAAAATCTATCACTACTATGTATTACAATATGAAATATTATTTAGCATACGCATTTATTTTTATCTTGTCGCAGTGAAAATTAGGAATATAAATTAGTTTTTAAAAATATGTGCATTATTACAAACTGCACGAAATTGATATTATTTAACCATAGTCTGAAAAAAAAATTAATAACTATAAAATCAACCTATAATATTTTGATTTTAAAACGGTAGTGCAATCATAGAGATTGCAATGAAACCAATGATAATAATCTTGAAGTACCTATGAAATTAAATAAATTAGGTTGATTTTAATTTAGTCAAAAAGGAATTAATACCAGGTTGATTTTTCTTTACTTCCGGAGTATTCTTTTTCAGATCACTCTTAGGTTTACTTTCCTTATTTTCTGGTTTAGGTTTCTTTTTTTTCTCACTTTTAGGGCTTTGTTTCTCTCCTTCATTTACTACTTTCTTCTTTTTTACTTTCTTTTTCTCAGATTCTTCTGGTTCATTTGATGGTTGGAAGAAAGGTGTTGGGTCACCCATAATCATAGATAATTTTCCAAAGTAGTTCCATATAGCGTCAACGCATTTCTCTGGTTTCCCGCCATCGCTTGTTTCCCACAGCAGGCCATACAAACGTGGTTTTATCTTTTCGGTTGGTTTCTTCATTTCGGATTCAAATTCATCTTCTAAGTGCTTCAGCCTCGCTTTTTGTGTTTCAGGTGACAGAGATAAAACATCGTCATCGTCCATTGTTGCTTCCTATAGACAAAACAAAAATGAAAAATTACAAAAACATCCAGATGTAAAATGCAAAATCAATATTGCTTTTTTATTGAAAAAAAATGTTCTAGGTAAAAAAAACATAATTATTAAAATCTAGTTTTATGCTGGTAAATTACACTCAAAGCGTTATTGGCAATCAGCTCCTGCCCTTGTCGCTGTCAGCCTCGTAACCTAGTAATAAGACTGTACGAGGCGCTACAGACCTCGTCGCTGAGGTACCCGTGCGGCACGAACACGTCGTTGTCGACCTCGTACTCGTCGTCGCTGCCGGCCGCGCTGCCGTCCACGCTCTCACCATCTGGCTCCTCCTCCCACTCCTCGTCGCTGTCAGCCTCGTAACCTAGTAGTAAGACTGCACGAGGCGCTACAGACCTCGTCGCTGAGGTACCCGTGCGGCACGAACACGTCGTTGTCGACCTCGTACTCGTCGGCGTCGTGCTCGTCGTCGCTGCCGGCCGCGCTGCCGTCCACGCTCTCGCCATCTGGCTCCTCCTCCCACTCCTCGTCGCTGTCAGCCTCGTAACCTAGTAGTAAGACTGCACGAGGCGCTACAGACCTCGTCGCTGAGGTACCCGTGCGGCACGAACACGTCGTTGTCGACCTCGTACTCGTCGGCGTCGTGCTCGTCGTCGCTGCCGGCCGCGCTGCCGTCCACGCTCTCGCCATCTGGCTCCTCTTCCCACTCCTCGTCGCTGTCCACCTCGTAATCTAGTTTCTGGAATATGGAAAAGAGGACCTTAATTATAATATAATGTTAAGCACCATCCTATCCTACTAATAAATTATAAATGCGAAAGTTTGGATGTCTGGATGTTTGTTACTCTTTCACGCAAAAACTAATGAACAGATTTTGATGAAACTTTACAGTAATATTGTTTATAACCCAGAATAACATATAGGCTATAATTTACGACGACCAGTGACAAACTGAATTTCACGCGGGTGAAGCCGCGGGCAACAGCTAGTTCAAATATAAGGATGTGTTACTGTTGAAGGCAATGCCAAATCCACCATGATAAAAGTTGTGTGAAACTAATAAAAATGAAATAAATACCTGATCTTGACCAAATGGTCTCCTTGGCTTAACAGATGCACTCTTCTTTCTCCAGGTACCCCAGTAGGGAGGCCGTTTATTTTCTTCAAAGCTAAGGAGTTTCGGTTTCAACTTTTCACGCACTGTTGGCTCACAAGTTATTATTTCACCCTCTCCATCTAATGGAGGTAACTCATCCTCTGAAAAATAAGAATAAATATTGATTTTACCTATAAGATAATCAGACTCGTAATACATAAATAGAATGCAAATGAAGGTGCTTACCAACTATCATAACATCATCATCATCTTTATCAGATATGGGCCATGTCTTCCCACTAGACAAAGGTTTGTGTCCTTCCTTCAAACTGTTCAGATACAAAACATTATCTGACTTCTGTTCCTCCATCAAGTTGTCTAAAGTCTGCTTCTTTTCATCACTTAAATTAGCCCTTGTAGTAGGTGCAAGCTTCATATCGCTTTTTACTGCGAAACTAGATAAAACACTGCTTTTGCTAACAGGACCCAAAGACGGCTGATCTTTCTCTGACTTCTGTTTTGGAACAAAGAAGTTAACGAATGCTTCAGCAGCCTTTTTCTTTTTCAACTCTTGTTCCTGCTTTTCTAGCTCCAAAGCCTCTTGTTTTTTACGTTTCTCTTCATCTCTTGCTTCCTTCTCTTTCTTTCTTTGCTCTTCCTTCTCTTCCCGTTCTTTTTTCTTTTGCTCTTCTTTTTCCTCTCTAAGTTCTGAAAAATATATATTTTACAATTTAAAAGTGGAATTTTATGTAGTTTCGTTTTTTATTAATTACATGACTATCTTAATAGTTATACAATCTTATACTGCAGATTTATTCACTGTGGATACAAGCCTATTGTTTGGAAATGGGAGCACAAGAAAAAGCATCTAAATAGTTGTAGTACTATATGGAAAATGTTTTCATAAAACATGTTCAAAATAATAAAAATGGACAAAAGAACTAGTGTTCTTTTGTCCATTTTTATTATTTTGATTTTTGTGTGCTAGTGCACACAGTAGATTGATGCACAGTTTAGTGTAGCATAGTGCAGCGGTTCCCGAAAGGTGGTCCGCGGAACCCTGGGGTTCCGTGGAAAGGCCGCAAGGGTTCCGTAAAAAATATTATCCCACGTTTCGTGACCGACGTTGTTCGCTCGCACCGACTTGTTTACGCACAAGGGAGGGGCAGGGCGTGCGGGCGGAGTAGTACGGGGGTTCTAGGAAAAGTATAATCAATTCGGCCGTTTGGTGTAGTGGTTCAGAACGGACTATTATGCCGAGAGGTCCTGGGTTCGATTCCCGGCCGGGCAGAAATTGAAATGATGAATTTTAATTTCTGTGACGGGTCTGGGTGTTACTATGTATAATATTTATGTATTTAAAAAAAAAAAGTATATAAGTAGTATATCCGTTAAGCTAGCACCCATAACACAAGCATTAAGTTGTTTACTTTGGGGCTAGCTGGCGCTGTGTGAAATTGTCCAAAGATTTATTTATTTATTATTTAATTAGGGTTCCTTGGCAAAAAAAATTGGGAAACCCTGGCATAGTGAATCTGAGCTTTAACTTACTTTTTTCTAGCTCTTTCTGTCGGTCCTTTTCTTCCTTTTCCTTTCGCCTCAGTTCTTCTTTTTCCTCCTTCTCCCGGCGCTTGGCCTCCTCTTTTTCTTCCCTTTCTTTCTTCTTCTGCTCCTCTTTCTCTTGTCTCTGTTTTACTCGTTCTTCTTTCTCCTGTTGTCTTTTTTTTTCCCTTTCTAATTTCTCTTTTTCCTTTTCTTCTCTCTTCTTTGCCGACTCCAACTTCTTTGCAAGCTGAGAAGTGTAAACAATAAACTTTAGTTCCACTAAGATAGTTTTTGAATATGCATGGCAGATTAAAAAGATGATGATGATTAATTTCTTAAAAATGATCAATTGGATTTTGTTAGTTCTAAATGTTGCTGCATTGAAGCAATTTTAAATTCCATTAACTAACATTTATTTAGGATAGTAAAACAGTAGTTCACAACAGTCACAACACAATTTCTTGTGGATAGAATGAATAGTTTCATTAATTGAATTTTTGAAATTCAATTAATTGACAATAGTTGCATTAATTGATTTTTTTTTACAAAACAGAATCCATTAGATAGGTGTCATATTTAATAAGGTAAGTTTACACAAAAAAAAAGTGTATAAAATGAAACTTACTTGTTTGGGAGTAAGATTCGCAGACGGAATTGAACTGTTCAGTGACTCATCTAAACTAGTTGTCACAGACGAGCTTCTGTTATGTTTGGGAGTTGAAGGGTTTGAGGAAGTAGACTCATCAAGTTTGGAACTGGACTGGTCCAATTTCTTTTCATTTTCTTCTGTTTTTGCTTTGTTCCTAGCACTTCTTTTAGGAGTGACTGCGCTTGGTTGGACTTCTTCTACCTCAGGTGAACTTTCTTTAGCCTCAACACTTTTAGAGGGTTCAATATCTCCATTACTTTGCTCTGGTGAAGGTGAAATATTTTCTTCATCTTTTGATTTTTCATTAATTTCTTCAATCAATTCAGTTTTTTCTTCCTGATAAGCACATTCTTCTTTTTCATTATTTTCTGAATCAACAAGTGCTTCTTTGTTTTCAACTAATTTGTCACATGAGTTAGAATCTTCCAAAACTACAATTTCAGATGTACTATTTTCAGGTTCACTATTACCTGAAGACTTTGTGACTCTTTTATTCGATGATCTGGTTTTTCTTGACACTTGTTTATTAGGTGTGGATTTTCTAGGTTTCGGAGTTGCCTTTACCTCAGCAACATAACTTGATTTGGTCGAACTATCTTCACTTTGTTTATTTTCATCTTCTGGTGCAGATAAATCAACATCCATCTTCTCAACTTCATCTTTATTGCTTTCAGGGTGCTCTTCTGTACTCGCTGTCTCTGTAGTGCCATTTGGTATACTTTTAGCAGACTTTTTGGATGTTTTCTTCTTCTTGGCTCTCTGAAGCTTTTTCTTCCATGCCGTATCTACTAATTTCACAAAGGGATTCAGAGGCTTCTCCTCGTTAGATGTTTTATCGGTGTCAACACATTCATCATCACTAATAACAACTGCTTGTTCTGCCAAATCATTCTCTTTGCTTAACTTCCCGATTTTTGGGGCCGTTTCAGCATCAGCAGATGAAAGCTTTCTTTTTCTTGTTTGCGGAGTGGTAGGCGAAGTTGATACCTCACTAATGAGTTTAAATGGAAGACGAGCTTGCTTCAGTACTTTTTTTGAAGGTGTCACCTCGGTATTCTCTGTAGATTTGCTTGTTTTCATGATTGTTTGAATGAAACAAACAATCTACGCTGATAATATACTCTAACAGCATCAAACACAGATAAAATTCATAAAAAGTTGCAAATTATAAGCTAAAATAATATCGAAAAACAAAATTCCTCACAAAACCACAACACGATGAACTTTTGACAGATAACTGAAAACGCGGGAGTTTTTGACATACCTAAACGTTCAGAAATCTATGAGAGCGGGAGGAAATCATGCGACTAAACTTTCGCGGCGCTAGTGCAGCTAGCAACATAGCACATTTCGATCATAATTTCACTTAAATTTAGCAAATATTTATTTATTACATTATTTTTGTATTATTATACATACATTTGTAATAAAAATCCCGCTCACAGACGGATTCATTTTTTAAAGCTAAAAAATACAATAAAAACCAGAAACAGCTATACTAGCGTCATCTATTAACGTTCCATTCTACGTAATGAGGTTACTATGCTGTGTGCAGCATAAATTTTGTTAAAATTTTAGGGTAAATAATAATTTTCTTTGAATTTTATTCATGTTTTGCCCCTATTTTAATGTTTAATAATTATGTAAATACTTACATATCAATGAAGTGGCTGTGGAATTGCATATTTTACAATGTCAACAAAAAATCAAATTGAATACTTCAATTCGACTTCAATTTCTGTAAGTCATCTCTTGGCTCAAACAAACGTAATTTAAATTAATTTAACACAAACAGAGGAAAACCAAATGTCTAGATCGAAATGGGATTACAGGGATGTATCTGTATTATTACAAGCCATTCGCAACTTTTTGTTAGGGAGGAAACACACTCTCCACCCCCGCTTTCCTTGGAAGGTGGCTGCAAGAAGTATACCTCCTCCTGACATACCTCGAGGCCCTGAGTATAAGTACTCCAACCAATACTACCATCAAAGGAACCCCTTTGAATCGGTGAAACCTCCGGTAGTTGCTCCTGTGGGCCTGGGGGGGAGTAAACAAGGGAAAATGAAGGCGGAAAGTGTTAGTAAGATTTCGGCTAATAGATAGTTATGAAGGAATGATAGTCGAAAAAGCAATCCAACATCTATAATGTCGTCCACAAACTTACAGGAAATTTTGAAAATATCCGTTAAAAAAACTACGCCGTTTGACGCGGACGGCGGACACTATTTAAGCAATACTTAGGGTACCACAGCCTAATTTTTAATATCATAGCTTCGTCCTACTCTTCTGCAGACAAATCCACCCACCAGCAAAGCACGGCCACCCACGGTGGTTCATAGGTTTTTAATTTTATGGTTATTTAAATATAACTACAGTATGTACTTTTGCATTCTTTAATGAAACCTCAGGTGCCCATATCCGGTCTTCCGACGCCCGGCGCTACTTGGTGGTGGGATGGCCACAGCTACTACGAGTGCACGCCGCCGCCGCCGCCGCCGGACACGCGGCCGCCCTGCCCGCCGGCGACCACGGGGCCGGCGCCGCCTCCTTGCTGCATCCAGCCGGTGGCATGCGAGCCCCCACCTGAGCCCCCTTGCCCCTTGTCGCCTGATAAGCTACCGAAGCACTGAAGAGTGTGCACAGAGTAATAAAGATTTTTGGGTAACACAGGATTTCAATTCACCTACCTATCCCCACAACGTAATCCGAAGTTACGAATACTTCTTCCCTTCTGGGAGTCTGGGAGCCAGTGTGCGGCAGTAATAGTCTGCTTTTTCGATCGACTGGGCTTACTTAATTCAGAACCTCACTGATTTATTCGAGCTTATTTATATTTGCTATTTTACTCTGTTGGATTTGGACGCCCTAATCTGCCCTAGCCCCTATCACATTGCGTGAGTTACTATCTCCGAACTGAAGATATATTTGGTGGTATAGTAGGTGGAGGATCACATTGGGTAAAATCCTCCTACTCGTCTACTAAGTAAATAGGTATTTTTTACCTTCAAAAGATAGTAACTCAGTAATCATTTAGATTAATATTGCCACTTATTTACACTTAAGTGTAAAGCGAACTGTCACGCTCACGTTGGAAGTCATGACCCTCGCTGGCTCATTGTGTTTTGGGTGAGCATTCTGGGCGTTAATGTCATTATCATTTCTGTGTTAATGAGATACATTCCTATTGATCATGTAGGATGGTAGGTAGCTACTTATGTCACCATAGCCATAACGCACGCCCTAGATAGGTAGGTAAGTATATCAAGCGTAAGGAAATAGTTAAATAGTGATCCCACTCGATTATTTCTAAACTATATAAGTAAGATATCGAAAAACTGGTTACTGATAGTGCTTCACGAGCTCTTTCAAACGGTACCAACAAAAGGTTACAGAATAAATTGAAACTCCGATCACTTATCGTTTCCACCCTGTATATTTGTGGCAAGTTGTGGCTACCATTGCTGATTACTAGGTACTATCACAGAATAAGTAATAGTACAGGTACAGAAGGATTACTCCGCAAGACGATTTAAGTAAATGCGAGTCTTGCTACGACGCGACACAGTGGAATTACAATTTTATAATACGTACCTACAATTTTATTCACCTACAAGTTTTGTCTCTTTCTATCGCGTGCCTCTGAACTCTTCTTACGCTGTTAGGGTTGCTGTCTAGTGAAAAAATAATTAATCTACTTATTTGTAATGAGGTACGTATGTAGGTAAGTATGCATTCATTATGGAAAACCTTCATAGTAGGTTAGGTTCCTATACTATCCTAAGAATTATTGATTACCTACATGGCCAACATACCTTTCAGCATCTTTGGGAAGCGAAAAAAAAAGATAAATCCGGTAGATTACTTTTCGAATTTAAACACCCGAACGCCGCACAATATTTCTTTCTCTTTATGTCCATTTTTAAATAATACTTCGATCATAGAATTATAATCATACTACAACGCACGCCAGCGTCGTGACGAGCGCGCGCGTGACACTCGACTGATATAATACCCGCCGGCGGGGCGCTTCGCTGTAGGTAATTATCGGATGTACCGCACGGAGTGAGCCAGGCCTGGTACTATGTCCTTGCGTTATGAGGAACCATGCCACCGTTTTAGTGGGCGTCGCGTACCTCAGTACACCCAGACGCAAACCAATATTTTTTTTCAAATTAGGCTGGTCAGAAATCGATCTTAGGACCCATTTTATATAGGTACTTAATTTAAGTAGGTATTAAAGCAACTTCAAAACCAACTATGTGGGTGTAGGTACGAATATTTACGTTTTACGGTGTAGGTATACTGTATTGAACACTGGGAGTGCCGGTTATAAGGTGGGTGGAAAGCATGTCTATAGGTTGATTGATTTCCCCGAGGCTTTTAATTTTAATTAAAGAGCTGGCGGCGGCCATGTTTGCAGGTCAACCGCCAGCACCGCAAATTATATGTGAAAATAATGTTGATCTGAATCTGTAGGGAATAATACAAACAAGTAGGACTTGAAATAAAATGACCTACACTTTTATTTCAAGTCCTACTTGAAATAAAAGTCGACAACGTCAACAGTTCAACACTAATTAAATAGATTCAAAATGCGAGTGTGTGGAAGAGATAATTTAAATTTCGATAAAAAAATTACGGCCAGTTTCTAAGCTCATAAATAAATAAATAAATATATATCGCTGGACATTTTTACGCTTCTACTTAGTCCCAAACTAAGCAAAGCTTGTACTACGATGGGTATTCGTTAATACTTTTTTTTGTAAATACATACATATTATACATAATATGTAGTAACACCCAGCCAGCCCCATCAAAGAAATTAAAATTCATCATTTCAATTTCTGCCCGGCCGGGAATCGAACCCGGGACCTCTCGGCACACCAAACGGCCTCATCTACTACCAAATATGTAATGTTATGTCTCTCCTCAGTTCTTTGAATAAGTATGTGCACGTTACATAGGTACACCATCGTTGATTAAGTACATTATATACAGGGTGGAATTTTGTAATGCCACCTGGAGGGAAAGTACTCTTAATACTGTAGATAGAAAATTTTACTCAAAGGAAACATTCCTTAATTTAGGAAAAGAAATAAAACTGCATTCAAAGATTTCTGAAAATTTGATTGCCACACCAGGGAAGCGAACCAACTAAAATTTGTTAAAAATTACATCCTGTATTTTTATTGCATCAAAGGTTAGGGTTAAGTATAACGATGAAATCTCTCTAACAAACTTGATAAATCAAATGAAAGGAAAACCATGAAATCTTAAATTATTTTAATTATTTACAGAAAATTGTATGGCATAGTGGTGAATTTTCGAAAAAATTTAGAAAATCTTTATATGCAGTTCTCTTTCTTTTCAAAAATAAAGGAATGTTTTCTTTGAGTATTTTTTTCTATCTACAGTATTAAGAGTAGGTACGTTCCCTCCAGGTGGCATTACAAAATTCCACCCTGTAAGTATATTTCAAAGTACAATATTAACTCTACCTATATCCTACCCAAACGTCTCTATTCCAAGTAACTCTGTCAAATAATTGTAAGAGGCTTGTAAACAAATCAACAGATGCATCCCGAGGAGATGTCAAGATCGTTTCTGATAGCTAATCTGCGAGGCGGGAGGCGTCAGTCACTCGGCGCATGACCGGCGGGCCCGGCCGCAGTGCCTCCGACGCCGAGCGCCGCGGCACACGCGCGCCCGATAATGACCGACAACACCCCCCGCTAAGCGCCCCACACAACCCGTCTGGGGCTCGGACCCTCTGCTTAACAGAATGGCAGCTGCCACAACGTGCAAACAGTGATAAATCAGTGAATTTGACTAAAGTGAAACAGAACTCACAATCCAAAATGAGACAAGACAGCGATGCCTCAGCCCTGGCTGAGAGAGTAGCCGCTTTCAAAAGCGACCCCGAAAAGCTCCGGCAGGCCACAGAATTTGTTGACCAACTCATAGAGCAAGCTAAGAAAGAGGCTGAACTAAAACAAAAAGAGAAAGACAGAAGTAAATTCGTAAGTATCAATGTATATTTAACAACGTAAGGAAAACGGAATTGATAGGGCGGTAAGTGTTAACGGAGGCGTAGTGCTGCTGTAGATTGCAACTCGGCTTCTTCGATAGCAACGCTGAAACAAATATTCACCTTAAAAAGTTTCCATAGAAACAACAGTTTGAATGCTAAACAATTTGCATGCTCATCTTTTACACAAAATAGATAAATCGACTTCATTCATCCACATATTTCATTAACACCGTAATCAATATTATTGCAAGACGCGTTTTTCATATTTCAGAGGTAAAAAAATAAATATCCAAAGCCTCGAACGCAATAAATCCAAACCAGCACACGCTTTATCAAAGATTTTTGTTAATTGGCTAATTAATCTCTCCATGAGAACACTTCTGCGTTTACGGTGAAATTTTTTCGTCGAGAGTGGAATGTTAATCTCTAACGCCTTTATCTGTTTGATTTATAAGCCGATAATGTTTTGGTGAAACTATATTGATGTCCGAGAGATTACCCTCGACCGTCAGTTAACTTCACCTGTATCTGATAAGCATGAAAATGTGTTTGATCGATTGTCACATGGGTCAATAGACGGACTGCAATTTGCGATGCAATGTTTTGGCTATGCACCAAGCGATTGAACTGCGAATAGCATTAGCAGCAGTACTCGGATACAATAAACAGTTTAAATTGGTTTGAACTTTGCAACATGCATGTGACATTTCAGATTTGCATGTTAACCTTCTGAAGTAACCAACTGCACACAACTCAACTTAGAAAAGCGGGGCATATGATAGCATTTCACGTTTTCCCTGAAAAATCAATTGCCTTGCTACAGGGATTCTACTAGGGCTCTTAATTAACACTAGGACATCTAAAAGCAACACGATTTTATTTCCCTTTAAAAAAGTAGGTCTAAGGACTAAGTAGGTAACTAACTCGATACCAATGTAGAGTAGAATATCCTGATTTCTAACTGAATTACTTACAATAATAGCTTAGTATGTAATTAAAAGTGTAATGCGTGCGCCTTAAATAAATTGTCAAAATGGTATGTAAGCCTATTAACCTACATTTTGTACAACTATTTCTTTCATACGTAGGTTTTCTTAGATTTTCACGTTTCCCTCTATTTTCCTGCGCGGTAGCGTGACTGAAAGTCATTATTTGCTAATAACCTGTGTAGTTATTACTCTTTTCGCAAACTATCATTAACAGGCATTGGTATTCTTTGAAACCAGATCTTTCGTGTAAAGCAATTCGTATTGATAAAAGGAAAATGGCATGTAATTTAAAACTTCCTCTTAATTTGCATTCTTATTTCAGTCACAAGTATTTTCTGTGGCGATTAAAATGTAACTTGCTAATCTTTTAACTAAAATAAGAATATTTACGGAAATAATATAGTAAGTGACGTAAGGGTAGACGCAATTAAAGTCATAAATGAACATACCAAACCATTTTTTGCGATTATTATCAATTGCTAGCTTCTGCAACTTACTAATTACGATAACTTAAAATATTTCCATGACAATATTAATTAAGAAATGTTTTCTTTCCTTTTCAGGAACCACAAGACCCAGCTGCGGGTAAGTTTATCTCTGTCACTTCGAATCTACTTATATAATTTCCATATCAATAAGACTGAACTGAAAATAGCTCAAAGTAAGTCTTATCAACATGGTTACGTTATCTGACGCTGCTCTGTCACACAAAAGACTCAAAAGCCTTTATCAAAGAACCGAGGATTGTAGCCTTAAGATCTATGGGTTAAAATATCATTTGTGTCTCTTTCAACTTCAAACAAGCTGGAAAACCTCTTAATCCAACGTAGGTACGAGTAGGTATTTTCCTATAGGGACATTCCTAGGCTCTATGTAAGTTTAGTTGCATCTTAGGTATCATAATTCTAAGAGAATGCAGATAAAAAATAAGCTACTAAGTATTATACTTAGCTACCTACCTAGGTTGTGTTGTGCCACATACATGGCATACCGACTCGTATTACTCAGACGTACGCCAACTCATTGCTGGTAGATTTGATGGAGCCACATTTCTTAAATAACTCATTTTAGTATACGTACCTAACCTGAATCACAAATGAAGCAGTAAGTAAACTCGTTATTCGCAAAAGAAGAATCAATGCGCACACAAATGTAGTCAATATTAAGATTCCGAATACATCTTTCAGTCTATTATTATTCATCATAGAGCGTTCGGAAAAGAAAGTGATTCGAAAGTCATTTGATATTCTGTGTGCCTAGGTAGGTACTTAGTGAATGATTTTTGTTTTGTAACTTAATTCTCTCAGATCAGGTTTGATTGTGAAAATTGTCGTGAAATTCTCATTCTTCAAAAGCCAAAATTGCATAGTTATAACTAAATATAGGGTGTTATCCTTACAACTGAAGCGCATTGTGAGTATTCAGGAACTGAAAGTCTGAACGTGCGAAAAAATCCAGACAAATCTTTGGTCTTTCCAATCCGATTGCAGCGCTTTTCTCAAAAAATCGTGCTAAAACACGCTGCACAAAGCCGTTGTTAATCAAGCCCGCATAACGAGCGCACGTCTGGCGGCGGAAATGCTTCATCTCCGAGCGGCGATTGTTTCCCCCGAGTCTACTAATAACTACAACTAGGTACAGCAGGGCAATTACGTGGAAAAATCACGTTCTGAATTAACGACTCTGTGTAAACATTTAAAAGTACCTACGCACAAAACTCGTAGAGATCTTTTATTGGGTCAGTAACAAACTTTCTGCGGCTGTTTACTCGTATTTACTACTATACACAAACGCGCACGTTTTGTTTGCAAAAGCAACGATTCTTTAAATTGTCGGTCTTTCTTTCCCATTATGATACATCCTATTTAGTTCGTGTCCCACTTTGGCAGTTTAATAAATTAGGACGTAGACATTATACTAATTTGGCCCACCCACGGTTTTTGGCAATGTGGAAACATTTGACCGCAAACGTAGGTAGATAGTAATGTAACTGAAACGTAGTGCCACTGAAAATTTAAATTTTACATAATATTTTGGACTTAAATTGTATCTCTATGATTAGCCGTCGACAAATTTTCCACCCTATGCGAACTTATTTACGTGGTGTTTTTTGTTTGTCCTGTGTTCTGTAATGATTTTCAGTCCCATGCCCGAAAAGTGTCTTCAACATGGACATAATTTATGTATTAGATATCCAAAAGAAAAGATCGATGCAACCATCTCAAGTTCTCAACACAGTCGAAGAATTTTTATGAGCTCTTTAAAATACTTGGCACATAAAAGGCTTCATCACTCAATCTTTATTATCACCGCTGTATGTGTATTATTAATTACTACTCAGAACAATTGCAAATAATCATGGATGGTCGGTCATAGCAATAAATTTTTTCCTACCCTACAAGACGAGTATTCTGATCATAATCCCGAATTTAAATATCGTTTACTATGTTTTTGTGGTTTTACACTAATGATAGATAGGCCTACTTACAGATGAAATGAACTTAGCAATAGCAAATGTATTTTATCGCGAATTTATACTTTCACTAGCTTTCTGCCCGCGGCTTCGCCCGCGTGGAATTTTGTCTGTCACAGAAAAACTTTATCGCGCGCGTCCCTGTTTCAAAAACCGGGATAAAAACTATCCTATGTCCATTCCCGGGACTCAAACTATGTCCCTGCCAAATTTCATCGAAATCGGTTGCAAGGTTTAAGCGGGAAAGCGTAACAGACAGACAGACAGACAGAGTTACTTTCGCATTTATAATATTAGTTGGGATTACTTAAGTAGCAAAGGCGTAATTGCGTGGTGAAAATGGAGAGATCGTAAACCGGTAAGAAATACTCGGTCTTTAGGACCTAAGGTCTGTTTTTCTCATTACTGGTTTTATTAAAAGAATCTTCTTACACACCCTGTATCTTCCGTCATTCTTATTCATCTTAGAGACAATGATTTGTAATACTTACTTTGCGATCTTATGGCCGACACGCGTAGAATAGCAGCTCTACATTTTATTGGGTTCGAACTAGCGTGCCGTGTGTCGCTATCGCTATTGGAATTTTCTAGGCTCGCCGAATATTGCTATGCTCAGGGATGCACATTGCACATGTATTGTGAATTTTGTTAGTTTAGCGCGTTGATTCATCCACGTCTGCAATACAGAACAGAATTTAAACATCATACCTACTCTACTTCTTATGGACACAAGTAAGTAATCAGATAGTTCCTTTCTTTTATGGGTTATCAAACCGTACGCAAAGTGTAGACGTTGACCATACTAGAAATGAAATTTCCACCACCACCACCATCACATGGATGGAACCTACTGGACTGGATCTCCGAGCTCCCACATAGAATTTCACCACGTCTTCTACTAAGAGTAGTATGACATCGTTCGTTCGATGAATCGCATCATTTCTTTGAACCATGATTTTGGTGTACAGTAAAATACCGGTTACAATAAAAAATATGGTAACTACCTAAGTATTGAATTAACAATGGGGCACAAAGCGGGGACGGCCGTCACGTCGTAATGCCCTGCCGTTAGCAATAATGGAGTCTGTTATTTTTAACCTGCTATTACCGAACCACATATGAGGCAAGGGAGATAATGCAATGGCCACGGCTAGTAGATATGCCTCTGATATACACAGTAACAATATTACTACCATGGAGACTGGATACTGATTAGGTAATCCGGAACTATTAATCAGTATTCTGTGATCTTAGCTGTAATTTTAGTTTAAGCTTACTTTCCGAATTTAACGTTCAAAATTAATATTTCGCATTTTTTACTCAAGCTAGCCAAATTCTTGTAACGTTTTTTAACTCGCCAGCTTTGAAACGTTTTATAACTTCTGAAAATATTTGGAGATGAAAATACAAATTTTGAAAAGACAGATGATGTAAATTGTTAATCCTTTTAATCCTAACCACGTAAATACGTGTAGGTAGAGCCTAATATTATCACTTCCCTTGTGTCTCATCAAGCTCATTAGGTACGAGACCGTCGGATCAGATTATGGAACAAACCGCGCCGATTTGTTTGATTGCGAGCAATTGGCACTTTGACAGGGTTTAGCTTAATTAAAGAAAAGGATGGAGATATTGTAGTATTCATTTACTTGATGCCTACTTAACGACTAGAACATTTGTACATACTTTAATTGCATTTAGATTATCTATGTTTAATTGAAAGACACTTCAGTCGCTATGAACTTAGGATCGTTTTGAATAATGTCAACGAGAGTTCTGCTCCAAGGTTTCTGCTTTCAATGAATAATAAGCGATACTGTGATGAAAATATGTCAAGAATATTCTCCGATGACGCTTTCTGTAGCTGTTTATCATAAGCCCATTAGCATTTCGCTCAGTCGCGCGAGATAACGATCTGTTTACTGACTTCAGGGCAAAAGTGCTGACCTTCAGCACAAAGTAACTACTACCGCTGCAAAAACAATTTACTACGTTGCATCCTAATATGTATGTAGGTACTTCTGGTACAATACAGTTGTGGTGTCTATAGGTGTCTTGTGGAAAATGTTTTCCCGAGTCTACTTTGTACTTGTAGGTAATGTTACGTAAGACAATGGCGTTATTTGAATTGAATATTTTTACTTTTAGTGAGACTAACAGATAGGTATGTATTCAGTAACCATTTTACAATCATTCACAAAGATTTAGGTAGGTAGATATTTTCATGGACAGAATATAAACTGGGTCTTCTTCACCAATACTTATTTTCAATCACCCTGTATTAAATGCACCTTATTCCGTTAATGAAATAAAACAATTGCCTACTTTTATAGTCTAACCAATTATATGCTGTTTTCTCGGCATTAAGACATTAAACAACGAATGGCTGTGAATATTTAGGGGTGAAATGAGACATTGAATAGTCTGGGTGTGATAGCCAAAATCGATACGCACCCTTTCATCGTTTGGCCCAGCGTGGAGCACTAACAAAGCAACGCAACGTGCACCCCGGTCGCGACCTCCGAACTTTCCTTGTCAACGTGACCTTTTCGCGAACAACTGAAATTGCCAACTACTAAAATTGGTAGTTGAAACGTTGCGAAATTTTATTTCTGCACGCTTACCTTCTCAGAGATCAGTTGATGTCCTGCCTACCTACCTATTCCTTCTTATAATTATAACATTGTATTGTTAACGGAGACACCAAGGTAAAGAAAAACTTTTCAATAAAAAAACACTTCACAATCCAAAGCGGTCTTCACATAGATAGCGCTATTAACTTACCAACATAAATAAAGTTTTTATCTTAAGTCAAATATTATTTCCGTACTAAATCATTGAAAGAGGCAAAACAAGACAGACGCGAGAGAGGCCCAAAGGCGACAAACATTTTATTTGACTTGCAAAGAGAGAGTTTCTAAAAAGCGAACATTGAATAAATTAATTAAGTTGCCGTTCGCTGCATGCATTTAGCTCTTCAAAAGACAAACTGAGACGACAAACATTTACCGGACAAATAGAACATGAATAATATAGGTATTGTTAGAACAGGTAGGAATAAAGAAGTTTTAGAATAAGTACCTACTTACTTACCTACCTAGTTCATTTTGCAATATTGGTATTTGTGTACGTACATACATTCCCGATGTAGAGAAAGATAAAGATAAATGTTGGGGGAACATGCGAAGTCGCAAACTTAACTTAAGGCTTTCGCTTGTTTGTTTTATGTAAGTTCTTGTTTGCCCAATAGTAAAGCTCTATTCATGGCACTATATTCAGATGGATTAAGTGAAGTTATAGTTTATCAACATTAAACTAAAATATTACCTACATTTCCTACTCAATACGTTTATTGCTTCCATAATGTACACAGGTTCCTACAATATGTTACCATCATCGTACCTACATCATATTGGAGGGTAAATGACGTGAAAAGTAAAAAAATAATATTAACAAACAAGTAATGTAACTTTATAGGTAGTTACAAAATTCCCCTAATGATACGAAAACATGACAGAGTTCCTCCTCCATCTAAACGCGATGCGAAATTCTAAGGAGATGATAAAACTTCTCAAAGAAACAGATATAATTTGTTTGTAAAATAATTATGTAGGTAAGGCCTATATTTTGAACCGATCACAAGCTTGTTTAGTTTAGTCTTGAATGCAAATCCATGATGGAATCTCGTTTTTTTTTATCCACAACGAGGAAGCTCTTGGCCTGTATCTCACCTGATGGTAAGTGATGATCAGGCCGAAGGTGGAAGCGAGCTTCACCCGGAATCCTCAACCACGGAGGATTATAAATCGGACCTAAATCCGAAAATCAATTGTCATATTTGCCTCTTCCATTAACTTTATATAAAAACCCTTCAAGCAAAAACTTATCCACTCGAGTAAATAAGCGTGTGGGTACTTGAATTCTGAGTCGAGGCTCGTTCAGACCCTTTGAAGCGGCTCTCGCCCCACCTCACAGCTTACTTGAATTAAGGAATGTTTAAACTTTCCTAATATAAGTTTGGACGTAGTGTTTTACTTGTAAACTTGGAAATTATAAAATTTCATACAGAAACTTTGTTGTTTTAGGTTGGTAAAGGAGAAAGGAAAGCAAATATAGTTCTTACTAATTTCTTTTAAGGGTCTAAAAATTGCGCGGTATGAGTTCGGTCTGAAACATATAGTCAGACTAAAATGATGACAGACAAGCCATTAACCATAAATGTCTGCAAGTGGTGTTATCGCTCACCCAATTAAAGACTGGATAACTCCATGCTTATTTTAGACTAAGAGCTAGTGAACGCCAGACCTACGTCATTTTATAAAAGCTGAAAGTTTGTCAGCGTATGCTCCCAATATAGGATATAATGTTGGTGAATTATGAAGTTTGGGTCGTGGTGGCTTTGGGAGCTACCCTAAAAAAACTGTCTTTCAAGGAGTTGGAACTGTCAAAACTGTCTGGCTGTTAGGGAAAATAGCTCAAAATACTACTAATTATTGTACAAATATTATACATAAAAATCAGATTTAATGGTATAACGTTAGTAGAATTACAGTCTTTTGAATATACAGAAAAAGCCACCGTAAAAGTTAGACTTACGTTATAATAAAAAATCTGATTTTTATGTATAATATTGGGGCAATAATTAGAAGTATTTTCCCCAACAGCCAGACAGTTTTGACAGTTCCAACTCCTTGCCAGACAGTTTTTTTAGGGTAGCTCCCAAAGCCACCACGACCCAAACTTCATAATTCACCAACATTATATCCTATATTGGGAGCATACGCTGACAAACTTTCAGCTTTTATAAAATGACGTAGGTCTGGCGTTCACTAGCTCTTAGTCTAAAATAAGCATGGAGTTATCCAGTCTTTAATTGGGTGAGCGATAACACCACTTGCAGACATTTATGGTTAATGGCTTGTCTGTCATCATTTTAGTCTGATAAAGCACTTTCAGTTATCTTTCATCCTTGACTCATACAAAGCCGAAAATTACATCTTTAACCCAAATGATAAAAGACGGATTTTTCTTTTTGCCACAAATGCCCGAAGGTCCGCGCTACACTTTTCCTTGATTCCGTTTATCCGGATTTTTGAAGACACATTTTCGTGTCAAGAAAATGTTATTGTTTTTCTTATGTAACAACATAATTTTACCCTCGAGCTCTACTTAGATGCCAAACATATAATATGTATAAACTGAAGGAATTTTGCTGGCACTGTTTTAAGCGGCACTGAATAACCAAGTTGCCCCACATGAAAATGGTTTTACAAGTTTCGCAAAACCACTTTGCATGCATAATATCTATTACAGCACGATGGAAAATGTCGGAGCACTTTATGTTTGGACCCTATTCCACCAGAATAGGGACACGTAGTTATAAATACACTCCATAGGTATACACGTATGTAGGTAGGTATACTGTACTGAGTTAGCTAGCAGGGGCCTTAATTTGTTTACAATGTGGAGGTCATAAACTCATTACTACGAACTAACATAAAGTAAAGAAGTGAAGTGCAAGTAAAAAAAAAATATGTTTCACCTAATAGTACATTTAAAAGAAAAATTAGGTACGCCTAAATAAATAAATTCGTAGAGCCCTCCCGTAGCTCGTAGACACGTAGCATTCTTATAAAGGATTACATCCCTTCGTAGGACCCATCCGTAGTCCGCAGACAGTAGACACGTAGCATCCTGTCGTAGACGCTGAATATTATGTTGTAGCAACGCCTGTAATAAAATGGGCCCGAAAAGATTTACGCGCTACGAACAGAGCTACGAGAAAACGACACTTCATTTGTGATATTTACGACGCGCAACGAACAATGCCTCGTAAATGAACGTTATGAACTGTCGTAAAGGGTCTCGATATAGCCATATACAGTCTATAATTAGGCCACTCGCCACTTTTACTGGCATTTTTAAATAATATTAAGTTTGCTCGCTCCCTGAAACTGAAATACACACCTAGGCGCATAATATCCTACAAGCGTAATGGGTCTATCTATCAATAGCAGAGCATAGAAATAGGTGGGGGCGTCTGGTTTTTTGATCCGCTCACTCTCGCATCCCTCGCAGACGACTTTTTGCCGACTTTGTTGTACAAAGACCTCACTCTGATAGGCCCTTTCAGACTAAGTAGGTAGGTAAGTAAAACTGCGCTACGAGGCTCCGAAATTGCCATCCTTTTGGCGTAATTACACTAGTAGAGAGAGAGTACAACAAATTACTTACTTTTAGCAGAATTCGCACGAAAGCATGCAGTAGTTAATAAGTAGATGTGGTAGAACTGAAAATAAGGACTTTCGGATACCTATACGAGAATCACTCAGATAGATTCATAAATAATACGCATTGAAATTCGGAAATGAGCCAGCTCATTAGCTATGATGAAAGTAGGCACGTTTCAAAATTGGCCTCCAATTTTTGCGATTTGCGGTTGCGAATACCACATTTAAAAGCAAATCAATGGTATATCTTGTACCTGTAGGTACGTTGCTCAATGAGGGGTATCGTTTTTATACGTAGCAGTTGGCACCCCTGGGGATTGACAAGAACTTACTCTACAGTGGCGCCATCTTGATGACTGCAAATCCGATAGTCCTCCTACCACTTAAGCACTCACCAGTTGGTGCCACTGTCTTCGATACTAGCAAGTGACAGGACCTTACTCTACAGTGGCGCTAACTGGTGAGCGCTAAAACGATAGCCCTAATTGTACCGCGTCTATAACTCCAATATTTTGTTGCAGGCAACCTGAAGCGGCGGCTGGGGCGCGCGCGCGGCTTCGTGCTGCGAATGTTCGACGCGCTGTGCAACTGCACGCAGACGGCTGCCGCCGCCGCGCGTACCACTGCACGCAACAATCCCTTCACCAAGCGCTAACGTGCTTCCGAAGACCGCGCCTAGCGACCCACCTGACTTGACAACCCTATGAAGAGCTTTGACTTCGCGCGTCCATAGCATCGATGACCCAACTGGCTGAAGAAAAAACCGGTTAAAAAGAACCATCACGACGTGATTAAATAGCTGCTTGGCTAGAGCGAGAATCGCGCGTCTAGACTGACTTCAAATCGTTACTTTCTCGAAACACGAACACGTTTCTCGCGCTAGACTAAGGGCCATGGACTTCTTTGGATATCGAACTGGCTCTGTAAGAATCAAGGTGTGGTAACTATGTAGTTTCACTGGAAAAGAACCGCATACTATCGGCTGTCGGTTCGAAAACCCAACTGGCTTTAAGCTGATCAGCTTACTTGACCTTTCACCAGCAGAAAGTCAGAATGGTCAAAGATTAAAACTAAGCCACGAATCCTTGATTTTCCACCCTATCCTTAATATCGACATTCGATTCAATCGACCTAAAAAGTTTATTCATTCCCTTACCTTACTTAATGATGACTGAATTGATTCCGGATCCCTTCCGATTTACCTCAGCCACAATCAAAACTACGCAGCGTATTTTGTTGTAGTAATGAAAAAAAATCCTTTTTGTGAGATAATGAAATTTCTTGCCGTATAAAAAATCCATTTTCTGGTCTAGCGGAGCGTAGTCATAATGTTCAAGCTCATGCCTACCAGAAATCTTTTTCTTGTCCGTGTTACACGTAAAAAATATTTAAAAGAATAATGAATCTCCTTTCTAAGCCACTGGGTATAACAGCGTCGAAGTTAATTATAGAGGTTGTACCTACAGGAAAACGCTCTAAATGAAAGAGTCTCAAATTACGATCCAAAGGTAGACGTAGGTACACTCAAGAATATTATAATATGAATGTAATCAGTTTTAATGTAATATCAACAGCAGTCCCACATAGTAATCTGTCTACACCTTTCCCCGATTAGTGTCTTCCCTGAACTATAGTAACTTACCCCTTTAACATGGTGTTATGTGATCGGTGTGACGACGCTTATAGTGTAAGATAATGTATTTAGCAATATTTAGTAGATATCTGGCATACCTACACCATGTACGACTGTCCTATACTGTGTATTTTCGAATGTTTTATCTGTTTGGAATATTGTATACAGTGACGAAGCTTTCACTTTATTTTCTTTCTGTCTTATATTTAACAGTGATTTTCAACGAGGGCGACCAGGGTGGCGAAGACATGTAAAGGAAGTCTCGTTACTTAAAAAAACAGTTACTAAGATAATTATAACGTAAAAAATCATAGCTGCGTAAGACGTAACCACACAAAGACGGTCACGCCCATGAAAAGTTGGAAAATCACTGTTTAGAAGCACCGACTCTACGAGTGCGCAACCTTTACTAACACTTTTCTAACTTTTACAATGTCTTGTATGTTCGTATTTATTGCGAAATTAAATATGTACCTACTTTAACACATAAGTTTATTTAAGGCTATCTATTAAGTAGAATTTATAATTTGTTTACAATGGCTTAGCACAAAACATCACATGCTCAAACTCTCACGTTTCTTTGTGTTTATCAGTATTACGTGAAATTTCCTTTAGGTGCCGATTATGAATAAAACGTATCTGTATTATGTAGTACATGTTTTCTAATAAAACCTAAATGTAAGCATATATCTACTTATATTATATTTATGGATGGGATCTAGAGATAGTCTTTGTTCTCTGAAAGAAAACAATTACGTTAAAGCTAGGATTCTAGGATGAAATTGAGCTTGGAATCAGACATTAAAATTGTATGGATGTAATAAATGGATGTTTAAAATTATGCGATTAACAACTATAATTGAGAAAATATATATTTTTCAGGTCATAAGTAGATACCTACGTAATAAGTAAGATGAATCTATGTTTGAAATAAATGTTCAATGTGATATCCTGCCTATAACCTTTACTTCCGGTGTGTTTTCTCTTAAATAAAGTGGTTTTGTAAATATTATTTAGTTTAATTAGATAGGTACTACCTAATTAAGTTTTGTTTTTAGCCTGCTTAAAATCATAGGGCTACACAGTGGCAAAGATACCATTTTGTATGATTAGGTACTTTCGTAGCACTGTTACTGAAATAGGCACATTGACATAGAGATGATTTATTAACCTTAAGTAAGAGTAATACGTCCTTCAGCCTGCTTGACAGTTACTCTACTCCAGGGGTGGCCAACCGGTCTATTGCGACTATTAGTCCAGTCGATCGTGGCAAGGCAAAAAATACTACATGATTTTGTACTGAACTATGCAGCTTCATTTAAGATTTCAAGAAGTAAGTAGGTATGTAAGTGGTAGATCGTCCAGGGTTTCGTTAGTAAAAGTAGATCTTATGTCTAATCAAGTTGGCCCACCCTGCTCTACTCCGTAAATAAAAATTAAAGGATACAAAGATCAAACCGGGACCATTATATCAGAAGGACTCAGTTTGGTTGAGTGAGATACCAGTAAATTAGGTTTATTAGGGTTGGCTTGGCCACCCACTGATCATCGCCTCCCATAACAGTTAGTCAAACTCGCCTCCCTCCCTCCCCACTCCCAACCCTGCCTATCCCAAAAAGAATCCCGACTGAGCCATGTAGCTTAGTAAGATGAAAAATTTTCAATTAGGTAGGTACTAGTGTATACCTAGGTACTTTTAAAAAGATTTTGCGTGTTTACTTACGTTTATCGTGGGAAGACATTTTTTTTGGGTGGTATCCAGTGATAAACATAACTTACTTCATACAATAAAAGAAAATCCAAGTACTTAGTAAGTAAGTAGGTACGCTTTATTAAGGCGTATTAAGGGAATAGAGGTGGGTATCTTTATGGCTATGACCGATAAAATCTAAGTCTAGTCTAGAGCTATAAGCACTACGTGTCTGCGTAATATCGAATCGACGTAAATTATATGCATTAATCATAGATAGGGGAACAATGATTGTTAGTAAAAACCACTACTATTAGTCAGTTACTACGTACGAAAATATGTTATCTAATTAAGTACATTTGATAGACGTAAAGTATAAATTGTGAAAGACGTAAAGTATAAATTATAGTAAAAATAAATAAAATAAAATCTACATCGTAGAATAGTGAATATAAAAAACCCTATCAAATTAATTAAACTCTGTAACTGCGTGCTCGTGTAGGTGTGCCGTTTACTGTAAATGATTTGATTGGCGGCGGGAATATTGTGCAGTGGTTCGTTAAGCTTGTCACATGCAGTCCGTTGGTCAACGCCGCATACTCTCATCGATATATCGACGACGAGTATTATGTAACTAGTTACATCTCACAGGATCGAGCGATATGTAGGCACACCGTAATTTTGTGGATGAGAGTTTTATTCTAGTCTCTGTGGACCAGTACCTAATTAATCTTGACTAGTAGATAATATATGGTTTGGATCCTAAACACATCTGAAAGTGTTAAATTATTTTGTGTACGTAGGTACCTAGTTTATGAAGAAGTCAGGCGTACGATAGAGCCATGGCTCATAAATTAAAACGAGATCTTGTGAAAGAGAATCTCTGAACTTCTTTAGCCATAGAAAAGCGAAAGGAAACAACAACAACAACAACTGGTAATAAACCAGTTAAAATAAGACTCAAAGATTACTATTAAAACGTTTATTACATTTGACACTTATTTTCTATGCTTTTTGTAATGATGAGGCGACCGATCTCTGTCCCTCTTCTTTTTCTTCCCTTTTCTTTTCTTATCAATGTCACGTTTTTTTTCTGGTGTGCGTTTTCTTTTCTCTCTCTTTGGTGAATCCGAATCAGAGTCACTGCTGCTGTATCGCCGCCGACTTGACTTATGCTTCTGTTTCTTATCTGAATCAGAGAGAGAACTCAGAGAGTCATTACTGCTGTATCTCTTTTTACTCTTTTTTCTTCTATATGCCTTCTCTTCACTGCTTGAAGATTCTCTCCTAGATCTTTCCCTTTGGCCTCCAGAAGAATTGCTATGTTCAGCCTTTGAAGAATTATTGCTTCTGTTTCTATCTGCCCTTGAATCTTTGCCACTTGATGAAGGTTCTACCCTGTCCTGAGATCTTGGCTTTTCATCACTTGCCTTGAAGTCATTCTTGGAAGATTTTTGAGATAACTTTTCAGTTTTTTTGTATTCATCAAATGAATCAGCATCTAAAAACACAATAATTTTTATATGACTTTAGACATAATAGAAACAGAATAAATGTCCAAGTGTTGTACCTTGTATTATGTATTTGGCCAGGAGGTGTCAACTTAAAATATGAGGTGATGTCAAGAGATAAATCCTCAATGGCATCTGTGAAGAGAAATCAAGGTGCTTTATTGCCTAATATCAGAAAAGCAAGTTGCAATACTTGGACAGTATTCAGTTTCAAGAAAGTAAAGTATATTCTGCAGTACATACTTATGACTTTGGATTCTTTGTCAAACTCTGCCTTGGTGACAGGATGCATCATAAATTCACTCAGGCTCACAGTTTCCTTTTTCATTGTGATGTCTACCATTATACGGCCATTATCTTCATCAAGACTAACAACCTGAAATATAAACATATTTAGTATTTTAGTTACTCAGCATGCACTCTATAAATGCCAAAAATAATTGAATATTACCTTTCCATAGTAGCCACTGTATTTTCCAGTCGTAATCTTCACAAAAGAGTTTTTTACAATTGACAATTCTTCACCTTTCTCATTGACAGCTGCTTTTTTCTTTTGTTTATCAGTGATAACTTTATCTGCACCCAGGCCTAACCCCTTTGGACGCAGTTGAGGTTGTTTATACTTGGACCTGCAATTTTTATATGCAGACTAACATGGAGTTAACTCTTCACACACCAGCAATTTGATACAACAAAATTAATTGTTGGTACAGTCTAGCTTCAGTGTCTATAAGCCAAGCATTAAATAAATTCAAATAAAAATACATAGGTAGGTACATAAAAAGATATTAGTACAGCAAAAAGCAGTCTGATCTCAATTACACTTACTGCTCTTTGCTTGGTGTCCACCCCATGCCACGTAGCATGGCCAAACCAAATTCTTGAATTGGCACATCCTCATAATCTTCCAGGGTTGACTGAAATATTTATATGTAATATGATTGAAATCATAATAAATTCACTTTACTTATTGCCAATGTAAGGACACATTATTTGATATAACTTTAGACAAAATATATTAATTAAACCATACCTCTTTTTGTACTTCAACACCAGGTTTTTTTGAAACTGGAACAGTGAGATCATTGGTTTCAACTTTGACTTCTTTTTTGGCTTCTTCCAGTAGTTCTCTAACCGCCATTTGGTCTAATGTCTCATTTTCTGTTTTGATTTGCTCAGCTGCTATGACTGGTGGTTTATCTGTATTGTCAGTTTCAATCAAAGCACTTTCCACTTCATTAGCGATTTGTTTCAATCTTTCAGCTGTAACTAGTGTATTAGGTTTCATAGGTATAATTAAAGGCGCAGCTTCTTTTACTTCTTCCCCGCTGAAAATTGTAACACATCGATTTAGTACACAAAAACCAAAATATTGGAGGTTATGTCTCGCTATTGTAAATATTGTAATTTACTTTAACCCATAAGCCTGGTTATGGCTCTACTCACCCTACGACTTTTATTGATTTTTCTTCCATGCATTCTATGAATTCTCTTTTCTCTTCAACCACTGGTTTCTCAACTTTTTTCGTTTTCAAAAAACCAAATGATATTTTTTTTCCCTCCATGATTCGTCAATTTTGTAGTTGACAAGGAAAGAAATTATAAATGAATTGTACTTAATACTAATGTCTAAATTACATCTTGGATTTCCTGTAGATATTTCAACCCCCTATTTCATTTAGATATTCAAAATCAATAAACAAAAAAGCTTAAACCAAACCAAGCGATGTCGTCGTCGTAGTAAGGAAGTGACACTAATGACATTGACACAACGACAACGTTTGTTTTTGGTTTGATTCTTTCCTTTTGTAGGACAAATCAAAGGCATCATGTTATACAGCCAAGTCTTAAGATTTTATTATTCGAACTCATTGATTAAAGACAAACAAAACACATTCTTAGAATTGAAGTGTTTTGAGCAAAATTTATCTTCTCCGCTCCGCTCAATACTCAATACTCAATAGTTTATTGCTTGGTGTAAAGCGGGCCTCGCACATACTATTATCATGGTGAGAAGAGCGGTGTGCCTTAACCTTAATATTATTTTTGTCTAGTATTGTATGGCAACGAGAACAAACCAATCAGAGACTATAGATTTTTTCTAAAAACAAAACACGACCTTGCAGTTTTGCATTTTGCAGTAAATTGACATTTGACGTGTTTGTGTAAAATATTCAAAAACAAAATACAAAAACATGTCGCAAAACTTTAAATTTTGATTTAAAAATTACTGCGTACCTAGACTTTCGATATTTGTTCATTTCGGATATAAAATTATAGTTAACTACTTTGCTTTGGTAAGTAATAAGTCGCAATAATTATATTTAAAGTGTCAGACTTTTTGCGCAGGTCATATTTTATTGAAAATTGAATTACTTTGATTTATAAACCTACGTGATGTTGCAGAAACATGAATATGGACGGGCCTAATATAGAGCACAGCGACTCCGATTCAGGGGAGAGTTGGTCCATTATAGAAAACATTCCATCATATGGAGACGAAGTCCCCGAATTCCCGGAAAATATTGCCACCAATGATCGGTACGTGTAGAGTTTATTCTACATTTGTTATTTATTTACACGACAGCCATAAATTATCAATGCAGATGAAATTTCGTTGTGACCTTGAACAAGTAGTGCTTCAGAGTAAAACGTAATTTCACTGACTTAATAGGTATGTAGTAGGTACTTCCATTTGTTACGTATCTGATATCAGAGAATCATAATATTTTTGATAAGATGAAGGACATAAAAACATACAATTTGTAAAACAACATTTTGTTCTGCTGTTTGTACAGTAATGATTAAAATGTCCCATGAACTCATTTTAATATTAATGGCCATATGTTTCACACTTTAATGGGGTATTGTTATAGATTTTGTCAATTCTATAATTACTTAGAAACCGTGTTCCAGAGCTGATAATAAAACATAATTATGTTTTATTTTCCAGTGAAAGAGCAGACACAAATGTAGAGAAAGATGAAGATACTGATGGTATATCAATTATTAGTGATAGTGACCCCGAGCCCTCCACGCCGTTTGAGACCAACTACAAGAATAATTCTGACGATGACTCCTCCCGCCTCATCCCTCAGTATGTGACAATAAGTCCTCCAGACCCCAGCACTAACAAGCTTCATGAGTCTCTGGAAAATGAAAACGATTTTCTTGGTGATAGTCTTAAACATAAAACATATGTGCACAGGAGGAACAAGAGATTGAGCTCAGTCTTGAATATTATCGTTCTGGGAAGCGTAATAACTGCAGCCGGTGTGGCCATAGGCCACATGTGGGGCGCCAAAAATGATTGTTCAATGAACACCACTCCATCAGTGAACAAAATACTGTCAAGTCTTTACAAACTTCAAGAAGAAAATACTTACTTGCGAAGTAAACTAAAAGAATTGACAATGATGCATAATTTAGAGCTGAGAAAGTCTGGTACGGAAAATATGCATAAACCACAAAACAAATGTAAAAAAGTATTTGAGGACTCATTGAATAACATTTCCGATAAACCTACTAAATGTGTTGATAGTGGTGACATTCCAAGGATACTAGATCCACAAGCGGAACAAGGGCATGCAAAAGATTTTGTGAGAGATATCAATAAACTAAAACATGTCTACAAGCAAAACAAAAGCTGGTTAGATGATGAAATAAACAAAAGGATTAAGGACCAGCAGAAAAGGATGAAAAAAAGTATAAAACTTTATAAAAAGTTGCAGACAGCAGAAGACTCAGAAGTAAAGCAAATCAAAGATGAAAATTTCAACAACGTGTTAGAACCTATCATTGAGTCCACTACAGAAACTTTCATCAATAATGCTGATGAACCAGTGAAATTGAATAATATTGAAGATAAGGGTTCTGGAGAAAGAATAAGAATAAGCTATGCAGATTCTCTTAAATCTAACCAGAAACTAAAGGGAGATACCAAGCAATATAATGACTTTGTCATGGATAGTAACATCAATAAAGATACTATGAAGAAAAAACCCCATAAGAAAGACTTGGACACTTTATCTGGTCAGTCCCTAAGTGAACCTGAATTTAAAAAAGATGACAGATACACAGGCAACAAACAAAAACAAGACAGGAAGAAACATGATAGACAAAAGTTACACAAGAAACAGAAGAGGAAGAATAAGTATGAACAGTGGGAGATGAAAGGGGGCTATCTAAAGGACTATGATGACTTTTCTATATCATCATCCCAAGAAAATGAGTATGTATTAAAAAATCCAGATAAAAATTTTCTTGCCAAAGATTTTGAACGTGAAAATTATATCAACCAATTTATTGAAGATACCAAGGTCAAAAGTGATGAGACACATAATAAAATAAAGAACGAAAAGCATGTGAAGGGCAAAGAAAAAGACGTTGCTTGGTATGAAAAACGAGCATTATTGAGAAATGAGGCTAGGAAAAAGAAATTGGAACTTGAGCTGTTTGGCGAAACCAGTCCCAATAACGCCAGCTGGTATTTCCGGCGCGGGATGCGACGCGAGCAGTGCCGCGCCAAGCGCGACAACTCCACTTATAGGAAGTTTGCGAAACACACCATGAACTATAAGATAAAACATTAAATGCATTCATAAATTACTCCTTTGGGGTTTGGTACAGTTGTAATGTTGCATTTAGGATTTGAATCACATGCAAGAGTGCGCGGTTGGATGGCGGGAGCTCGGGAGGTCGCTTGAGGATGAATCGGAATGGATGAATAGAAAAGGATGCAAGTTTTCTTATTTGGCACCTTAGAAATTATCAGTCCAGTGTTAAAGCAATAGTCTAATATTTAATATTAATAACCTTTCATACTAAACAGTACACATACTCTTATTTGCATAGCTTGTAAACTGTTATATTTAGAGATTCAAGTTTATTCCAACTTTATTAATGTAATGAATTGTAAATTTTCATTATTAAATGTAACTTTTATCATAGGATAGTGTTACACCTACTTACAGATATGAATACTACTTATAGGATAACATAGACTTCACTCTCCACAGTATGTTTTGATAAGAGACACTGTAAAATTGTTCTGGACCTTACAAACCTTGTTTTATAAGAATTTGACTATACAAGCAAATATTATTTATTGCATTTTCTGCATTCACTACTTTATTATACTAACTAGATTATTCTAGAATAATATACAATGTGAAAATTTTACTGAAGGTTGTTCAAATAAATAAAATACACACATAAGATATGAGTTTTATTAAAATATACTTATTACAAAATCTTAATTAACTGAATGCATTAAGCAAATCAATACATTACTCAATCAAGGTTAGTTTAACTTCTAAAATAGTGACTAAAGAAGTTTTGTCATTTATTTCTTGTAAATCCTTTTCAATCGTCTCCAATAGCTCCACTGAATACCAGGTTAATGGCGGCGTTTACATCACCTGAAGAAATAAAATACGTTCAGTATTTCTGTGTTACAAAAATATTTACACATATGGCCTACCTACCTACTTATTTGACAAGAAAGCCGGTTTGAAAACCACTCATAGTGGCTTTATAAAAGATCAGTAAAGTAAATAGAAAATAACACCGACACACTTCTTACCTGAGCATATAAGCAAAGCCCGCACATTGAGCGCATCGTCTACCAGTCCCATTTCGTGCATGTGTTGCAGTTGAGGCGCAAAGTCCTCTTCCCTGGAAATGAGGGTTGAGGATGACCCTGGAAAAGTACAAAAAATATTTAAACTGTATACCTATGGCCCAATACACATTGTAGTATGGATGTGTGTAATTCTTGGGGCACAGTGTGAGTTTACATCAAACGTATTAGATATTGATAGCGTTAAAAACATTTAAGAAGATTTTAGTTCTTGGAAGTTTCCGCTAGGGGACGCGTTTGACGTAAACTCACACTACGCCCTTTTCTGTAAATAGAAGATAACAGGATTCCGTGGAGGGTAGTTGAACGGGAAGCATGGTCGATCTGTTTAATTGGTAATTGTTTCAATTTATAATTTAATGGACTTTAGTGTACAAATTTGGTGTTATTTTGTGTTCTGAAGTGCAGTGAAGTGATAAATTATAAAAAACATTGAAATACTTCGAATTTGAGCGTGCATCGAGTGTCGAGTGGGTTGTCGTATGAACAACCCGCTTTGGACCCGGTGGCGTCTTGAAACCTGCTTACGGGCATACTTAACTCCACGGAATCCATGAAAAATCAATAGAACTGAAACACCCACGTTCTATTGATAACTATGTCAATTTTCACTCGACATTGGCAGAAATAAACCTCCCAGAGAGGTTTGGTTGCCATTAAAAAAAAAATAAAAAAAGATAACAGTATAGTCTTACCTGCTGAAGCTGAGCCTTGGTCCATAGGAGTGCTGGCAGATGTAGAATTCCTAGTGCTGCCTGCGCGCGTTATGGCCTCTGATATCGCCTCGCTAAACATCTCCGGAGTTATCATCGATCGGCTAGCACCTGCAAGACCAAAGTGAAATATTGTTGGTATAAATAAATATACATATGAGATTCTCAAGAGAAATTCAGTCAAGAAATAGATGGCAAACGTAAAGGGCGACAACAGGCGAAGTGCAAGAATAATTTAAAAGCAATGGCACTGGAGAAAGACAGCATGAAAAACAAGTGAATAGAAAATAATGGTGGGAGGAAAATAAATAAATCGCTAGATAATTGAAGCGAAAAATTTTAAAGTTTCACTTATTTATTTCAATCAATGAGATTTGACGCTGTATGTGCACTTCTCAAATGCACACTTGACTCAAAAGTACTTTTCACAATAAGTGCATTTTCACCTTCACACATTTTAAATTAATGCTCCTTTTGCGAAGTGCACATTCTGCGTAGACCCGTTCAGTGGACGTGACATGCGATGTAAATGTAATGGCGCAAGTAATGCGAAAAATTAACCGAGACAAAACGGTAGATCGAACAGCGAAGTATGAGCGACGCACGGGTGGAGGAAGGAGAAAGTAACCGAGATGGTGTTCACACTATAATGTCTTGGCCAATTTCCCATATAGCAGTGGCGGAATAAGAGGGGGCAGAAGAGGCGGCCCGCACGGCCTCGGGCCCTCGGTCTTTGGGGGCCCCAAATGCCTACGCATTCTCTTGATCAAATCCTAAAGTCTTGACTTTAAAAATATTATAAAATTTCTGACTTTAAAACCTACATAATATTAATTTCATCAAGATCAAAAACACTACAGTCATCTAGAATTTTTACGCGGTACGCGCGTTTGCCTCCTGCCACATAAAAAAAAAAATATTTCGCTGAACGCGTCCAATATGCTGGGGGAATTCCCTAGCTTTGTCGCCCCGGGCCTCTGACTTAGTTCGCCACTGCCGCATAGTGTATTTACTTGGCTATAAGCATGAACTGACCAGCGGTAGTAGGCGTGCTGGCTTCGGTGCTGCGCGTTGAGTCGTCAGCTGCCGCCAGCAGCCGAAGGAGGCTGTCCTGGCCGCCAGCGCCACTACGCGACCCCGACACCGCCTCTGTCGCCGCCTGGGAACGAAACGAACGAATGTCAGCGACAGGAAACGAAGATGGCGGGCCACATGAACAATGACATGATCGTAACGTTACATTTTTGTATAGTTCCAAAATACTGAACTGTCCTATCCAGGACATTGACAGTGGGGCGCCACCGTCAATACCGAATCGCTGGTTCCGATTTTTGCCATGTTGGAAACCATATAGTTGAACGATGGTAGCGCCCCCCTGTCATTGAGTTTGGTGGGACAGTTCAGCGTGGGTCATCTATAGTTAAGTGTTGACTGATTTTTTGTGATTAAAAGTGGTTTTGACTAACACCCTCGCTCCGTCAAAACCACTTGACAGGAAAAACCAGTCAAAAGTGATATTGACCAAGGGCATCAGGTTTTGACTCTAATAGGCCCAGTTTCCACCAAAGTGGAGCTGAGAAGAGAAGTGTGTTGAATACCATTCAGATCAGAATTCATTATTTCCACTACTCGTCGTTGCTCCGCACAACTCGGCGCTGCCGCTGCCTAACGATTGTAGTAGAATATAACTTTACGGGAATAACTACATAAAAGGCTGATTGAAGCCAGTTTGGAAAAAACAATGCCACAACTTTATTTGAGCACTAGCTTTCCGCCCGCGGCTTCGCCCGCGTGGAATTTTGTCTGTCACAGAAAAACTTTATCGCGCGCGTCCCTGTTTCAAAAACCGGGATAAAAACTATCCTATGTTCTTTCCCGGGACTTAAACTATCTCTATGCCAAATTTCATCAAAATCGGTTGCGAGGTTTAAGCGGGAAAGCGTAACAGACAGACAGACAGACAGACAGACAGAGTTACTTTCGCATTTATAATATTAGTTGGGATAAAATTAAGCACAGAATTTGTCTCTAAGGTCAGATTGCTACTATACTGACTGAAAATATACATAGTATCTTTTTTTTCTGAACTCAGTGACCCAAGTAGTTTTTTATTGGTTGATTACACAGTAATAAAATACTTTGTTTGTTGCATAAAATGTTGTTATCATAACATTTACGTCAACGATGAGTCATTTCACTTGCAGTAAACATCTTTATTTGTAAACACGAAACAGTCTGGTACCTTCACCTAAAGATTACATAAATGTACGACGTAAAAGTCACCTCTCATACACTAATTTGATAATTTAGGCTGAGTTGCACCACCTTACTTTAACAATAACCGGTGTCTTTGTATGGGATTTGACAGCCTTGTGACGTATGTTATAGTTAAAGAAAGATGGTATGGATGGCAAACCAGCCTTTTTATTGTATGTACTAAAGTTTTCTTTGGTCTCGTTCGTTTGGTTCTTACACCTGTACTCACAAGCATTACTATGAGGTCTCACAGTGACACATGAACCAATCACAGAGCTTTATAAAACGCTGTGCGTTTGATTTGCTACTTAAGCAAACATCATATTATTATGTAAATATGGGTGTTACTCGTAATGCAAACCTGCAAAGCAGCAGCTAGTTGTTCCTGTGTGATGGGGTTCCTCTCGGCTGCTCCTTCTTCCGTTTCCTCCTCATCAGCATCCTCGTCTTCTGACAGTGCTTCCAGGGAATATGCAAATCCAGAAGTTGGAACTGCAAGCGAATCAATCAATCAATCTTTTTGACCTCACTATAAAGTGTTCCAATGGAGAATAGAATGTTTCAGAGTTAAAAACAAGTGCTGCAAGCAATTTATAAATATAGTATAATTATGAATGATCATTACTTTTTTATCTATTCTCTAATAAGAAGAGTAAACTGACCACTACCATCAATTGTCCCGGAAGCACTGGAGCTAGAGCGCACAAGGCGCATGAGTGTCCGCAATGCGTTGGGAAGCCCTGGGTGTGCATTGGCACCACGTCGCATTGTCTGCACGTTGGCTCCGAGCGCTGCCAGTAGTTCCACTTCGTGAAGAATGGACAACGTCGAACAGTCCTCAACCAGAGACGGTACGCTCTCTGATATCTCTGCCATGGCATTCTCATCATTCAGGAGCTGAAACACCAGTCAAAAGTCACAACAGTCACAAGCAAAAGGCTAGAGTTCTTTTATTTTTTGTTTTACTCGAAATGAAACAAGCAATTATCTATAAGGTTTTCAATCCATACCTGCATAGCTCTGGTCCACCCAGGAGCATTAGGCGTACAGCCTAAGGTCCTCAGAGATGTGTTCAGCTGCTGTAACTCTGAATCGGAATAGGACGGCGGCGGGGGTGGCGCAGCCTGAAACTTCCTCTTCACTACATGTACCATCTCACCATTCTTTACGCCACTATCTAGCAGCGTAGCGTCATCTTTTAAGATTTTCCCGTGGTGTATTAGCTCTGTCAAACAAAGTGATGTTAGAATAGTACCTACTACAGAAAAAACTGTTTGGGAATAGGTATGAGAAGCGATATCAAGACAAAGGTGATCTTAATTACTGTACCGAGGCACTGAGTAGATACGAACCCAACGACGTAGACGGAACATTAGCCTTTTTCTCTGCTTCCGATCTAAGAAGTCCCACAGTATTATCCAAGCTGAAGTTTTCAAGTTTATGACGCTCAATGGGTCCTGGTTTTACTTTAATGCCCAAAAATACGCACATAGATCCATCCATGTTTTTAATTAAAGCTATGTAAAAATATTTTTCTGAATTTCAAAAAACTTGAAATGAAAACTGAGTGTCACTGTTTGATGACAACTTGACTTGACAACAATGACATTCGTTTTTTTTTCCTGACATTCATCTTTTTCTTTATGGTCTTAAAGTAGTTTTTTTACATATGGCATCACTGATTTGTCTGGGACATATCCGTTCAATTACTTGGCCAAACCATGGTTCCACGACCCATTTTTAATAAAAAAAACAGGAAAGACGTCATCTCCCTATTTGGTCTGTGCTTTGTTTTGTCACGAAAAATTTCCTACAATTTTTTACAAAATCGAGATCAAAAGTTTATAATGACGTTGGAGAAATGGTTGATATGAGTAATAAATCAGACATTCAAGACATATATCTAACAATTTCACAATCAATATCTTGACAAGGAAGTAAAATGACTTGAAAAATGAAGAACGGATGTAACGACTTATCTGAGGCTAAAGTTGCAGAACGCAATGAGAAGGCCAAAAAACTTTATCGGTAAGGTTGTTTTAATACTATGTAATCCAAATTTGGTTAAAGTTACTTTATGTTGATCTTAACGATTCCTATTTTTGTCTTACTAATTTTCAAAACTACCTTTTTACCTCAGTCACACTTATAAACTTGTATCAATTGTTTTCAGCTATGTAACTGATGTAGCAAGACGTATCAGCGAAAGGACCAGCACTTGCCGATCCATTCCTGATCTTTTCTCCACCTCTACAGAAGTTCAAAGGCAGAAACTCCGAGATAACTGCGAAAAGCTACTTTTTCTTGACCCAGTAGAATATGGGAAAAAATGTCTGGAACTATTGTGGCGTAAGGTGTACTACGACACCGTGTGCACCGCGAAAAAGCTAAGAGAAGTGGACAATGAGAATGATAGCTACCTGTTTACCCACATTATTTGTGGAATAGGTCATTTCCATCACTTCATAGCAAGAATTCAATCAGAATTTAAAGTTGACTTCAAGGACTTGGATTACACAATGTTGCCACAAGATGAAGAAGGTGATGAAATAAATACAACACCTACTGAAGAACTGTTGCAGTTTGGCCGCTCTGCCCTCCACTCATGCTTGATATATCTGGGGGACCTGAGCCGCTACCAGGTTGAGATATTTCAGTCCCTTGATCCATCAATAGCAGCTCGCTACTACCTCCAAGCTGCTCATGTTGACTTGTGCTCTGGCATGCCATATAATCAACTGGGGAATTTATACATGGATAAAAACTATAACTTAGACTCTGTCTGTTACTATATCCAATGTCTCAGTACTGAAGCCCCATTTGAGGGAGCAATGGGCAACTTGACTAAGATTTTTGAAAAGAACAATCAATTCACTGAGACAATTAACATCTCCGAATTCCCTTCACAAGGAGAGCATGTACAAAATACAATTTCAAACTTTCTTTCTTTGATTGAGATATGGTATCTTGGAAAAGATGACACAAACATACCACAAAGGTGCAATACAATTGCTCAACAACTTAAAGTTTGTATGGACTTTACTAAGGCTCCTTTGCCAGATATCAATAAAAATTATATGGAATACACTCAGGCCATTGAGGAAGAAGGTGTTAATCCAACATATTTGAATGCTAACCTTGTGCATAAAATGGTACAGATATGCTTATTCACAATGTCCAGAATGATGGAAACTGATGAAGTTAAAGCATTTGCTTGCAAAGCATTTACTCTTGCATTACTTTCACAACTCCTACAAAAATTATTAAAACAAATTGAATTACTTGGATTGAAAAATCCTGCAAGTAAGTACAGGGCAAGAAGAATGCTGGTTCAAGAAACTGAGTCAGTTGAAGATGAAGTGGAGTCTGTGCAGGAAAATCCAATAGTTGAAGACACAATTGAAATAAATGGAAATAATGACAGCTGTGAAGAGCTTCACTTTAAGGAGGTGCCTTCTGATGGGGATGGTGATCCTGAGAAGTTGCAGAATGGAGATGCGAAAAATGGCAGAAAGTCGTTAAAAAGACGCAGGCGACGCCGACTGGCTTCATCAGAAAGCTCGGACGTGAGCAATGCAGACACAGAGAGCAGTGAAGTTGAAACTGATGAATCTTGTTCAGATGAAGAACTGTCTGATTCTACATACCCATCAGAAGACGAATCCAAAAGTGATGCCTCTGACACTGAGGCTTCTGATGTAGAGGAGGTAAATAAGCAAAATGGAGACATAGAGGAGTCTGCCAAGGAACCAGTAGGAATTAATGGAAAACATCCCCCGAAATCTTTTGGTGATAAAAGGGATTCTAAAGACAAACCAGCTGAACTAAATGAACTTGGAATTCAGAATTTTCTGCTTGGAGATAACTACTTAGCTAGTATCAAATTGTTACAAGATTGGCTTTATGCAGAGAAAGATTTAATTATGTCGTGTGGTGACAGTGGGGAGTCCCTCTTTCAATGTGTAGTAGATTTGCTCAACATACTTACATTCTATTTCAATCCTAAATCAAATTACATTAATGAAAACAAGAGTAAGATATTAAATTATGCAAAGTATACTGCCAGAAACCTCAAACTGGAGTACAAAAGTATTCCTCTATCTGAAGATGTCAACTTACGAGGAACAAGCATTTGCAAGTTTGACAAACATGCAGCCGAGTGGCAAACACTGGACAGATACAAACCGTCCCAATATGAAGAGAATATAATAAGAATTATGAATTTCATAGATTTCGGGAACCATATCGCAAAAATCGTGCCAAGAATCAGATTCAACAGGTCCATGAAGATATTTTACTTCAAGAAACTGCATCCCCCAAAGGTCAACACTAAGGTTAGCCACAAGAAGGTTCGCGAATGGCACAACACTAAGAAAAATAATGTAAGTTTTCTCATATAAAGTTTGGTACTTTTCAGATGTGGAATTTCCAATTTATTTATAAATTCAGAAATGTCAACCCCCATCAATTTTCTGGCACCGTTCATTTACCTTTATGTAGTAGCATATAGCTCTATGACTGGCCCTCCTGTTTTGGACACTTGCTACAAACGCTGTTGAGATATTACGATCAGATCAGATCACAGGTTACTGTACGTATTGAAGAAAGAAATAAAGAAAAAATGTTTATTCAGTATCATCGACAATGGACAGTTTGACACCATTCTCCAATAATTCGAAATCACAACTTTTCTAAAAAGACACTTCATTCTGGTCTTAATAACTTAATTAATTTTAAATTACCTGTAAATTACGATTTTTGGTCGCATTGTAATTGAAAAAAGTAGGTTATTTGAGTTGACAAAATAGTGACGTCACTTGCTTGTAGTGCCATACAAAATCTATGGGAGATTTCGGTTTTGACAGTTTTAAAAAGTACGTCAATTGATTGGTGGTGTCAACATGTCTATATGTTACGGTTAATGTGATAAATTGAAAATTATTAATAATAACCGGTTATTATGAATAATTACCGACAGTCGCGGTAAATGTGATAAATTAATCACATTTAACAGTGATTATTTAATCATTCAACCTTAGTACTAACAAATTTCATAAAAGAGAACAACATCTTGTGTACGTGCTCGTGTACAACCAAACTTTTGAAAGTTTTGATATCAAATATTAATATAATTTGGCATAATGAGTTTGGAATGTTTCTTGCATAATATTACTTTTCCATGATGCCTATAACATAATGTTTTGATTTAAAGTGAAAAATAGGTTAAGGTGCGGCGGGGGTGGCCCTTGGGCCACCCCTAAGCCGCCTATTTAGTTTTATACACACATAAATGACCTCATATTAATCATATTTACCAAATCATGCGGTAGTTATTCATAATAACCGGCGATTATTAATAATTTTCACATTTATCACTTTGACCGTAACATATACACTTGACTTACAACAATACAGTATTGTGTGTTATCCGCAGGAGGCGGCGCCGGGCGGGCTGCTGCGGCGCCTGGGCCGGCTGTGGCTCACGGCGCAGGTGCGCGAGCTGGAGCGCCGCGCGCCCGCCGCGCCCTCGCTGCTGGCGCTCGACGCCGCCGCGCTCGCGCACCACCTGCGCCGCGTCAAGCAGCTGTGGCGCGCGCGCAGCTTCGTGCTGCTCGTGCCCGCCGTCGGTCAGTACGCCACCCGAGCGGCGCTGTGCTCGTGACTTTTCAAGGCTAAAACCAGGCCTGTTCATCTCCGCGAGTTTACATCGAAAACAAAACACGCACGATGTGGGCCATCGTGCGTGTTTTGTTTTCGATGTAAACTACAGGATACTATTCGACAAGACCTCACATACGAGCGAACGTTGACTCGCGCACGCGTATTCTTGTGTATGATGGAAGAAAATAAAGAAAATGTTGTACTAAATACTGTGCAGTATTTAACTGCCTAAATAATAATAAAAACACAGAATGTACTTTTTTAAGTTGCCTCAAGACACTGAGAGGTAAATAAGTTATTCATGATAATTCATGCGAAATCATGTATTTCCTCCGCCATTTTCCGCAGTTTGGCACCTCACGTCACATCATTTTACCGAAGTCAGCCCTATAGCTCGGCGCAGTGCCGACCGATCACTGACATTTGTCAACAAAATGGTGCTTGACTCTTGAGACAGGCTAAATTACACCATATTGTTAATGACATTGAGCATACATTTTTACACACCCCCTAGATCCGTTCCCGGAAGACTTACATGTGTAGAACCTCGGCGCTGACAATTTTGTGTGGTGAAAGAATCACTAGTCTCACTTTCGAGACACGCGACGTGACCGATGATCTTTCCCTTTCCAGTGCTTCAAGAGCTGGACGAGATGAAGCGGACGGACAGCGGCGCGCGCGACGCCATCCGCTGGCTGGAGCTGCAGCTGCGCAGCGGCTCGCGCTTCGTGCGCGCGCAGCGGCCGGGCCAGGCGCGCCCGCTACCGCTGCTGCGGCTGCCGCGCAAGGCGCCGCCGAGCGCGCACAACTTCGTGCAGATCCTCGAGTTCTGCAACCACTTCGTGGGCGACGAGCGCGGCCGCGAGGGCGAGGGCGACGCGGACGCGCTGGTGCTGCTGGTGGGCGAGGCGCCGGCGGCCGCCGACCCCGGCCCGGCGGGCGCCGACTCCGGTCCGGCGGCGGCCGACTTCAGCCCGGCGGGCGCCGCCGCCGCCGCCGGCGTGCCGCTGGAGCGCGTCGCCGACTTCTACGCGCGCTGGCGCCACGCCGCGCCCAAGAACGGCAAGAAGAGGTGAGCGGGCCCCCCGCCGGAATGAGGTCTCGCCAGCGCCGAAAGGAAAAGACGACGCTCTTCACTTTCGAAAACGAATGAATCATCCCGTTCGGAAGGACAACGATCGGCATCATCGGGCGCCATGCCGCGACGGCAGCGCGAGTATCGTGTTCGATATCAATAGTTTACTTTTACAGGACGGGCCGTGGACGCGTGTCCGGCCTTTTAAATGTTGTTCCGAATTTAATGTTTAGGTAATAAAATAACATTCTCATCGATCGTAATCATCCTTCCTCTCTCATACGCTATCGTTCATAATCATGGTGTCATATTTACGGTCATCGCCGTTTCACTTCATTTCCCAAAAATATTTCAATGTATCCGTATTCTCGTGCAAACTTTCAATGTTATTTTATTTGCATATGAGTACGTATTTATATAAGTATGTATTTTGGGTTCATATTTGATTTCTTTATTCTAAAGTTTAATTTTCTATCCTTGAAATAAAGATGTTCATAAAGAAAGTTTTGTTATTTACTACAAACCCCCCAGCATAAATACACGACAGCAACAAGTGGTTGTTGCTACAAACAGTATTCACACGCTACAATAGGTAGGTAGTATATTTCTACAGGGTGATTTTGTTATCAGTATACATTTTTTAAATAGAACGATCTAACAATACAACTTTATCTTGAAAATTTTTAATCGTGGTATTTTCGCGAAAAAAATAATTGAAAATCGTAATTCGCGGCTGCCCATATCTTATTTTTTTTTTGGGTTTATATTTTACTAGCTTTTGCCCGAGACTTCGCCGGCGTGGAATTCAGTTTGTCACAGCACAGATCACAAATTATAGCCTTATATTATTCTAATGTATAAATAAACAATAATACTGTAGTTTCATCAAAATCTGTTCAGTACTTTTTCGTGAAGACACACGCCCGTTTTGTGACCCCTACACAACAAACAAAATTCCTGTTATTTGTTACTATAGGGGTCACCTAAAAATTATGGATTGATGGTGAAAACGGGCAACAGTCTCATTTATAGTATTATATTTAATTAGTAGGATTCTTTAGTAATATACTTACGAACATAAGTACGGGACGGGATCATCCCATTGTGTTCTGTTCCGAGCAATCCGAGCTATCATAAGAGAATGCCTATAAATGTATGTATGGTATTAATTAATTTAAAGTATATAATATATTATTTAAACTTACAATGTGGCGGACTTAATACAGGATGATATTACCTTTAAAATGGTACCATTTTTATTTATCTTCTATTAGTCATTTAGTTCTTACGATCGTTCATAACGAATCACAGATGAGACAGGGCAAATACCTACCTGAGAAAATTGAGCAGGTAGTCTAATGCACAGATGGTGTAGTGTGATAGCAGAGGATACTTTGATGTGCTAAGAACTTATTATATTTTCTTGTGTAGGGAATTGGAAGGAAAAAAATATTAGACATGATTTTTCACTCTATATATTTAGTATAAGTAATGTGTATTGCTAAAATACTAATTTAAATAAAAAAATAAGTTATGTAACAAACAATATACACATGCGAATCCAAACCATAGCCAAAATGAGCACATAAATGTTTTAGACAATTTTCGAGAATCTTAAACTTTTACCTCTGTCTTAAAATATTATGCAATATTGCAATGTATCAAATAATGATATAGGTATAGGAAAACCTTAGTTAAAAATATGTGCATAAAATTACGTAACAACTTAAGATTAACGCTTTTTTGATTTGTGTTATGTCACATATCCTTAAAAAATAAACTCAAAAATGAGATGTAACATTAAAGTAGCTATATTACAATTTTTAACATAACCATGCATACAGTCATATCCTGGCCGCAGAGGTTAGTTAATTAAAAACTCTTTTAATTTGTCACTTACATTAAGATCAATATAATAATGTACAAAATATACATTATGTTATAACAATCTTTCAACAGTCTTATACTTTAGATACCTATACAGTATTGCACTTAAAACACGTAACTAGAGTAGTATGTAGTTATCAATTTAATTACATAACTTGTTGAGATTATTACTAGCCGACATACAGTTTGGATAAAACTGGCACAGACTTGAGTGATCCTCATAGCACACCTAGTAACGAAATGTAAAAACTTTCTCAATCGATTCCTAAAATTACATTAAGTCTTAACAAAGGCTATAACTCTGTACAATTTGCTACGAGTTCATCTGTGGCATAAAATTAAAGTTTACATTTACAACAGTTTTCGGCTAGCAACCTACCAGCTGTATGAGCTGTTGCACGGTCGAACGATCCAGCAAACACAAATCGAAATCAAAAGTCTGAGTGGTCACTTCGTATTTGCCGGTCTCTGCTATGAGGTTCACAACGCGTTCCAGATCTTCGTTATTGTTGATGGTCATGATGCGCTTCTGCAGGTCCCGCAGCTGCCCCATGTACTCGGGGGAGAGGTCGCCGGGCTCCGCGTCCTCGCCGAGGCTGCTGGACACTCCGTTGTCCTGGACCTTGGTCTCAACGGACGCGGAGCCGCTGCTCTCGCCGCGCTCGTGCTCGTTGGCGGGCGCCGAGTCCGAGGTCTTGGCCATTTTTCTATTCTCCGCTTCCTCCTCCTCGGCCGCTTTCCGTTTGCGCCTCTTTTCTTCCCTTTTCGACGACTTGTCTTTGTGTTTTTTAGATTTCTCCTTTTGCGGCGGAGGCGCTTCCACCACGGGCTCTATGACTTCAGGCTCGGGATCGGGTTCCGGCTCCGGGGTTGGTTCACGTTTGAGTGGCTCGGGTGACGGATTTTCAACTTTAACCTTGGTTTCTTCATCATCAGCTATTATGGAACATTCAGAATCAGAGTGACTGCTATGAACGTCTTCGATCCCCAGGTGGGAAACCTTAACTATTCCACTCTTTGAACTACATTGTGACGCTGTATCAATAGATATTGGAGATCCTGGGTCTGGTAAAGGACGTTCTTTAGGTATTGGAGTTTCTCTGCGCTCCACAACTTCAGGTTTTTCAATGGGCACTTCTCTATTCTTGTCATGTTTATGTTTTTTCTCCTTGCTAGACTCTTTATGTTTTTCTTTTGATTCATCGCGTTTTTTGTCTTTCTTCTTATGTTTATGTTTACCAGATTCTTTTTCTTTTGATTTTTGACTTTCAGGTCTTTCTATATTTTCTGGTGGTGTCTTTCTAAGATTCTCAATTGAAAATTTGTTTACAGGTTTTTCAGGTTTGGATTGCTTTTCTTTCAGTTCTTTAACAGGAGGCGATTCTTTCGCTTGTTCTTTTTCTTTCGGAACTTCTCTTGGTTTTATTGATTCCTTGACAATTTCTTTTGGAGGTGGTTCAAAAGATAATTTTGGTGAATCTTTATTTTTATGACTTTCTTTTTCTTTTTTATGCTCTCTCTTCTCTTTCCTTTCTTTATCTCTGTCGTGACTTTTCTTTTCTTTCTTCTTTTTCTCTTTTACTTCTTTCTCTACTTTAATTTCTGATGGTTTTTCTTCAACTTTTTGTTTCTTATGTTCTACACTTTCTGAAATATGCTTGGAGGGCTTGAACTCTTCTTTGAAGCTGGTTGCACTGCTGGAGCGAGGAGGAGGACTAGCTGCCTTCCTGACCGGGCTAAGACACCGCTTTTTAGCTGGTTCAGGTGAGGGTGGCCTTTCATTCGGTCTTTTAGCAATTTGAGGTTTTTCTTTGGGTCTTTCCTGATCCTTCGTGTGACTTTTTACCTTGTGGGCTTTCACTTTATCTTTTTCATCCTTAGTTTTACTTTTTTCAGGTTTTACTTCTTTGTGCTCATGCTTAGACTTTTTATCTGAACTTGACCGTTCCTTGTCTTTTTTATCTGATTTAGGTAATGAAGTACTTGTTTCGATTTTCTTAGGATCGGGTGATACTTTAGGTGGCTTTAGTATCGGTGGACCAAATAGTTTTTCAAAACCACTAGTTCTATGTGGTAATTCATCTTTATGTTCTTTCGATTTATGCTTTTTGGGATTATCGGAAGACAGCTTTGGTTTGCTGGTGAGTTGTGGTTTTTCATCGCTAAACGAGTCTCTACTGCGGCTTTCTTGATCTGGATTTGTATAGTAGGCATTGTTAACAATAGGAATTCCTCCACCTTTTAATAGCTTCTTTTTGAATTCATCATTTGGATTTTGAAAAATATAACGATCTTTCAAAAATCCACATTGTTGTAAAGTAAAATCATAAGTAAACTTGATTTTCTTCGGTTCATCTTTATTTTTTAAGTATATTTCAATGGGAAATATAAATCCTGCATATCCTGATTCTTTGATAGAGAATGGTGGTTCCTTCACGACTGAAATAGAAATATTAAAAAATTAGTTTGTAAAAACAAATAAAATAAAATAAAGAAGAGTTTAATACTTGGTAAAAGTTTAAGGCTGTACTATCTGTTGGCAGTTTACATTAATATTATGAAATCAATTAACTCTAATAAAGACACTATTAAATTGTACAGCTCAAATGATTAAGTAAATAACTCATTAAGATTTTGTAAAAATTCTAACTTGAATGAAACATAAACATTAATAAATTTGTACAGAATCTCACAAGATCTCTGTGATCTTCTGTATAATCTTAATTTTTCCATTCTAATAATGTGTAAAATAAACTTTTAAAAAATACCATCAACTTAGCATGGTCATTATTACTATTGTAAACAATAATTGTGATATTTTTAGTTTGTAAAATTAATTTAATTTACCTCTTCTGGGTTTGGGAAAAGTTTCGTGAAGATGAAATACGACTTTATCCACAAAGTGACTGATATCGGCTCCTTCTTGCCCGCGTACGAAAACTTCCCAGTCATGAGTGAATCCTTCAGGAGTTTTTTTGGACCGTAAAGAAGCTTCGTGTCCAATTTCAAAATTAACTTTTATCGCCGACATTATGAATCCAAATGCGATGCACAATAATCGTAATATTTACATCTCAAATCGTGCGATTTCTGGAGTAGGCAAAAATCAAACTTCTGACACCACTGATACACTTTTGTCCAAACGGTGTTACAATATATAAACAAAATATGCACTTTAAAGTTTGTATCACACAATTTATTTACCGGATCACTGATATAAGTAAGTAAATGAAAATAATCTTTTAGCGCCCTTGTTATTTTGGTCCGCCATATTCTGATCATCGACATTAATTTAGTTTTTTAAATCGCTTTCTTTTTTACTAATTTATTACGGCTTTGAGTTTTAGCAGTTAGAATAATAATGCTACGCCTAAATGCACGATTTATTCTATAAAATGGCAACATTGAAAGAAATCAATCATGGACATAGACAAGTAAAAAAATTGATTATCAATTTTTGACAGTCGTTCAAATAGTACTCTGAATTTTGATTTGATTCAAAACTGTGCGAGCTGCAAGTTTTACTTGGAATAGATATTTTTATTAATTTCTAGTTTAAGTTACACAAAACGTAACTATGTCTGGCTTAATGTCAGCAATACTTCAACCATTAAGGTATGTTTAGTCTCCAAGAATTGTTGAACATAACCTCCATTGACTAACATTGTTTTTAATATCATTAAATTATTCCAGGTTTGTCCGACAAAGTTTACAAGTTGCATCTAGTATGTCGGCTAATACTACCAGTTTAGTACAACCTGAATGCTTTTCGCTGTCGTCAATAAGAAACAAAGTTCGCTGTTACTTTCCTCGTCCCAACGAGGTCAGAAGAGTTCGTCGTCACGGCTGGAACGCTAGGATGTCAACCCCAAACGGACGCAAAATTATTATGAGAAGAATACTCAAGGGCAAATATGTTCTCAGTCATTAATTACCTTGTAGAAAAGTTGCAATCATTAATATTACAATAGACTATTAGATAAAATAATAAATTATAATTTGAAATTAATCGTTTTATTTTGAACATGTTTTAAATAATTACAAAGTTGTACTTATTTTCTAACTTCACTGAATGGTAAAAAATAAATAAAAAAGAGTTCAGGCTAAACTATTTTTTTTTTCACTACAGATTACAATAATAACATACATGAACATTTGATTTGAGCATGATAACAAGCCTCAATACATAGAAAACATTCAGGATCCAGAGTTTATTTATAGGGGATGTAATTTCTTGTATGCTTAATGAAATCTATTTTGAGAAATTTGTTTCAAATACTTTTATTCTTAAAATCCAACAATGTGATTTAACAGTAAAGGACTTACAACAAATTAGTTGAACAAGTATTTTTGTTGGGAGTGCACAGAGTCTTCTGAGTTAGTTGGAGATTTAGCTGGTTTTAATAGATTGGAGACTTCTGAAACAACAAATGTTGTTAACTTTATGATGGCTAAATGTGCTGCCAGTTGCAAAACCAGGGCTCCAAATCCTTTGTATAGTCCTGCCACGCCCTCTCGGGCAATGGTTGTGTGGTAGCAGTCCATGAAGCCCTCGTAGCCGGTGAGGATGGGTGTCACTGATGTGCCAGTGTCCAGGTTGTCAATTATAGTTCTTGTGCCCTGTGGGTGTATAAACATAGATGTTTAGATCTAGTCAATTATAAATAGAAGCTTTGGGCACATTATTATGTGTGGAAAAATTAAACTAATTCACAAATTAATATTAGTTATGTCATCTTACCTGTATATGCAATCTATGAATGATTGTTTCCACTGGATAAAATAAGATCTCCATTGTTATGAATGAGAAAATATTGGCCTTCAAATTGATATCTTCAATAAGTGGATTTTGAGAATTCTTATTATAATTCATATTGTATGAATCACTCAATTCATGTTTATTTCTTTGCTGGAACCTAATGATCTTTGCTGTGATACTTCTTAGTGCAACACTGGAATTTAGAAATCACATTTTAAATTGAATTTGTTAGTTCCTATGTCAAATTTAAAAGTACAGAAGTTTACATACTGTGCCAGATATTTTGAAACTCCTAGTGCAGCAGTGGGCAAGACTATAGCCCAAATTGGCAGCATTCTCCCTCTGCTGGGTGTTCCCCATTCTAGGATACGCAGGAATCCTTCCCTGAATACATCCAGCAATGCTGGCTTGTCACTTGCTATGTCACTCTGCACAGTTTCCACAAGGCTTGCTGAGTAGAATGGTGTGATGATTGCCACACTCACACTAAAATGGAACACATTTCAATAAATAGTTAATAAATCTAATAAAAGAAATAAAATAACTTAATAGGGTATAGATCTTACCACTTTAATGTAATGTGCTGCAGAAATTGTAACACAGAACCACATTTGTCAATCTCCCTGAAAATAAGTTAATTTTCTTTAAACTCTGTACTTACATTATTTTATACTCAAAAAGCTTTTTTTAGCATTCATTTGTTTGTTTATAAACTTATGATTAATCATGTCTGCAAAGTTCCAAACATTTAAAACTAATCTTTACAAACTTACTTGGGCCACCCTGTTCCTTTGGCAACAACATCTTCCACAGCCAAGTTAAGTCCTTTCACAATGCAAGTGGAACCAATGCCCTTCCACAGAGTTGTAACATCCTGCCGTCGGTGCAGCCTCACCACAACCGGGAGTAAAGTGTATGGAACTATGTGATAACTTCTAAGACTGTTGTGGACCTGAAAATAAATTATATTATTTATAAGAACACAAACACGATTCTGTTAACTATTCTTCTTTTTTTCTTTACTTCTAACTATATTTATATTATTTATGAATATCTTACAAAATTCACAAACCTGGCATTGTCTTCGTAGAACAATAAATGGGTGGCTTAACAAGTTCTCAGTGATTAAACTCGCGACACTTATTGCAGTTGTGACATAGGCATTATTATCTAAAAAATAATAAAATATAGGTACTACAGCATAGCAAACACACTAATAAATTGCAGAAAAACAAACATTTTACATGCAGTGTTTTTTTACATTGAACGTTTATGAATGATCTAATTCTAAATTATTAATTAATTCATTTTCATTATATAAGATACCCCAATGAACACCCATCACTTTTTACCTTCTTCTGGTATATCATCCATGACTAAAGGAGGCCCCTGATATTCTTCAGTCACTGGTGTATGGTACCCGTATATTTGCTGGTAGCGGGTATCATACAAATCATTTGATTCTCTATTGGGATCCAAGCCGTACGGCCTGTTATAAGAACTGTAATCTCCGAAACCAGCCATTTCCAATCAAATGTTTAGCACATATTAACTACTAGACAATGACGAATTATAAATACATAACTGCAATCGTAAAAAAACTAATTAATTAGAAGAAACTAAAATTGTACAAATCAAGGTACAATTTTCTTAAAAGATTTGTTCTCGATGTCCAAGCTCGTAATTATTCTGACATTTGTGACAGTACTGAAAAGATACGCCAATACTATTTTAGCAACGACCACGTTAGACCAATCACAATAAAGCAGTCGAGATTAAATTTATTGAGGTCCAATGAAAACGCACCGCACCGACTGTCATTGCTGAAAAAAAAAATGTGACTGAAAGAAAATGTCAAAATATTTTTTTTACATAGTGTAGTAGTATGGAAACTTTTCCGGTATATTACCGGTATGTTTCAGACATAGAAAAAAAAAAAGGTTTTTTATAGCACTCTTCTGTCGTTCTCCCAGCTTTTCTCCCAAGGATCTTAGACAAAAACATAAATTCTGCAATAAAAGCTAATATGAACACTAAAACAAGTCTGATTACATTATCAGCAAGAATTTAGCTTAAAGGCCCATTTAGGAATTTGAGGATTGATTTTTCAATTGAATGAATAGTCCATTCATTTGATTACTGTTACCGCACTATTAGACAGTGACTAGACCAGTGACAGAGTCTGACAGCTGACTTTGAGTTTTGACGTGATTGACATTTTGGGATTGGGAGACATCGGCGCAATCGCAAAAGCAAAGCAAAATACCCTGGGCCAAGACGCATGTTCAAAAAGATTTAACACGGCCGACGAACCAGCAGCGAGTGAATATCGATTATAAAATAGGACAAAAGTTTGCTGCCCTCAAAAATGAGGCTAACGTTTAAAGTTGATATTTGATTTATGGAGTTTTTAATCATGATACGGAAGGCTTTGCTCTGTTTGACGACCTTACACATATACAGTGAGTGTCATAAGTAGATATATTATGTGTGCCATTGGTGTATGGTGTTGTGGTCTAGTTGCTATGATTGGCATTGTGTCTGTGGTTTCAGGGGTGTCGGCGCAGGGCGATTGCACGGACTTTCGTGGGAGGTTGATATCGCACGGGCTCCACTATGTGCCTGGCCCAGACACCTGCACGCTCTGTGTCTGTGACAATGGCATCCCCAAGGTCTGCAAAGCAGTACTGTGCTCTCCACCCCAGGTAAGTCTTGTTGATGATACAAAATGATATTCAAAACACTGTTCTGGAACTGTGTAAAAGAGAAGGGCTGACCTTTATATAAGAATCTTACTAGAATGAACCTATTAACCTTTTACTTTATCCCAGTCAGTTATTTTTTTGATACTTGTTAAGGTAATGTTACTATAGTTTCCAAAATGTAAAGTGTTATTTTAATATTTATTTGACTGATATCTCCACTTCTCCTGCCTTATTTTTTATCTTAATCAAAATAACAAATAGCATAGTAAAATTAATAAAATAAAACTTAAGAAAGTTAGTTCTTGTCTAATTAAAACTAAAAAATATTTGTTTGTAAGTGCTTTGAGCCTGAAAAAAATACTTCTTGTTCATGGTAGTGGAAAACCAGGCTGTGAGAAAAACATTATAGTAATAATCATTTATGTTTAATAGGTCCTTATAAAAAATGTAATTATAGTTTTATAAGGACTTATAACAGGTCCTTCTAGTTATATTTTACCACCATCAAGTACCACTTTGGAAAGTATTATGATTGAATAGGTATTGATAAAATTTTGATGACATGCTATTGTAAACAAAGAACCCATAGACTGATAAGATTCTGTGTACATAAAGAAATGACTTCCTGGAATATGTAGATCATGTGTATTAGTTATTTAGATATCATATCATTTAACAAACTCAAGTTTTTCCCACACCTCTGGCCTATCAGAAATGGAGTGATTGTGATTCTTTTGTCCACTAAATTATTCTTCCCACTGGCCTTGACTTTATCTTTGGTGTGTAAATCATATGAACAAGTTAAGATAAGAAATTAAAATAAAATTAAGAAAAATTTTAGACTTTACTTTTACTTTTAAAGTGCTATTCTGAAAACCAATAAAAATAAAAAGTTAAATAGATTATAAAACNTATGATTGGCATTGTGTCTGTGGTTTCAGGGGTGTCGGCGCAGGGCGATTGCACGGACTTTCGTGGGAGGTTGATATCGCACGGGCTCCACTATGTGCCTGGCCCAGACACCTGCACGCTCTGTGTCTGTGACAATGGCATCCCCAAGGTCTGCAAAGCAGTACTGTGCTCTCCACCCCAGGTAAGTCTTGTTGATGATACAAAATGATATTCAAAACACTGTTCTGGAACTGTGTAAAAGAGAAGGGCTGACCTTTATATAAGAATCTTACTAGAATGAACCTATTAACCTTTTACTTTATCCCAGTCAGTTATTTTTTTGATACTTGTTAAGGTAATGTTACTATAGTTTCCAAAATGTAAAGTGTTATTTTAATATTTATTTGACTGATATCTCCACTTCTCCTGCCTTATTTTTTATCTTAATCAAAATAACAAATAGCATAGTAAAATTAATAAAATAAAACTTAAGAAAGTTAGTTCTTGTCTAATTAAAACTAAAAAATATTTGTTTGTAAGTGCTTTGAGCCTGAAAAAAATACTTCTTGTTCATGGTAGTGGAAAACCAGGCTGTGAGAAAAACATTATAGTAATAATCATTTATGTTTAATAGGTCCTTATAAAAAATGTAATTATAGTTTTATAAGGACTTATAACAGGTCCTTCTAGTTATATTTTACCACCATCAAGTACCACTTTGGAAAGTATTATGATTGAATAGGTATTGATAAAATTTTGATGACATGCTATTGTAAACAAAGAACCCATAGACTGATAAGATTCTGTGTACATAAAGAAATGACTTCCTGGAATATGTAGATCATGTGTATTAGTTATTTAGATATCATATCATTTAACAAACTCAAGTTTTTCCCACACCTCTGGCCTATCAGAAATGGAGTGATTGTGATTCTTTTGTCCACTAAATTATTCTTCCCACTGGCCTTGACTTTATCTTTGGTGTGTAAATCATATGAACAAGTTAAGATAAGAAATTAAAATAAAATTAAGAAAAATTTTAGACTTTACTTTTACTTTTAAAGTGCTATTCTGAAAACCAATAAAAATAAAAAGTTAAATAGATTATAAAACAGGGTTCGAGGATATATATCAAGGGATATATATCAAGATATATATCGGATATATATCCGATATATATCAAGCCGGTTTTGATGATATATATCAACTTTTAAAATTTGTCACTGTATTTGTACTTTTTGATATAAGATTTTTATTTTTTTAGTTGATTTTGCCGTATTTCAAAGATATTTTATGTTTTTGCTTTATTTGTCTGATTTTAAGTTTTAAAAACATTAAAAACATGTTTATGTAACACATATGCAATTGTATTCATGAATAATACAATAAAATAATACTTTGGCTTTCATACAAAATTGATATATATCAAAGTTGATATATATCGGATATATATCATAAATATCCGATATTTTGATATTTATAATAAATATCGGATATTTTCGAACCCTGTTATAAAATAAATAATACATGAGCATGGATACTTTTGTCTAGTTAAAATCTAATAAGAATCATATTTAGGTACTAATAATTTGTTTATTAGAGATTTTTGCAAAGTGTAATCATTATACCTAAAATGATTTTTGAATGTTACAGTACTGTAAGTTTTAATGGACATGAGCAGAGACTTCTCTGGTCATTTAAGTGCAGTGTATATTTCGATCGCCATCTGCGTTGCGCCGCTTTGAATCGCGGTGTTGAAAGTGTTGTCTGTTGCAGGACTGCCGGTCGTTTCGCGTGGGACACACGTGCTGCGAGTTCATCTGCTTAGACGACGTGGTGAAGCCTTCGGAGGGCGCGGAGGCGAACGTTCGCGTGGCGGCAGGCGGCGCGGCCGGCGCGGTGCTTCTCACCGTCGCGCTCGTCGTGTACCGCGTGCGCCGCCAGAAGCGCCGCCGCCCGCCGCACGCCGACGACCAGCGGAGCCTCACTAGCATCGGGTGAGTCGCACTAGTGGACGAGCGAAGCCGGCGGAGGGCGCGGAGGCGAACGTTCGCGTCGCGTTCGTCGTGTACCGCTTGCGCCGCCAGAAGCGCCGTCGCCCGCCGCACGCCGACGACCAGCGGAGCCTCACTAGCATCGGGTGAGTCGCACTAGTGGACGAGCGAAGCCGGCGGAGGGCGCGGAGGCGAACGTTCGCGTCGCGCTCGTCGTGTACCGCGTGCGCCGTCAGAAGCGCCGCCGCCCGCCGCACGCCGACGACCAGCGGAGCCTCACTAGCATCGGGTGAGTCGCACTAGTGGACGAGCGAAGCCGGCGGAGGGCGCGGAGGCGAACGTTCGCGTCGCGTTCGTCGTGTACCGCTTGCGCCGCCAGAAGCGCCGTCGCCCGCCGCACGCCGACGACCAGCGGAGCCTCACTAGCATCGGGTGAGTCGCACTAGTGGACGAGCGAAGCCGGCGGAGGGCGCGGAGGCGAACGTTCGCGTCGCGCTCGTCGTGTACCGCGTGCGCCGTCAGAAGCGCCGCCGCCCGCCGCACGCCGACGACCAGCGGAGCCTCACTAGCATCGGGTGAGTCGCACTAGTGGACGAGCGAAGCCGGCGGAGGGCGCGGAGGCGAACGTTCGCGTCGCGTTCGTCGTGTACCGCTTGCGCCGCCAGAAGCGCCGTCGCCCGCCGCACGCCGACGACCAGCGGAGCCCCACTAGCATCGGGTGAGTCGCACTAGTAGACGAGCGAAGCCGGCAACGGGCGCGGAGGCGAACGTTCGCGTGGGTAATTTAGAGCTAATGTCAATCAATATGCGCCACAAAATTACTTCGTCACATTTCTGTTTTCGAAAGTAAATTCGTCACGAGACATATGTATCTTCAGTGCGACGAATTTACGCATGCGTTTTTCTATGAAAGCCAACGGGCTGTGGCAAATCGACATAACACCTAGACAGACTGTTTAGTTTAGGTAAATATTATGAGAGCTTGAAAGCGACTCGAAAGATTTGGCCAATTTATTTTCTTATTGCATTCGTAATTTTGTGGACAGGTTCATATGAATAATAGAAAATACATAAAAAATAGCAGGAAGCTTAAATTGTTTTCTGTGCAGGATAGATCCAAATAGCATACTGCAAAACTTGTGTTCTATTTTCAATATATGATAATATAATCCATTGGAAATCTTTTTTTGGCTTATCAACCATACCTACTTAATCTGGGAGCTTTACTTCTTTTGATTACAAAATTTTAACATTAATACTTACTGATGAAATGTAAAGAATTTGTAAAAGTATTTATACTTTTTAATATTTAACTTTCTATAATATTTTCTTTGGTGAGTTACAAAATAAAAATCGGTAAAAAAAGAATGATCTTGGAGACTATGTTAGTCGGTTAGTAGCAATGTATCAAATAAGTCAGGTATAAATTGCTTTTTTCAGCTACATAAGTGGCAGCATGGGCTACATGAGTGGAACCTGCGAGACAGCTCTGGCGGCTTGGAAGCCCCCGGGCAACTACCTGCCCCGGGGCGAAGCGCCGCCGCCCTACGACGAGGCCGTCGCCCAGTGCCGCCCAGACCAAATCAGGTTAGTAGAAACGTACATACGGGACTAATCCCACCTCTAGTTCCCACCGCTGCAACTCCTGTGTAGCCAGGTTCTACAGCTTGACCGCCAATAAAAACCCAACCAGTGAAGGTCAAGTTTGTCCCGGGGGAAAGTACCTACATGCGGGACCAAATCCCATTCCATCTTTGTGACCTTGTTTAGTTAGTAAAAGCTTGGTATTATTAATTTAAGTTCCTGTATGTTATGACAAAGAGTAAGAAATAGCTGTCCTCCGCCTACAAGTATAAAATATTATTGTGTGGACTAGTGTGGAGTTACATCCAAATCTAATAAAATTAAAAATTACGTTAAAATTATGTCAAAAGTCCACTTTTCATGCCGTGGCAGCCTGTAATTAAGATAGCACCTAGTCCTAAGAAAAAATATGTATGTAGGTAAACCCCTCTGCTTCTACTTGTGTCTGTCTTGTTGGTTGTCCTAAATGAATAAATAAATAAACTAAATAGCAATAGTAATGACACATGAAATTTAACGAAGTAGATCCAGGTTAATCACTTTAAACCTTTTGGTATAGATTTGTAAATCTAATAAATCAGTCATATCACCTTGACGTACAGGATTATAATATCCACATGATAACACAGTATGAAATAGGTGTTGGGAAAGGCTGGCAATATTCTTAATTTTTTGAACATGATTTTACATAAGAGGTAAAACGAAGGGTAACTAGCATTTTTAGGGGAAAATGTTTTTTAAGATGGTAATAACACCAGATTCGAATCAGTTGCCGCTAATGGCGTCGTAAACAGTTCGTTCGTTCGTTCGTTTCAGCCGAAAGACGTCCACTGCTGGACAAAGGCCTCCCCCAAGGATTTCCACAAAGACCGGTCCAGCGCCGCTCGCATCCAGGCACTTCTCGCGACCTCATAAGAAGGCTCAAGGTCACCCAAAGAGCGATGGAGCGTGCTATGCTAGGAGTTTCTCTGCGTGATCGAATCAGAAATGAGGAGATCCGTAGGAGAACCAGAGTGACTGACATAGCCCGCAGAATCGCTAAAATCAAGTGGCAGTGGGCGGGGCACATAGCTCGTAGAGCTGATGGCCGCTGGGACAGGAAAGTTCTTGAGTGGCGACCACGAGCCGGAAGACGTAGCGTGGGCAGGCCTCCCACTAGGTGGACCGACGATCGTACAATTTGATACTCATTGCAAAAAGAGGCTGGCTGAGTTTCGTGCGGCATCTTTTCTCAATACTAGTCCGATTATCCTGAAGCATTAGTAGGGTTTACATTAAAGTTATGGTGCGATATGAAATGGTGCTCTTGTAGCCTATACACCCAAGTGGTTCCATAAGACCGTCCTCAACTGATTCCTACTCGTTTTACGGGTATCTGGTGGTTTAAAAGTCAACGTTCTAATAATGATTGTATGGTGTGCGTAGAATGGGAAACGAAACGCCGTACCACCGCACGTACCCGACGACGATGGAAGCGCTGACGCGGCCCGAGGAGCCCGCGTGCGCCACGCACGCCTACGTCAGCGTGCCGCGCCCGCTGCACCAGGCGCTGCAGCAGGTACCTACGAGGCCACATGTATGTAAGGACGGCGACAGATCATGGAGGCCCGAGGAGCCCGCGTGCGCCACGCACGCCTACGTCAGCGTGCCGCGCCCGCTGCACCAGGCGCTGCAGCAGGTACCTACGAGGCCACATGTATGTAAGGACGGCGACAGATCATGGAGGCCCGAGGAGCCCGCGTGCGCCACGCACGCCTACGTCAGCGTGCCGCGCCCGCTGCACCAGGCGCTGCAGCAGGTACCTACGAGACCACATGTATGTAAGGACGGCGACAGATCATGGAGGCCCGAGGAGATACACTTGGATCTAAACACAATGTTTTTGCAGGGCCGTCGATGCGCGTTTTTATGTAATCGCAACGCACGAGACGCAACTTTTTACAGCGCTGTATTATAATGAAAACATCAGACCTTATGTCGTAATTTTTCTAGTGAAGTATTTTTTCAATCGTCAGATATTTTTTGTCTGAAAAATAAATTTGTCATTTTGACATAAATCCCATACTGAAAGTGTCAACGTGCCAAACTTATTCGCCAGTTAAAAGTTATCCGACGATTGAAGAATCAGCTCTCAGAAATAATTGTACTTATTTCCATTCCCCCGGCAGATGGCCAACACGCAGACGTGCTACAACGCGCCGCTGCTGCAGCCGGCGCACGCGCCCGAGCCGCCGCCGCCGCACCACCCTCTCGCCCCCAACGGAGGTAACTATCACCACAATAAGGGAGAGTCCGCTAATTTGGACCAGTTTTTTTCAATCCCATTTTACACATAGTTTTCTTTTGTTTTTGCTAATATCCATGGTATATAATAAAAGATACATTATTCAACTTACTATTTCATAAGTATTAATAAAATTAACATGATTGTTGTATATTTAGCACAAATCAACAAATTACGAGTTCAGAGCTTCGGTCCAATTTAGCCAACCGGTTCGATAATTTGTACCACAGGGTTACTAAATTGGATTTCAATGAATTTCAAGCCTATAAAAAAACTATGGCAAAATATTATACGATACATTCTTAACAAATTAGGAAACGAAAAGGAACAGTAGTTAATAACATAGACAATCGATATTGTTTTACACGTTATCACGATTTTGAGTACAAGTTTTGTAATTCCAATTATCCTACCTAACGCACACTTGTACCTAATCTACTTTGCCAGTCTTTTGCTTTCATTTATTGTTAGTCAAACATAACTACGCTATTATAACTTCAAAACATGATTTACTAAAAAAAAAATTCAAAATCCTTTGGTAAAGTTCCATACAACTTGATGTGGTACTACAATTTAGCCGACTAGGTGATAGTGTTTTTAAAAAATCGGTAAATAAAATGGCTTATAAATACCGAAAAATGTTTCAAATAATTGTAATCCACACGCTTTTACGCTTCTAAATAATATATTAGAAACATCCTGTGATTAAATTTAACAAAATTACAAACTAAACATGTATTGTCAAAAGTTACTTGAAAACAATGAAAAAATACTTTTCAAAATAAAACACACGCGTTTGTTGCCACGGCAAAAACCACATGGCCGATATTAATTGATTTTAGTTGTGTATCGCTGAGTGTTGCAATTACAGACATTCAATAAATACTTTACGAAATATGAGGGTGGTACAATTTACCCGGCGGTACAATATACCGAACTCTCCCCTAATAATGTCTACTCTATGTCGTTAACAATATGGTGTAATTTAGCTTGTATCTTTACATGTCAGTGATCGGTACTGTGCTGATGCGATAGAGATATACACCGCGCGTGTTTTGTTTTCAATGTGTAACAGGGCCCCGATTACGTTAAAAATGTTCATCTTCAACGTGCCCAGACGACGAACGAACATCAGCTGTTTTGACAAATCCGTATCGTGGTGTCGTTTTGACAGCTAGTTGAAACGAAGCGTAAACATAAACGTAAAGCGAAATATCTCATGTGACAATGAAAATACTAGGAAGGTACGTCCATTACCGTGATACTGAATTTGCACCTCAGCTGGAATGAAAAACGGAGCGCAACTGGAGAAGACGCGAACCATGAAAAGTTTTTCAAGAATGTGCATAAAAATCAGCTAGCAGATTAACGGTTAAGTTGAGTCAACGCGTTTTTCCCGCAAGCGGTAAACCACCAAACCGCGAGGCCGCCAGAAACGTATAAGTTAAAAACCGCGGCGGTTTAGCCGTAATGCGGACTCGGCCTTACAGTTAATAAACAACATTGTATTTTATTTCAGTGATCGGCTTCCCGAGCGCGATCCGGCTGACGGGGTCTCTAGGCGCCATCAGCAACCGCGCGCTGCTGAGCGTGGCGGCGCGCGAGCCCGAGCACGAGCGCCCGCACAACGTGCCCGGCTTCTACACCAGCAACGTGCACACCTCGCTGTCAGTCGCTCGCGTCTCTAGTGTCACATTGACAGCCGCTGACAGGTCGCTGGGCGCCATCAGCAACCGCGCGCTGCTGAGCGTGGCGGCGCGCGAGCCCGAGCACGAGCGCCCGCACAACGTGCCCGGCTTCTACACCAGCAACGTGCACACCTCGCTGTCAGTCGCTCGCGTCTCTAGTGTCACATTGACAGCCGCTGACAGGTCGCTGGGCGCCATCAGCAACCGCGCGCTGCTGAGCGTGGCGGCGCGCGAGCCCGAGCACGAGCGCCCGCACAACGTGCCCGGCTTCTACACCAGCAACGTGCACACCTCGCTGTCAGTCGCTCGCGTCTCTAGTGTCACATTGACAGCCGCTGACAGGTCGCTGGGCGCCATCAGCAACCGCGCGCTGCTGAGCGTGGCGGCGCGCGAGCCCGAGCACGAGCGCCCGCACAACGTGCCCGGCTTCTACACCAGCAACGTGCACACCTCGCTGTCAGTCGCTCGCGTCTCTAGTGTCACATTGACAGCCGCTGACAGGTCGCTGGGCGCCATCAGCAACCGCGCGCTGCTGAGCGTGGCGGCGCGCGAGCCCGAGCACGAGCGCCCGCACAACGTGCCCGGCTTCTACACCAGCAACGTGCACACCTCGCTGTCAGTCGCATATCTAGATGACATGACATTGACATGTCGATGACATTAAAATACAATTTGTATGCGCGATGCGTTTTGCAGTCGGGTCTAAGCGATCGCAGCCCGCTTCATCTATGAACCGTGTAATGTGGACACACTGTCGATTAGCGCAGTCAGTGAAAACTCCCTGAAATGTTTAATTTATTAGTCATTTAACTATGAATTTGTTTGGAACAGGCACCGCACGATCCCCCGAATATCGACGGCCGCCGATACGAGTGCGTTCGAGGCGTGCTTCTCCCGCGGCGACCGCGCGCTGCACGCGGAGGTGCGGCGCTCCTTCCACCGCGCCGATCGCGAGCGCGATCGCGAGCACGCTCGCGAGCATCCGCGCGACACGGGCCGCAGTATGCCGCGAAATCTCAACTTGGCAGAGCGGGTGCCCGACCCGCCGCCGCTCGACCAGTGAGTGTCTAGCTCTAGATAGATCTTCCGTTTATGGGATGCCCATAGGATTCTCACGGTGATTTCCAAATTAGCCGATTGGCAGTGGCCTACTTCCAGTGCTTTCTCGCAACCTTTTGACCTTACATTTGTTAACGTTGTGAGTGGACGATCTAAGCTGGTCTTGCCGGTATGTGACCTCCATTTAAGTACGTACACTGGTGGACAAAGCATCAAGGTGCTTCCTTTACTTAATCTTCGATCCACTGGTACACTGAGTGACCCCTTACCATCCCGTGGATATCGACTGCAACCGCCACGAGTGCGCTGGAATTCTTTATCAATTAATCTATCAGAATTTGTATTTGTTTTTCTTGACATTGACATATGACATGACATTGACATATGTCAAAATCCACCAATCATGCAGCATTTGGACCTCCCGTCTACGTATTGCCATTTGGCAGATTTTTCAATCGCGAAAACCCTCATTGGAATAAGGTTTGTTATCAACTTTTTGGCCACTTTGGGTGTCACGAATTATTTGACGCTGTCTGTATCACGTGCCATATTAAATTAAAAATTAAAATTCATAAAATTCATTTATTTTTGCAAATAGGCTTTTAGAAAGCACTTTTACACGTCCCAATATTAACCCTACCACTGCTTCGGGACAATAAATGGGCCAGTGTTGAGAAGAAGCAGCGCAAGAAACTCAGTCACTATTGTCAGCCTCCTTTTCAAGGGTTTACAGTCTTTAAAACATACAAAATATTATAGTCATAAGTATTGATGCGAGCTAGGTAGTTAAACATTTTTATCTTTTATATAATCATCAACTTTATAGCATGGACTTATAAAAAAAGGCGGACGGACCTCGAGCTACAACAAAACTGTGACGCAAAATTTTGGCGTTTGTCTATTGTGTGAGTGAATTTAGGGATGCCATGTTAGCCAAAACATTTTACCCATTTATTTTAAGAAAAACATAGATCGGCAGATGTTACTTGGAAATGTAGACAGAATTATTCCGTGCCATTTTAAAAGGATGAAAGGTGAATGCGTTGAGGTAGGCGCGAAATTTTCAATGTTCAAATTTTCTTACATTGTTTGCAAGTCAGTGTGTCAGGGTATGTACAGTCGCGGAATGAAAAGGTTCGTCACCTTAGTGTCGGTTTTCGCTTGCACTAATAGGTACTGTGAGAGTCAAACCTGCCAACATAACAGTGCAAGAAACAGTGCTGCTAACATTTAAATAAATATGACGTTTGCTAACGAATAAGGTTTTGCTTGTTTATTTTTCTATCCCATCAGTGCAATGCAATGATGACATTGATTAATTGACAATAGTTTTTTTTATTTAAAAGAAATAATAATGGCAGTTTGAACCAACAAGAAGGTTTTAGTTTATCAATCATAATAATCTTCTTGACAAGATAAATCGTCAAACAACTTTGATCTGAATAATTTTGAACTTTACTGACGAACAGTTAAAGATTATTTTCTCTAACTCGAGATTATTCTGTAACATAGTTTCAAAAGGTAATATGTGCTCGCGATTCGTTGAAGGAATCAATTTGAAAACTGACGAACCTTTTCATTCCGTGACTGTACAACGGCACACTAGCGTATTTGGCTGCCACCGCGCCCGCCGCGCCCGCGCCGCCGCCGCACGCCACGCTGCCGCTCACCGTCGATAAGGTCAGTCATCTCTACAACAAATTTAGGGCTATATTTCACCGGGACACCATGGCGGCGCAACCAGTCGCCGGCTACCAACAAAATGTATTGCGGTTTTCGCCCGCGCGCTCTGCGATCGATCGGCGACCGACCATTTTGTACCAATGACTTGTGTACGAGCACGATCGTACATCCTGCTGCACCGTCAGCATTGACCGCCGCGCCGGGCGACCCATGACGGGCGATGGGCACACTAGCATATGTGCCCGCCACCGCGCCCGCCGCGCCCGCGCCGCCGCCGCACGCCACGCTGCCGCTCACCGTCGATAAGGTCAGTCATCTCTACAACAAATTTAGGGCTATATTTCACCGGGACACCATGGCGGCGCAACCAGTCGCCGGCTACCAACAAAATGTATTGCGGTTTTCGCCCGCGCGCTCTGCGATCGATCGGCGACCGACCATTTTGTACCAATGACTTGTGTACGAGCACGATCGTACATCCTGCTGCACCGTCAGCATTGACCGCCGCGCCGGGCGACCCATGACGGGCGATGGGCACACTAGCATATGTGCCCGCCACCGCGCCCGCCGCGCCCGCGCCGCCGCCGCACGCCACGCTGCCGCTCACCGTCGATAAGGTCAGTCATCTCTACAACAAATTTAGGGCTATATTTCACCGGGACACCATGGCGGCGCAACCAGTCGCCGGCTACCAACAAAATGTATTGCGGTTTTCGCCCGCGCGCTCTGCGATCGATCGGCGACCGACCATTTTGTACCAATGACTTGTGTACGAGCACGATCGTACATCCTGCTGCACCGTCAGCATTGACCGCCGCGCCGGGCGACCCATGACGGGCGATGGGCACACTAGCATATGTGCCCGCCACCGCGCCCGCCGCGCCCGCGCCGCCGCCGCACGCCACGCTGCCGCTCACCGTCGATAAGGTCAGTCACCTTGTACGAGCACGATCGTACTATCCGTTCGCTTACGTTTGCCGCTGGCGATATGACGTCACTCGAAGGGAAGCGTCTATAACTTTATCAAACTATATTTAAAATATTTTTTATTTATTATTATTGATAAAAATTGTGTATTCGCATAAAATAAGACACATTAATTGCGTTTAATCGCGGTTGGGAGAGGGGACACGCATTCCACGGACCGGCAAACTTAGCGCGAACGGGTAGTACATCCTGCTGCACCGTCAGCATCGACCGCCGGGCGACCCATGATTCCTCAACCGTCGGCACTCACACCGACGGCACACTAGCGTATTTGGCTGCCACCGCGCCCGCCGCGCCCGCGCCGCCGCCGCACGCCACGCTGCCGCTCACCGTCGATAAGGTCAGTCACCTCTAAAGTCTGTTCGCCGAGAGTTGATAAATATTATGAAATGTCTTGCAATAGCGACTGTCGCTTAATTATCGCATTCTGTATGGCGGGCATCGTTTGTCACAACGCGCACTGAGTACCATGGTACGAGCCACGCAGCTGTCGTCAAGCGCCCCGGCCGGCGGGCCGCAATGTGTGAAACGGAATAGATTTATTTTACATAAGACCGAAATGAATGGTATGACAGTGGGTAGGGCTTTGCCCAACATTGGGATACACTATAAGCCACTTGATAATAATGATATACTTTTTATCCAACACATGGACGTGTTTGATCCGTATCCCCACGTATGCCCTAACCGGAATAATTCCCGTAAATTTAAAAGAGATAATAATGATAATCTACCAACTTTTTCATTAACTATATCGACAAAAATAATTAGCGGGCCGCAATTTATAATGAGTTTAGAACCTCTGATATTTAATTTTTTTTATCAACTCTCAGCTAACAGACTTTACAACAAACCGCTCCCTTCTAACTGAGGATTTGGCCAGTCACCTCACCTCCCTCACGCTCCACCCCTGCGACCAAATGCTAGCCCATGCCAGGGTCAGTCACATCTCACACTGTCCCGCCGCCCAAAAACCGTGGGAGCTTCTCACCTATCAAAATGGAACAAAATGGATTCACCTACTCGACTAAATTTTTGCTGTTTGGTTGGACATTTAAAGAGATAAAGCGCGCCAAAGTTCATAAGAAGAGATTTTTGATATTAAACATGACGTCATTTGGCTGAAACGAACGAACGAAACATGACGGGCTAAAAAAAATTTTTTAGGAAACTAGCCTATTACTCGCCACTCGACTAGTGCGAACAAAGCTTAACTGAGGTCAAGGTTAGTCACCATTCACATATCACCCGCGCCGTACACAAACCGCTGCATTCTCGCATCTCCCACCACCATGCCAGTAAGTCACCCCATCACTGCTCTTCCTCTGCAACTACACCGTCGACAAGGTCAGTCACCTCTCACACTGTCCCGCCGCCCAAAAACAGCTCCACTTTAACTCGAACAAAGTCTTCATTCGCTTCATTCTAACTAACAAGATCAGTCACCTCCCTCACCGCTCTTCCCCTGCAACCAAAAATGCTTACTGACGATAAGGTCAGTCACGTCCCTCTATAGGTCCAAAAATAATTATTGTTATTTTCATTTCAGCCATCATGCGTGTGCAGCTACGAAGGAACGAATGCGCCCGGCACCGAAGATGCCGACGACTATCGAAGCGAATGCGAAAACTGCAAATCCGCTAGCAGTTCAAGGTATAGCAAAAATGTAGTGTAAGAAATGACGTTTTTTCCCCGCCTGGCCATTTCACATTGGAAATGCTGTGAATTCATTGCTGGATTAGTGTAAACGAGCTACTCCAATATTTTGGAAGCGTATCTCTGAAGTAAACTTTAGGTGTGGTTCGCAGATGGGTGTTAGAGGAAGGTTGGGAGGCGGAGGAGGAAGACGGCACGCAGACACTACAGCGCCGCGCGCCGCCCGCCGCGCCCGCGCCGCCCGCCACCGCCACGCTGCCGCAGCCCGTCACCAAGCAGAGGTGAACCTTGAACCTTACGCCGCACGCATACAGTCCACTCTCGACCGCCGGGCGCCGGCACTAGACACTGCCGCGCCCGCGCCGCCCGCCACCGCCACGCTGCCGCAGCCCGTCACCAAGCAGAGGTGAACCTTGAACCTTACGCCGCACGCATACAGTCCACTCTCGACCGCCGGGCGCCGGCACTAGACACTGCCGCGCCCGCGCCGCCCGCCACCGCCACGCTGCCGCAGCCCGTCACCAAGCAGAGGTGAACCTTGAACCTTACGCCGCACGCATACAGTCCACTCTCGACCGCCGGGCGCCGGCACTAGACACTGCCGCGCCCGCGCCGCCCGCCACCGCCACGCTGCCGCAGCCCGTCACCAAGCAGAGGTGAACCTTGAACCTTACGCCGCACGCATACAGTCCACTCTCGACCGCCGGGCGCCGGCACTAGACACTGCCGCGCCCGCGCCGCCCGCCACCGCCACGCTGCCGCAGCCCGTCACCAAGCAGAGGTGAACCTTGAACCTTACGCCGCACGCATACAGTCCACTCTCGACCGCCGGGCGCCGGCACTAGACACTGCCGCGCCCGCGCCGCCCGCCACCGCCACGCTGCCGCAGCCCGTCACCAAGCAGAGGTGAACCTTGAACCTTACGCCGCACGCATACAGTCCACTCTCGACCGCCGGGCGCCGGCACTAGACACTGCCGCGCCCGCGCCGCCCGCCACCGCCACGCTGCCGCAGCCCGTCACCAAGCAGAGGTGAACCTTGAACCTTACGCCGCACGCATACAGTCCACTCTCGACCGCCGGGCGCCGGCACTAGACACTGCCGCGCCCGCGCCGCCCGCCACCGCCACGCTGCCGCAGCCCGTCACCAAGCAGAGGTGAACCTTGAACCTTACGCCGCACGCATACAGTCCACTCTCGACCGCCGAGGACTATCGTATTTGCACTCATCAAGATAGCGCCACTGTAGAGTAAGCTCCTGTCAATCGCCAAGAGTGCCAACTGTTAAGTATAAAAACGATAGCCCTCATTGCGTTTAGCCACAACGGTGACGCACTATTTTGTGGATGAGAAAGTCAAAACAGAAACTGCTCTTCCAACCACAACAGGAAAGTCTTGGTTCAGTTTGTGCTTCGGACCATGAACGGTCGTGGTGTCGTGGTGGTCGAAATGGGAGCACTATAATAAAGAGGTTGGTCGCCTACTCGGGTCTAAAGTATGAATAATTCTAAGTAATTGTGATAATCCTCGTAAGCCATTATTTAGAATTTTTCTTTGTTTCAGCCGAACGGTGATGGGTCCTCCTTCCAACTGGGAGAACTGGTTTAACACCATACCGGACTCGGACACCGAGTCTGAAGAGGAGTAAGATTCTATTTATTTATTTGCAAAAAGATAAACAAAATAATATGTATTAATTTATTCGTAGCAGCTTCTTTAAAAGATACTAAATCAACTAACATTCCCCTTTAAGGTTATGAGAAACCTTTATAATATGTAATGAGCAATATAAACCCACCAATTACATAATATACATTTATTTAAGTCTAAATTCATGAAATGAACAAAATACTGCCTTTATTATAGATGGATCTAACCATTCCGGTTTATTATTATGATATAATAATAGTGGAACATCACAATTTGTGCACAAGCAATTTTACTATCGTAATACGCTTTTTTTGCAACACATGAGATGTGTTGTCTATTATAAATTATTTTTTTACGTAAATTTAAAATAATTGATTTTATTTATTTATTATACCAAAGATTAATTTGTTGTATTTTACAATTTTACATTTTATTAAAATATTTTATTTACATTTTGTATTAGATAAGAGCCCAATCAATCGTTTTGTAAGTTTAATTAGGTATAGTATGAGGGAGGGAGGATACATACAAAATAGTATTACAATAAGTAGGTAAGTGTATTTAATTTTATTGTAAGTATTTAGGTAGCCATTAACAGATTCTATCATAGAGTATAAATTGTCGTAATTTTCAAAGGAACATTAATTGGTGTTGAAATTATCCTGTTCAAAAATTAATAAAGCTCTCTTAGGCAAAAATATTGAAAAGTTGACGTTTATAGAGTAATAATACTAGGATAAATGGTGCCAAATGAGAACTGAATACAAGGAAATTTCGAGAATGAACTCAAATTCAAAATTCTACTTGGATCGTAGTAAGGTAGATAGGTAGACTTTGGAATTATTAATTTTGAATTTTACTAAAACTTCTCCATAATTATATTCCTGAAATTGAGTCGCAAGCAAACGATAAACTAAAAAGCTCCCTGAGTATGGTACATTTTTGCTGTGATGGTTCAGCCCTGTATTAATCTATGGTTCAACCAAAGTAAACCTTTATGGCGTGGTTTTGAAATTAGATATTGGTACTCGCGTATAGATGCTGAGCTCAAAGTTGGTATTTTTAACAAAATATTGAATTTATTAACGTCAGTTACGTACAATTAACATAGCATTTTGTATACTCTAATAAAATTATCCACGGATCTATTTTTGTCTAAATAAAATATTTATGTATTAAATTAGATGATTCATGTTGTAACAAAATAAATACTTGTATTAAGATATTACAAATTTTCATTTATTTTACGCATGCCAGATGTATATTTATTGTATTTTGTTGGATAGATAAGATGTTCGATTTAGACCGTTATAAATGAAAAATTAGGATTATTAATAGTCTGAATTTTCAGGGTTGTAAGTATTAAAATAACGGTTGTATAAAATAATATTTTAATCATAAAATAAACAATATTGAGTACTTTGATCAAGTAGAAGACCCCTCTCATTTTATTTTCGATTATATTAAGCCTTGAATAAAATTAATTTATTATTAATATTTGAATGTTGTTTAAAATGTCTAAGCATATTTTTTTCTTAAAGTATGATTTTGTAGATGATGATTTTAAATTTAAGGTGAAACACGAGTAAAATGTAAATCGTATTCGTAAGCATATGCAGTAACAATAGTAATAATTTTGCAATACTGCCAGACGTAAGTCTCCTTTGATTCCAGTGTAGCAATGATCAGTATTATAGCTGTTTCCGAACCAAAACCTATGTATATAACTGAATTAAACAAGTTATTGGGAAATTATCATTCTTTTTATTTAAACATAAAATAGATTGTAGCAATTTGGCATTTTATACGTATGTAAATAATGTAAATAGGAACAGTAGTTTCAATAGCACAGAGAGTTGATGACGTGCATTTGAAGTTGAGCCGGTGCTTTCTTCCTCTGGTTCCGGGTCGGGCAGCCACGGGCCGCACTGGCGGTATCCCTCTTCCTGAAATGAGAGTAACGAATGAGTACTTGAAGGCCGTTTGTTTGTGCCTTAGCCATAGAGACGTAGAGAGTTGCCAACTGATGCGCTGAGTTCGAAACTCAGTGTCGCATTAGAAATTCACACACAAAGTAATCAAAATATGTGCTCATTATCCACTGCGGTATCAGTACTCAACGTTCGAATAATCTTTAGTACTGCGCAAGCAATGTAAACTGTTTACATTATGTCGTCGTTCCTGTCATCATTGCTTACACGAGCAATGTGTTCTGTTTTTGGGCATATTTCTGCGACACCGGCCACGCCCCCTTGTCACATCTCCCTTTATTTTCTGTGATCTGTGGCCCTAGCAGTGCCACGAATCGCAATGAGTCTCATAATTACATTGTTTAGTGTTTTTACGACACTGTGGAAATTGGTAAGTGGTTCACCATTTGATCTATCAGGGATTTTCCACTGAGCTAGCTTTAGAATGAGTAAGACCCCAATCGTACTGTCACTACTATCGTTTATCATTTTCTTATTGACTGTTTAAAGTGGCGAACTCACACGCCGATATTTGCGATAGTATGAATGAAAGTGCATGACTCTACGAATTTGAGAAAGAGTTCAGTGCGGAGCAGAAAGTGAAGTAGCATCAAACAAGATCGTGGGACTCTGACCTTATTCGCTCGATGTTACTTGTCGTTTTTGCTTCGTCGCCTGTATTCCAGCATACTAGATTAAGCGGGCTTTGAGATTGTTTCAATACTTTCAATTACCTCCGTATAGTTGTGCTGGAAGCAAGTGACGCGCGGCGGGCGGCCGAGCAAAGGCACCCGGTTTCTGAAGCACGCCAGCCGACTTGCTTTTGACATCTTTCCCCAGTTCTGGTCGCCCATCAGTTTATCTACGTCCACCTGGATAAAGAGTTGAAAATTAGTACAATAGATAAAAGTAACCGTATAGCAGCATGTAGTCCGTTTTTAAAAGGGTCGGCTCACTCCATGCCTCTTTTAATAAAAGAGATATACACAGTGCCTAAGAGGGTAGCGGCAATACAATCAATGTCTTTACGAGATTAGTGATGGGTACAAAATTATCCCCTCTCACAATTAAACTACTGCAACTCCTGTCTAATCTATAGTATGACTGAAGCCCTAACCAGTGGAGATTGACGCACCACTGAGAATTTGCGCAGTGTGTGATAACACTGCATACAAATTTCTAGGTATAATGTCGAATGGGCCGATTATGTGATGAAGAGCTGTGTTACCGGTTTGTTGACCAGCGGGTCGTGCACAGGGTCCTCGTGGTAGCGGCAGCGCGTGTAGATAGCTAGTAGCAGCAGGTTGGTACCGGGCACGGGAGCGCCAACTAGCGGCCAGCTGCATAGCGACGCTCCGCGACGGAGGTACTCCATCGTTTGAGGTGTGCGCTGTGAATAAAGTACAGTACATGGTTGTGGTAACAGTGGAGCTAGCGGAAAACGCAGCGTATCATAAAGGTAGCAGGAAGGCGCTGTACGCAGGCCTCAATCCTAATCCCAGGCTACCAATCGATCAACATGGAAATCATTTGGGGAGCCTATGTCCAGCAGTGGACATTCTATGGCTGAAATGATTTACAGACTTACTAAAACAGCCCTACCAACCAAAGCAAGTAGAAAATGTTGTCCCCACATGGTCTGAGTGATCGGAGAGGAGGTCATTTCGTGACTTAACCATCTACGTTCGTCGAAAAATGTGTTCTATAACCTAAGTGAATATTTTAGTATAAAGCATGTATAATTTATAAAAAGTTATTGTATAATTTATATTCTAAGTTACACATTAAGAAAATTATTATAAGTGCGGTCGGTAGCACATCAGACTATACGTGTTTGTTGCAAAGTCACCAGTTTTGTCTCGATGTGGCATCGTCTGTACAATTTAATATTGCATGCTCAATATGAGCAATCTGTTGTAACAAATTTTATGCCCAAACAACTGCAAACTGTACACATAAAAAGCAATAAATAAATTCTATTCTATTCTATTTTACCAGAATACCTACCAAATTGGTTTATGTAAAATTCATTGTTGTTGTTGTCCTAGTTGGGCATTGTGAATTTGAAAAGATTTCTTTCAGTGAATTTACCTGCAATTCGTACATAGGCCGCGATCTATCGCAAGCTGCGAAGCGAGATCTGTTGACGAGCACTCGTTCGTCGTAAAGGCGATCGTACTTCTCCCTTTCGAAGTCGCGTCGCACGCGGTTGCGTCTTTTGTCTCTTTCCTTTTGGGTGTCGGCATACGCCGTGTTACCTGCAGATGTTCATCAATTATGAAGAATTTAGAAGTAATCAAACATATAAACTTCTTGTATTTTCATAGCGTACTGTTCTTTTTTACTAACTTGAACTGAACACTGCCACTAATGTCACCAATTCTTGTGCAACGGTAATTAGTAGATAGACGCTGCGCCATATTGATTTCAGCAATGTTGGCAACACCTGAAACAGTTTGCACTTGTAAAAGTTTCAGGGGCTCAATATTGGATGTATCTGTGAACGAAATCAATAATTATGATATTTCTATCCTATTTCTAAATAACCATTAATACCATGGAAGCGGATGACTCTTCGTAATTGAAGCAGACTCCTTGGTAATCGTGCAGCCAGTTGACCGTGAATATCTTGGCTTTGACCAGCGCAGCCATGGCGGTTGGGTAGGCCGTCGCCAGGTGTAGCCTGATGGGGTCTTCGGAAGACGGGTTGTCCTCGTCAGCAGGCGAGGGGCCTCCAGCCGCGATCCATCCACCTTCATCGATGATCACGCACGACCAGATTTTGCCGTCGCAGGTTGGTTTGCAGTCTTCATCTTTATCGTCACACTGAAAGTAGGTAAATGTTTTCAAGATTTTAATCACTGATACTCCTGAGGTATTACTTCGCAAAAAAAAATGCCCTTACTGGATCGTAAGTAACAGCTACAAGTAGATCCTCAAAATGCTGCGGGTGGAAGTGGAAGCCGGCCACGCCTATTACGCCTTTGTCGGAGCCCACCACCCTTGCGGCTGTTAACCATTCTCCTCGAGTCCCCACCTGTAAAGGTAGGTATATAAATATTAGAAAGTGTCTTGCCCTGTACTCATTATTGCTGCAGTGTGTATTTGTAAGCATTGGAGTAGAGGAGTAAAAGGAGACTACTTGAAAGGTCGATGTTATATTCAGGAGTTTTCCCCTTTAAAATTGTCGGAAGAAGATAAGCAGAAGCAAGTGGCATAGTATGATGGAAAACGTCGACTAAATATTCCAGGAAAGGGAAGGTATAGGTACCTACTATTCGACTTATGATACTTTAAACTTTAAGGACTAGTACGTGACTACTTCGCACGAGTTAAATGCAAAGCAGAGTGCCAGGAACAAAATGTTCCACAAGGCAGCAATGAATATCTACCTCTTTTGATATTTACCTCTGGCGGTTTAGCCTCAGTATTGCGCATCCTGCGCACCGGGGTGACCGGTGCGTGAACCAACAGCTCAGCTGCGCCGGCGGCGACGGCGCGCCGGTACCACGGCTCGGCCGGCCCATGAGGCCAAGCTCCCCCAGACGGAGGCGGCGCGTGCGGGCTTGTGATATGATAGTGGCGCCACCGAGTCAACCCGCTCTCTAGGATTTTTATATGGTTCAGTTGCATAAAGTTATTACAGCCAATCGCGGGAAGTACCTGGATGCCGGCAGCGCAAGACCGGTCGTTATGGAAATTCCTCGTATCTTTTTGGTACCTCGGTTTTTGCTGAAATAAGCCAGTTAGAGCTGCGAAACTAGAAAGCTGCTGAAAACGTGATCAATATCAAACATTATGACGGATTAATATAATATAGAGTACCAATTCTCACACATTCAAGATTGTCAATTTATCGATTTCAGTTACCTACTAAATGTACATCTACCGTCAACGTCTAATCATTCGTACCACTGGAGAAGAACGCTGTAACAGAGCCCAGTTTGCAGGTAGTGCACTCCAAGTCTTCGTGGTCCTCCATCCACTTGCTGGTGGCGACGGCTTCTCTGCAAAGCCTCGCTATCAGTTCTTCGTTACCTGGAAATAAGACATTTTCCTCCAAATTAATCGGTGATCGCAGCTGATTAGATTAAATACTGTCGCCTATTTACTACTGTATTAATCATCCGCAAAGCCTATTAGTCTATCGATTTGTTGTACTATCTAATAATAGATAAACATAGTAGATTCCCTCATATACCTAATCCCAAGAGTCATCGTAGTCAGTGATTAAAACACTTTACTGAAAATGTATCTAAGTGCTGGTGTACTTAGGGTGCTTTCGGTATTATACCTCTGCATACCTATTATTTTCTTATGTTGTTTTCCTACGCAGTAAACCCATATTATCAGTTCCGAAGAAAGATGCATATCGCTGATCGATATGAAAAACACATTACATGAATATTAATTTATCAGATCAGTGACACCTACTGTTTGGGGCAGAATCGTATGCACAATCTAAAACAGTAGCTAACGAGCACGTTATCTTGTCACTTTTAACGAATACCATGTAATGCAATTAAGAGATAATCTTAATATTTCTGGACATCTACTTATCCTCTTATTACAAAAAAGTTAAGACTGTGTCGAACACTTGTTTTCATACTAAATGACAATTTAAATTAGAGTTCAAGCAGAGTCTAACTTTTTGTAATTTATGGGGGCTAGAGAACCCCCCACTAGTTTCTAATAAAATTAAAGGATTAGGTACTTACATTGGTAAGTCTTGTCCAACAAAGCGGGCTCTAGAGGTGAAAAGAGGTGCTTGAGCTTCTTCATGGCGAAGTTTGGCTCGTCGCTACGTCTTCGGATGAAGTGCAGCACCTCCGCTTCGGGCGTGTCAAAGTGCGGCTCCACGTGCTTACAGTACAACCTGAAAGTATTTATTTTTAGTTTAACTTATCTTACCGCGGTGAGTTCTCTTTACATTATCAATCTGTCTACTTGGTAACGGTTCACACTCCCTCATTTTTCCTCGATTTTTTAAACATCGTGGGAAAATGTCCCATACGTTACCACGTTTGTCCTTAACACAAAATATAAGCAAAACTTGTACTTAGGAGGTACCTACTACCGGGCAGGCAACGAATTTAAACAGATATTAATCTTTTTTTTGGTTAATACTTAAATATTTCACATAGAAAACACCCAGATTTGATCGGGATCGAATGGTGACTTCTGACGAATATGGTCTTCTCAACACTCACCAGTCTGGATTAACTGCAAAGTCACTTCTCGTCAACGTTTTCAATGCTTCCTGGGCAATTTGCTGCGTGAACTGTCCTTCAGGAACTGCATGGTATCGCCCATACGGTGGTAGTACTACCGCCACAACGTAATGGTCAGTAACCCTCTTCCAGTGGTATTCTCTTTGTTCCAAGCTGGCTCGCATTCCTTCTTCGTATACGTTCTTTCCATGCATCACTCGGATGCCTCTGGGATGTTGAATTACGAGCGAATGCCGGAACTGTAAGTAAATATAACATTGTTATTGGATAGAAAGTATAGTTAGTTTTCATCATCATTCCTCATTTCCATTGTGCATGTAAGAAAAAAATAGAGCTCTCTGCTCTACTAATTCGAACACTTAGGCTGACTTTGACCACCTAGCTTTGACGGTAACTACTTATAACGATAACCGGTGTTTTTTGTATGGAGTTAGACGGATTTTTGACGTTTGCAAAGTTAAAGTAAGATGGTGTAACCCAGCCTTATTAAAATATTCTACAGGACGTAACAACGTAACATAAAACAAAATCGAATCACATTAAATTTAAAGCTATGATTTAAACATAGAGCACCTACTTCCAACCATTTTTCCGGATAGTCTCTTGGTGCGTGTTCTTTAGCCGGCTGTTCCAGGTTTATGATATCTACTGTCCGATAACCAGGTTTCAGGAGGTCGCCATCAAACTGTACAAGAAAAATAAGTTGAATTAATTCCGAAGTAAAGACATAGAATAGTTTGAATCTAATGGTGAAAATGGAAATTTTGGGGTATGTTTTCCAAACCTTAATAAAAGTAATTAATTATAAACAACAACAAAAGTACTTACGACAGGTTTAAGGTTGTCATGCAAGACGATGTTACCGCGATGATCAATCACGAATAGTACGCCGCCAGGCCCGAGCTGGAAAAAAGCATAAGCGTGTTTTTCTAATATCGGATGTTTCTCTAATATGATAAATGTATTATTGATTAAGTACATACCTTGATAAAACATTTGTTTTTCAGAAAGCTAAATTATAATGTTGTTGACTGTTGTCCTCTAAAAAAGTAGATTCCTACCTTTGTTTTAGCACGTTAATAACAAACAAAACCAAAGTACGTCATGGATCATAAAAATAATTGGATTATAACAATCCTTGATAAATTAGTGTCGATTAGTGTCAATTTTTATCTCGACGAATACCATGATAGCGCATTATTTCTTAGTATAGAGCATTACTGCAGGATTACAATTAGCTTCTTAGCAATTATCTTTTTATCACAAATACGCCGACGATGAACTACCCCGATGATTTTGAAACATAAAAATACATGAGTAATTAATTAGCATCAGCATTAGCTCTTGAAGTTATTAGATAGAAACCAATCTATCTTAGAGAAAATATTATTTATCTAATAATTTCAGGTAAGTTACAATATCTTCAGCACATTCTTTGTGAAATAATTAATTGATAAATAAGTAGGTACGCATCGCACGCGGTCATAAAACCCTAAGACTTTTTAAGACACATCACTTGGCAATAATCTAGGCCCATTGAGTTTATCAAAATATGTAAGTGACATCTTAAAGTTATGTCTAATTCCAATCTAATCTACTATTTAAGCTGTATTATGCAATAATGTTGCCGCAAATATTCAGTTCAATATTTAATCAAAAATTCCAAATGTCTTTGACTCTAACACTTCATATCTTATTTAAAAAGTAGCCTAATCAGTAAAACTAGAAGTAGCTAGCTAACTATAATAGATTTACCTGATAATAAGGCAATATCAGCTTCAGGTGATCGATAGGTATATCGATCCCAGCTACGCCAAGTAATCTGTTCACCGGGTACTACGCAAACAAATCAAACTGCTCTATCAAACAATTAGTGACAAGAAACAAATAGTTCAGTGTTCTATATATTTCATATTTACCGTTCTTGTAGCGTTTCTCTGATTCTCCTGTAAATAGAAGCGATAAAGTCATAGAGTGGTTAAAGAGGTTCAATTTTGCGCATTTGCTGAACAACTTATTACAACTAATATCAAAGATAAACGATGAGTAATAATAAAGAACTATATTTGTCATATCTACGTACCTCATCCAGTTTTATTGTTATATTCTGCGAACAAACAACAGCTATGAATAATTTAGTTATTGGTGCGCTTCTTGAAAAATATATTTGCCGCCTTTTGCCGCTACAAACAAAGGCGTATTTCCTATCGTCAACATTATCATTATTAATGTTATCAGGGATTATAATAGATTATTACAAATAATTTAGTATTGTGGCTAGGTACCTCGAGTGTAGTGTGGTCGAACACAGGTACTGAAACGCTTATTTGGAGCCTGTAGTTCACGTCTTGGCCTTCGTAGTATAGACCGTACTTGTCCTGAAATTACACCATAGTTTCATTAGAAGATGTAACAATGACCTACATAGGAAGATACTTATTAGAAACGAACAATATACATAAACAAGTAGGTCTAGTTTAACTAGACATTTTGAATAAAGGTTCTAATAATATCAGAACTGAAAGTCAAAGCCAGTTACCAAGCTCTGTTGGTGGAGATAATGCTTGTAGGTGTCGTTGAGAAGTTTTTCCTTGTTCTTGCGCAGCTCTCGGTAGCGGTAAACTTGCTCTGCGTTTTCTTTTTGCAGCCAGTAGAACTCGCTTCTTCGTGGTTCCTGTGAAAAATAACTATTTCAAACGAGTTGGTTGAAATTAAGTTCGATACAGTATGTATGGGATAAGTGGGATTTTGACACTTTAAAATACTTTAGAAGTTTTTTTGAAACAATACTGGACTGTAAAGCTTTTTTTTTTATCAGAAACTGATTATTTTGATGCCGCAACTGTGCCTATCTGTTTTGTGAACTACACTAACGCTGGCACTTGAGCCATTGTCATGACTTTAATCAAGCTAAATGTTATAGACGACAGTAGGTACATCAATTTAAACATTGTAGCATCTTATAGAATACAGTTGTAATAAGAACGTTTTTTTTTCAACAAAAATGTTGAGTCATGTCTTGCTCCGTGACGTCATTGCTGCTGAACAGTTCCGCTAAGTATCCAGCTAAAATTGTTTGGCTTACTCACCTCAACATGTGCGTACATATCGCTGTAAACTCTTAACCGTTCATTCCTTTCCGCGCGACGAGCGGGCGTTCCAGCACGCGCATGATATTTAACATGCTCTGTGACGTCATTGCTGCTGAGCAACTCTGCGAAGTAGCCATCGTGGTCGCAGCTGATGTAGTTACTGTTGGCCTTACTCACCTCAACATGTGCGTACACATCGCTGTACACTTGCAGCCGTTCCTTTCTCTGCGCCACTAGCGGGCGTTCCAGCACGCGCATGATATTCATAACTTGCTCCGTGACGTCATTGCTGCTGAGCAACTCTGCGAAGTATCCGTCGCGGTCGCAGCTGATGTAGTTGCTGTACTCCCGCGTATTGTCGCGGAGACCGTACTGGTCGTGGAGCCACATTACAAAAAGTCTGAAAAGGAAAATTACATTGTCTCTATTCAATGAGAATGCCCTGCAGAGCACACATGTAAAAAAATGCTGCATAGGTTTTTTATTAAATTAAAATTAGATCAAAACCCTGCTGAAAAATCAATAACGTAGATTCTTCGCCTTCCCTTTTGCGAATATTTTAAACAAGTGTTTTGGCTTGTATGGAAAATATATTTTTCTATAGATAAGGCCTGCTAAATTCCGCTGTTCCTTTGCATGTGACTTGTAAAATAGCACCTTCTGCAAATGGCATGAGAATGCTTTGATGCGTGGCTATCATTCTTGTAAAGGTATCATATACTTAACCTATTTATAAATCGGTATCTCATTCTATCCTACCTAATGCGGCCAGTTGGGTCGAGTTCTCTTAGCAGCTCGGTGTAGTTATGATAGAGACTGTCGGTGACTACCACAATGGCTTGCTGGCAAGACACCGGCCGGTCCACCGTCGGCTTCTGCCGCTGCAGCAGTCGTATTGCGTATCGCAACACGTAGTCCATTTTGGTCTCGTTCTTGAAAGGCAACTCTTTCAGCTCAGACATCATCGCAGCAGTGTTCACGTGGTCAGCCTATGAAACATATTATTTACAGTTGTAACTTCAGGGAATTACTTTGAGTGGTCATGCTTGACACAGAATTACTGTCTTTGTATTACCATATTTATACCGTGATATTATCAAGCGATTAATTAAACGTGTGTAACAACATGTGTCATAAGTTCGATCAGTCTACGAGTAAGAAACACCTGTGGCTTACTTATCAGTTAAGTCAAGAATAACATCTAGAAGGAAATTATTATACTAACTGTGGTTTATTCATTAATATTCATACAGAATACCACATCATAACGACTTTTCCTGGAACTTTCACCATTACCTTGGTCTAGACCATTTTTTAAAGTTATCGTTATCAATTTAAATGAATTCGCAATAAAAATCGTCACCGTCTTGTATTTATCGCTCAATCAATTTAATTGTTTGCCTCAGATTACATAGGGGAATTACGAATTGATAAACATTTATGTTAAGTATCGACAATATACGAGTAGGTATATTATTCTGACTTTTACCTGTTAAATGACTTTGCAATGTTTTAGGGCTATAACAATTTTTTATGGCGTAGTTACGAGGTATCTCTCAAGACTCCATATTATAGTCCTAGGATAAGAGGAAAGTAGGAAACTCCCCTAAATGTTTTCCTTATAGTGAAGGTCAGTTTTTATGGATACCTAAATTGTTAATGTTTCTAAAGTAAAATAAGTATGTACACTTACCGGAACGAGTTTATCATCAAAGCAGCTGATCGGAGACTTGACAATAACGTTGAATCTGAGCACATTCACTTGGTCATCATCAGGCAAGGCATTGAGTAATGTCTGAGTAAACCACTCAGCCGTGACTTGGTTGGACGAGTTGTCCATCGAGCCCGAAGCGTCGAGGAGTATGAGGATGTCGCGAGGGGCTCCGTTGGCGCTCACGTACCACGGCCGCAGTCGGCAATCGTACACGTTGTCTGTCTCCAGGGGTAGTTGGAAGAGGCTGCTCCAGAGTGCAGCTGTAATAGAGTATCATAAACATATTATTTTATTGTTTACATTTCTACAGTTCATAAAAAGTTCTTACTACAAAATCGCTAGCAGCCTTGTGAACTTTAAAAACCTTTAAATAATAAATTAGTTCACATCAATGACTTCGTCCAATCTTGGCATAATATCCTATTTTTACGAATTGCCATAGATTCTACAACGTACAAAAAATATGAATACAGTCAAGGCTATAGGGTACTGACCAGGATAGTGTCGCAGGAAGCCTCTAGCACTGCAAAAGTATTGGAAGTCCATAGACGCATCTTGGGCGTAGTTGTCTTTGAATGTAGAGAGCAGCCCCTCCGACCAGTACAAGTGATTTTTGATTATTGGATCTGTAATAGAACAACAAAGATTCCTAAGTTTCCATTAATTCATATAAAATAAAATAACTGCTGCAATTTGACCTGAAACTCTACATCTATTGCGTGGGTTGTCACAGCTTTCGCAGCTTGCAGCAGTACCTACTCCGGCAGTTTCCACTCACTCTCCGCCTCTATCTTCTTATTATACTGGCTGCACATAGCTAAGTAATAGATACTGACTGCAGTCGAAGACCTCGGCAGCGGCGTGCACGCTGCTGTGATCCAGCGAGACGTCGGCGTCGAAGTGTTCGCTGCGTCGCAGGCGGAGCTTGCGCAGGCTACGGCAATGCTCCGGCAGTTCCCACTTGCTCTCCGCCTCTAACTTCTTATCAAGCTGGCTGTACAATGTACAAGCTAAGTAACGCAGGATACTGACTGCAGTCGAAGACCTCGGCGGCGGCGTGCACGCTGCTGTGATCCAGCGAGACGTCGGCGTCAAAGTGTTCGCTGCGCCGCAGGTGGAGCTTGCGCAGGCTGCGGCAGTGCTCCGGCAGGTCTTATTTGCTCTACGCTTTTATCTTTTTATTATGCTGGCTGTACATAGCTAAGCAACGCAGGATACTGACTGCAGTCGAAGACCTCGGCGGCGGCATGCACGCTGCTGTGATCCAGCGAGACGTCGGCGTCGAAGTGCGCGCTGCGTCGCAGGTGGAGCTTGCGCAGGCTGCGGCAGTGCTCCGGCAGGTCCTATTTGCTCTACGCTTTTATCTTTTTATTATGCTGGCTGTACATAGTTAAGCAACGCAGGATACTGACTGCAGTCGAAGACCTCGGCGGCGGCGTGCACGCTGCTGTGATCCAGCGAGACGTCGGCGTCGAAGTGTTCGCTGCGTCGCAGGTGGAGCTTGCGCAGGCTGCGGCAGTGCTCCGGCAGGTCCTATTTGCTCTACGCTTTTATCTTTTTATTATGCTGGCTGTACATAGCTAAGCAACGCAGGATACTGACTGCAGTCGAAGACCTCGGCGGCGGCATGCACGCTGCTGTGATCCAGCGAGACGTCGGCGTCGAAGTGTTCGCTGCGCCGCAGGTGGAGCTTGCGCAGGCTGCGACAGTGCTCTGGCAGATCCCACTGGCTTTCTGTCTCTAGCTTCTTTTTCAGCTCGTTTAGCTCCTGAAATAATACAAGTCACAAATTTTATTAAGCCTATAATAATGTCTTATTGAATGTCGCAAAGTTTTGGAATGATTTTCTTTCGCAAATGAAAATCATTGTAGTTAGCTATTTTAGTTCTCAACACTGTGCACTAGTAAAACTGTACACTGTCGTAAATAATAACAAACCTTCTAACTTCTTTACATCTACAAGTACTATTTAAATTAACAACTTTTATTAAAAACATAGTTTCTTGGGTTTTTGTGACAGGAACCTTTATAATACGTTACGATAGGTCTACGATCTAAATCACAATAGGTATAATGTATCGAAATTCTTACGGGAGAAGTCGCGGCCAATATGCAATATTTACACTATTTATAGGTTATTATTGAAAAATGGCTTAAAACGCTTGTCTTTTTAAATTGTTTCGTCTAGTAAATGAGTCATACATACTCGTACAATACGACGAATGTAGGTATATTAGAATTAGAATACTAACAATGCTATAGTCATATGTGTAGTCCGGGGGAGGGTGTCTCTCCTCGCTAGCCAGGGCCTCCGCCCGGCGCATGATGGCCTCGGCAGCTTTCACCCGCCTGGTCAGCAGGTCCTCCAGATTCCGAGCCATCTGCTCCACGATGGCTGAGCCATTCCGCGCCGCAATCCGGATATTGGAGAAACCCGCTATTATCTCTTTACTTTGAACAACCAGCTCTTCGTTTTCAAGCAGACTCTCCGATATTTCTTTGGCCCACTGTGTTACGCTACAAAAACATTTTGAAATAGATTAAGATTTTTTCCGAAAACAACACTTATGATGGAACTCCGAGTATAGGTATCGATTTATGGCTAAGCTAATATCACTTTTTATAAGCACTTACGCTTCAGGTTGTATGAGTTGTATAATTTTTTTTCTTGGTAACTTCGATAATAGGTCCGGTATGTCCTTAGGGTTTACTTTATTTTGCGCTTTACGTTCTTCAGGTTTATTTTCTTCGACTTTTTTCGCTTCAGGTACGGGCACCGTTTTGTTTGGAGTCACATGTTTCTGTTTCGCGGAATGCGTGCAAATAATAAAGCAGTATATTAGTAGCAAGCTAAGATTCATATCTTGTTATTGAGGGATTTTACGTGAGAGCTTAGACATTTGAAACGATATTCCCAGTTGTTTGATCCTGGGCGGGCGGGCGGCCGGTCGACACTGAGACTAGGGCGGCGCGCCGGCTCCCGACACTCTGGCGCCAGCATCCCTTGTGCAAAATAGTCTGCCAATGGGAACGACCTACTGACCTATAGACAAATGATTAGCAAATCTATCATTTCTACAGGAGTGACTGCGGGAAAAACTGAATATAGAGTAGACGCTTATTTTGAAAGAAAGAAAGAAAAAAATGTTTATTTAGTACCATATAATAAAGTATTTGTGTGTATTTTACATAGATAGATGGGTATGCTATTTATATTATTTAGGTAATATCATCTTTAGTCTACAGACAGCACTGATATAACTCAGGGTATTATTATAGGACAATTTCCTATAAGGATATTGAATTTAATGAGTACATACGGTATTTAATGAATAACTCGTATCTAAATAAATGTCAAAGATTTTACATCTATTGTAATTGACGAATAAACTTTAATTTGGTTCTATTTAACCAACTCTTTTTCGTTCTTCAAACAAATTTTATTGCCACGGTATTGGGCTTCTATTTCCACGGGTAAAGAGTGGTGATACACGTGATTGATTAAAATATAATTAATTGCTGCATTCTATCTTACTTAGATAAATAAGTTTAGGCGTCTTATGAGTTCGATAAGTTCTTCCAATCAGCGATTTTGTATCGTTTAGTAACGCACCCGGAAGATTAGTGACTGATAGCGCTGGTCGGGTATAAAACTTACAACTTCAATGTCTCGCGAGCTGTTGTAAACTGAAAACAAAATGAAAGGTACGTGCACAAACTGTTGACATTAATGCAAAGTGGATTATTTAATGATTGTGCAATCAGAGGGGAATTAGGTACAAATGATTGATTGTTTCAGGAGTTGCAGCTCTACTGATAGCCGCTTTCGCGGTCGCGCACGCAGCCAATCAATGCCCCGTCGAGCAAGAGACCGACTGGAGCATCGAGCTTCTGCTGGTCCACGGGGACTGCGACAAATTTTACAAGTGCACGTATGGGGAGCCCGTCGAACAGCTCTGTCCCGCCGGCTTATTCTTCAACGTTGAGGACTTGCAGTGTGATTGGAGAGCCAATGTAGACTGTGGTGACAGGAACATCCCTGGGGAAGTCCAGCCTGAGCCAGAGCCAGAACCTGAGCCTGAGCCAGAGCCAGAACCCGAGCCAGAGCCAGAACCCGAGCCAGAGCCAGAACCTGAGCCAGAGCCAGAACCCGAGCCAGAGCCCGAGCCAGAGCCAGAACCCGAGCCACAGCCAGAACCCGAACCAGAGCCAGAGCCCGAACCTCAACCCGAGCCCGAGCCTGAACCCGAACCTGAAATCGAAGAAGTCATCCCCGAAGAGCCAGAAATCGACATTGAGGAGGGTTCTGGAGAAGCAGACTTGGAGATTGAGTTCCAGGAGAACGGCTGCCCGGTCGACCCATTCATCCACTGGCTGGTGGCCAGCACTGAGGACTGCAACGTGTTCTACCAGTGCGTGTGGGGCGAGCCCGTCCAGAGGCGCTGTCCGGAGTCCCTACACTTTAATGCTGCCCTGCAGGTTAGTTTTTGTTTTATTTTTATGCAGGTACTAGCGGCCCGCCCCGGCTTCTCACGGTTGCAATGGAATTTCTCGGCATTTCTCCTCTATAATGTGCATGTTTATACATATAAATCTTCCTCTTGATTTTTTTAGAGTACTCTATCTATTAAAAAAGCCGCATCAAAATCCGCTGCGTAGTTTAAAGATCTAAGCATACATAAGGACAGATGGACTGGGAAAGCGACTTTGTTTTATAATATGTAGTAATGTACCTACTTACCAGTACGTCCATTTAAAAATGTTATTATTAAGTGATAATTTAACCCGCTGATGAAAAGTGATTTTTCAGTAGACATTAAAACCAACTCTGGAAAGCATATTTTGAACATTAATTCTTACAAATTGAAAACTAGAATTGTATTTATATGATATAATTTGTATTAACTTGTACGAGATTAGTAGATAAATCGTATTTCAAGTGCATTTCAAAGGCCTTAGTATGACGTTTTGCACACACTGATGGTGGATGAACACTGGTTATATGATTGTTTTTTTTTCAGGTATGTGACTGGCCCAAAGATGCCGGCTGTGCTGTTTCCTACAACAAGCACTTCCCATCCAGAAACCTCTACAGAAAATAAGACTTCACAAGTCTTTAACCTAAAATAATAAAAACAAATGAAACGGAGTTATAACTCTGTTTCTTCTACCTCTATCTCAATATAATGTTCCTGAATATTTATGTAAAGTTCATTATTAAATGTGGTTCACTGTTACGATACGATACGTACTAATTATACCTTTCCTTACCGACCTTGCCCTTGATCAATATCACTTTTGACTGATTTTTCCAGTCATAAGTGGTTTTGACCAAGCACGTTAGTCAAAACCACTATTTCCAAGTAATTTTCACTATAATCATAACACTTTGTATGAATTTTGACAGATTGGTAAAATTTTAAATCAGGTGCAACCGTTTTGACTGACTTTTTGAGCTCAAAAGTAATTTTGACGAACGCCCTTGTTCGAAACGATAAAGTTAATTATTCCTTCCGAAGGAGGAACCACTTTTGACAAGAAAACGAGAGTTTACGCTAAGATGGCATTTTTTTTTGTTCCACTGATATTTTACGTATTATCAACAAACACGAAATTTATTTATGGTAGGTTTATAATGTTGACAAATTTTTCTTAATTACACTCACCAGTTGGTGCCAATCCGGATTGCCTAAGCTTTTCATTATTATAACTAGAAACTACCTGCTAAAAATGTTTTTCATGCAAGACAAACCAAGGCAGGTATTTGACCGCAATCGCACCTGGTGTTAAGTGAGACGCAGTGTAGGATGGTATGGTACATATCTGCTCTGTAAGTGCCTATTCACTGTCGCCTTGAAAATGCCCGGATTATAGTGTTCAGGAAATACAGCAGCAGGCAGCGAATTCCAGTGTACAAAATGTATTAAATTACTTTTTAACAATTTTCGTTGGTAGTTTTTGTAGTAATGTACATCATATGTTTTTTTTTAGATTTTTCATTTTCTTATTTTAGAAGTAGAGGGGGGGGGGGGGGGCAACTTTTTTCCATTTGGGAAGCGTCTGTCACGAAACTATTCGGTTTAGAAAAAAAGTATTTTAGAAACCTCGATATCATTTTTAAAGACCTATCTATAGACACCCCACACGTATGTGTTTGATGAAAAAAAAAAATTTTGAGTTTCTGTTCTAACTCTAAGTATGGGGAGCCCCCAATATTTATTATTATTTTTTTTATTTTTGCAGCAAAATCTTAATGCGGTTCACAGAATACATCTACTTACCAAGTTTCAACAGTATAGCTCTTATAGTTTCGGAAAAAAATGGCTGTGACATACGGACGGACAGACGGACGGACAGACAGACAGACATGACGAATCTATAAGGGTTCCATTTTTTGCCATTTGGCTACGGAAGCCTAAAAAGGGCTACTATAAAGTCGATGATTATTTAAAAGATAAAAATGTTTGCGTAACTGCCTAGTTCGCATAAATATTTTCTGTCCATTTATTGTCCTGAAGCAGTGGTAGGGTTAATAATGGGACGTGTAAAAGTGCTTTTTTAAAGCCTACTTACAGAAATAAATGAGTTTTACTGAGTTTTAGTCCCTAGCCTAGCATTATAAAAGTGTCGTCGTAACGCTTAGTGCGAGCTGGTGGAATGTAGCTGTGTATTTTCATGAGCAAAAGTTGTATTATAGTCACCGTAGGGTTTATTTTGCTGTATTAGTTAGACTAGGCGTAGCTACGAGCATGAGTTGGATGGCACTCACTCTAGATAATGTAGAGTTCCGGTAAACCTGTTAAATAGAGAGTCGCTAACCCCTAGCTAACCATCACGTTTATTCTCGTCAAAAGGCGTAGCTGCTATGAAGACTACGAAAAATTGTAACGGTCTATGTACGGCCACTAGTTACATAGTCTCATAGTTATGCGAATGACGTACTAAACCAAATGTATGACAATCAATAAATAATAGCCTATTAGGCCAAGCTTTTGGATGTGCGTATTTCAATGATCAGTAAGTCAGAATACTGTGTCTTTTTAAGGAAATTAGGATGATGGAAAATAAACATCTAAAATACTTTATACTTTTTGCAGTTATACACTCGCGAGCAAAAATATGGAATCACCCTATTTATTCCGAGCGATCTAAATGACTTAATGACTAATAGAAGATTAATAAAAATGGCATCATTTTAAAGGTGATATTATAAACTTTAAATTGATTACCATAGATACATAATAATACATAGTTGACATAGTCATTCAGTTCTTACCGCTCGGAACACAAAGGGGTGATTCCATATTTTTGCTCGTAAGTATAGTTTTATTTAAATAGCCAGTAACTATAATAGCTATTCCATTAAATCCAAACACCTTACTTGGAAATCGTCTATAACACTGTCAGAAAAGAGAAGAGATGAGGAGAAGCCATTTTTTTTAACACGTTACGATGCTACGAAAGCTACGAAGTTCGAGAACACGCTTACAAAGACTTATGAGCTGCTTATAAAGAAAATATTAAGGGGACATGGAACTGCTGACAAGAAGCTGTTATGTATCTCCTTGGCTGAAAATATACACGAAGTATTCGCGCTACGTTGCTACGAGTATTTATTAGAGCTAATGAAAATAATTTGTGGCATAGAACTGACTGACAAAAAGCTGTTACACGTCTCCTTGGAGGTCGCGACCTAATGGCTGACAATTAACACAAAATATTCGCGCTACGATGCTACAAAAGCTACGAGACTCGAGATCTCATTCGCTATGACTTACGAATATGAGCTAATGAAAATAATTAGGGGGTATGGAATAGAACTGACTAAGAAGAAGTTGTTACGTACCAACTTGGAGGTTGCGACCCTCTAGCTGATAATTACACAAAATATTCGCGCTACGATGCTACGAAAGCTACGAGACTCGAGATCTCACTCGCTACAACTGTATGAGCTGCTAATGAAAATAATTAGGGGGTATGGAATGGAACTGACTATGGAATGGAAACTGTTACGTATCTCCTTGGAGGTTTCGACCCAGTGGCTGAAAATAACACAAAATGTTCGCGCTACGATGCTACGAAAACTACGAGGCTCGAGATCTCACTCGCTACGACTTACGGGTATGAGCTAATGAAAATAATTAGGGGGTATGGAATAGAACTAATTAAGAAGCTGTTACGTACCCCCTTGGGGGTAAATACCCACTGGCTGAAAATTACACAAAATGTTCGCGCTACAATGCTACGAAAGCTACGAGCCTCGAGATCTCACTCGCTACCACTTACAAGTATGAGCTGCTATTTTTAATCCTACCTTTCTGTTTGAAATGTGTGTTCCTGTTATTCAAATAAACGTTTATCTATCTGCTAATGAAAATAATTCGTTCGTTCGTTTCAGCCGAAAGACGTCCACTGCTGGACAAAGGCCTCCCCCAAGGATTTCCACAAACACCGGTCCTGCGCCGCTCGCATCCAGGCGCCTCCCGCGACCTTCACCATGAAAATAATTAGGGAGTATGGAATGGAACTGAGTAACTAGAAGCTGTTACATGTCTCCTTGGAGGTCGTAACCTACTGGCTGACAATCTACACAAAATATTCGCGCTACGATGCTACGAAATCTACGAAGCTTAATAGACAGTTTGACACCATACCCCAATAATTCGAAACCACAACTTTAAAAAAAAACCCTTCATTCTGGTCTTAAAAACTTCGTTTCAGCCAAATGACGTCCACTGCTGGACAAAGGCCTCCCCCAAGGTTTTCCACAATGAACGGTCCTGCGCCGCCCGCATCCAGGCTCTTCCCGCGACCTTTACCAGATCGTCGGTCCACCTAGTAGGAGGCCTGCCCACGCTACGTTTTCCAGCCCGTGGTCGCCACTCGAGAACTTTCCTGCCCCAACGGCCATCGTCTCTACGAGCTATGTGCCCCGCCCACTGCCACTTGATTTTAGCAATTCTGCGAGCTATGTCGGTTACTTTGGTTCTCCTACGGATCTCCTCATTTCTGATTCGATCACGCAGGGAAACTCCGAGCATGAGCCTTCTTATGAGGCCCATAGTAAGCGACCACGTTTCGGATCCATATGTCAACACTGGCAACACACACTGCTCGAAGACTTTCGTCTTGAGACACTGCGGTATTTCGGACATGAGTATATGGCGAAGCTTCCCAAACGCTGCCCATCCGAGTTGGATTCGACGATTGACCTCTTTCTCGAAGTTGGACCTACCTAACTGGACTGTTTGTCCCAGGTATACATAATTGTCGACAACTTCGAGTGTAGAGTCTCCAACCTTCAGAGGAGTGGGTGCAACACGGACTTAAAAACTTAATTAATTTTAAATTAACTGTAAATTACGATTTTTGGTCGCATTGTAATTGTAAAAAGTAGTTTAATTGAGTTGACAAAATAGTGACGTCACTTGTTTGTAGTGTCATACAAAATCTATGGGAGTTTCGTCTTGACAGTTTTAAAAAGTACGTCAATTGACTGGTGGTGTCATCATGTCTATTTTTAAGGAGCAAATTCAACCATTAGTCTTTACAGTATAATCTTAGTATTGAATAGGTATCTTAACCTTCATGTTGTCGACTAAAGTCAACTCTGATGTCAATTATCAGAAGTTAAAATCATCTGACGTGCATTTTTTTAGTACCTAAGCGTGAGCCTGCAAAGCCCTAGCTGAACCAAGACCCTAACCGAGTACCTATTCTCTTTTAGTCTGGGTTTCGAACCTATGCCCTTCGGCTTCTAAGACGCCACCTCTCTTATCATTACGTCACCGAGGCGGTACCTAACTAGTATTTAAATAGACGTATAACTGAAGGTATAGCGCTTAACTTTCCTTTGGTGTGAGAGGATGTTTGCAGTATGACAAAGGTCAGATCTGCTTAGTTCCGTTCACTACTGCAGGAACCTTCCACTTAACCTGCACTCTCTGTTATTTTCTTTGCTCAACTTTATTAAGGTACAAACAGACAAAAATTTATGTTCCTGATTTATTGACAGCTTATTGTAGGGTATCTAAAATCCTGGATTAAATGTTTACATGCTAAGGATAAAGAATAAAAATATGTGCTTGGAATACATAGTTTATTTCATAAATTAGTTATATTTGATGACAATTTTAAGTTAATTTTCCAAAAAAAATGTAATAACAGTGTATAGTAGTTATAGTTGTATAGATTATAGTTTATGCTGCAATTTTGAAGCATGAAGATCTTGATATTTTATTATATTTAACAATTTAAAATTTATAATGACCGGATAAGCGCACGACGAGCTACCAAATGTTTGTTAAGAGATGCTTCGAAGCCGCTGGGAATGGTTCTTTCGCCGCAATTTACGTTTGAAGGCCAGTCGCACTGGTCGGCGGAGGGGTTGAAGAACAGGTTGGCCGGGCATCTAAGAGTTACGGGCTTACCGTTACCACAAGTATAGAATTTGTCACATTCTTCATGAGCTACGAGTACACCATCAGCTTTTTCATCAGCGCAGATAATCGGCGCTAGGCTAGGGTCGTGATTGCCAGCTCCAACGTTTCCATCTCCATTGATATCGTTAGCACTGTCTTCGCTGCCAGCTTCTTCTCTGCCATTGCAATCTACATTCTCGGCCCAATCGCATGTTTCAGTGTATGGGTTGTAAACAAGATTGACTGGACAGCGGAAGGATACTGGTTTCGTGTTTCCACAAACGTAGAAATTGTTGCATATTTCGTGAGCGATCAGCACACCATCTGAACCATCTGCAGCGCAGATGGCAGGGGCTTGGCCGGGGTTACAGTTGCATGATCCATTGTTATCGTTATCATTACCACCGTTCTCATTGTTACCACTGTCGTTGTTCTCTTCGCCACCGATTATTCTGTCTCCACAATCAACGTTCTCTGGCCAGTCGCACACGCCCTTGTGAGGGTTGTACAGAAGACCAGATGGGCATGGCAGAGCGAAAGGTTTTCCTCCACCACATACGTAGAACTCGTTGCATTTATTGTGAGCAATCAATACTCCATCGGAGTCTTCGGCAGCGCAAATCTCAGGTGCTTCGTTGGGGTTACAATTACAGGGCCCGTTGTTTCCACTGTCGTTGCTATCATTTCCAGCATCACCGTTATCACTTCCACCGTTGTCATTGCTACCGCCTTCGTTATCGTTACCACCACTTTCGCCGTTAGGGATGACGCGGTCTCCACAGTCTACATTCTCAGGCCAGTCACATGTGTCAGTCTTGGGGTTGAAGAGGAGGTTGCCAGGGCAACGAAGAGTGACAGGGTTGCCTCCATTACAAACGTAGAATTTGTTGCATTTTTCGTGAGCTACAAGAACGCCTTCCGATTCATCTGCTGCACAGATTGCAGGAGCTTGACTAGGGTCACAGTTACCAGCACCAACATTGCCGTTTCCGTTATCATTTCCACCGTTATCGCTACCGCCGTTGTTGCTGTCTCCGTTGTCGCTACCACCGTTGTCGTTACCACCGTTGTTACTGTCACCGTTGTTACTGTCACCGTTGTTACTGTCACCGTTGTCATTACCACCATTGTCGTTTCCACTCTCTTCGTTACCGTTTCCACTTTCGCCATCAGGGATTACGCGATCTCCACATTCAACATTCTCTGGCCAGTCACATACGCCTTTGTGAGGGTTGTACAGAAGGCCGGATGGGCATGATATAGGGAAAGGTTTTCCTTGACCACATACGTAGAACGTGTTGCAGTTATCGTGAGCAATCAATACTCCATCGGAGTCTTCGGCAGCGCAAATCTCAGGTGCTTCGTTGGGGTTACAATTACAGGGCCCGTTGTTTCCACTGTCGTTGCTATCATTTCCAGCATCACCGTTATCACTTCCACCGTTGTCATTGCTACCGCCTTCGTTATCGTTACCACCACTTTCGCCGTTAGGGATGACGCGGTCTCCACAGTCTACATTCTCAGGCCAGTCACATGTGTCAGTCTTGGGGTTGAAGAGGAGGTTGCCAGGGCAACGAAGAGTGACAGGGTTGCCTCCATTACAAACGTAGAATTTGTTGCATTTTTCGTGAGCTACGAGAACCCCTTCTGAGTCATCTGCTGCACAGATTGCGGGAGCTTGGCTAGGGTCACAGTTACCAGCACCAACATTGTCGTTTCCGTTATCATTTCCACCGTTGTCGCTACCGCCGTTGTTACTGTCTCCGTTGTTGTTACCACCATTATCGTTTCCACTCCCTTCGTTACCATTTCCACTTTCGCCATCAGGGATTACGCGATCTCCACATTCAACATTATCTGGCCAGTCACATACGCCTTTGTGAGGGTTGTACAGAAGACCGGATGGGCATGATATAGGGAAAGGCTTTCCTTGACCACATACGTAGAACTTGTTGCAATTATCGTGAGCAATCAAAACTCCATCGGAGTCTTCAGCAGCGCAAATCTCAGGTGCTTCGTTGGGGTTACAATTACAGGATCCGTTGTTTCCACTGTCGTTGCTATCATTTCCAGCATCACCGTTATCACTACCACCGTTGTCACTGCTACCGCCTTCGTTATCGTTTCCACCACTTTCACCACCAGGGATAACGCGGTCTCCACAGTCCACATTCTCAGGCCAGTCACAAGTGTCAGTATTGGGGTTGAAGAGAAGATTACCGGGGCAACTGAGGGCTGCAGGGCTGCCACCATGGCAAATGTAGAACTTGTTACATTTTTCGTGAGCAACAAGGATGCCGTTTGAATCTTCTGCGGCACAGATTGCGGGAGCCTGGCTTGGGTCGCAGTTACCAGCTCCAACATTGCTATTTCCGTTATCATTACCACCATTTTCACTACCGTTTTCGTTACTCTCATTGTTGTTGTTACCACCATTGTTGTTTCCACTTTCCTCGTTTCCATTTCCACCACTTTCACCGTTAGGGATGATGCGATCTCCACAGTCAACGTTTTCAGGCCAGTCACATGTGTCAGTATTGGGGTTGAAGAGAAGGTTACCAGGGCAACTAAGGGCTACAGGGCTGCCACCATTGCAAATGTTGAATTTATTGCATTTCTCGTGAGCAACAAGGACGCCGTTTGAATCTTCTGCGGCACAGATTGCGGGAGCCTGGCTTGGGTCGCAGTTACCAGCTCCAACATTTCCGTTTCCGTTATCATTGCCACCGTTGTCACTACCACCGTTGTCGCTACCACCGTTGTCGCTACCACCGTTGTCGCTACCACCGTTGTCGTTATCACCGTCAGGAATGACGCGATCTCCACAGTCAACGTTCTCAGGCCAGTCACAGGTGTCAGTATTGGGGTTGAAGAGAAGGTTACCAGGGCAACGAAGGGCTACAGGGCTGCCACCGTCGCAAATGTAGAACTTGTTACATTTCTCGTGAGCAACAAGGACGCCATCTGAATCTTCTGCGGCACAGATTGCGGGAGCCTGGCTTGGGTCGCAGTTACCAGCTCCAACATTTTCATTTCCGTTATCGTTGCCACCGTTGTCACTACCACCGTTGTCGCTACCACCGTTGTCGCTACCACCGTTGTCGCTGCCACCATTGTCACTACCACCGTTGTGGCTATCACCGTCAGGGATGACGCGATCTCCACAGTTAACGTTCTCCGGCCAGTCACATGTGTCAGTATTGGGGTTGAAGAGAAGGTTACCAGGGCAAGCAAGGGCTACAGGGCTGCCACCATTGCAAATGTAGAACTTATTGCATTTCTCGTGAGCAACAAGGATGCCATCTGAATCTTCTGCGGCGCAGATTGCGGGAGCCTGGCTTGGGTCGCAGTTACCAGCTCCAACATTTTCATTGCCGTTGTCGCTACCACCGTTGTCGCTACCACCGTTGTCGCTACCACCGTTGTCGCTACCACCATTGTCGTTACCATTTCCACCGCTCTCGCCATCAGGAATGACGCGGTCTCCACAGTCAACGTTCTCAGGCCAGTCACATGTGTCAGTATTGGGGTTGAAGAGAAGGTTACCGGGGCAACTGAGGGCTGCAGGGCTGCCACCATTGCAAATGTAGAACTTATTGCATTTCTCGTGAGCAACAAGGATTCCATCTGAATCTTCTGCGGCACAGATTGCGGGAGCCTGGCTTGGGTCGCAGTTACCAGCTCCAACATTTCCATTTCCGTTATCATTGCCACCGTTGTCGCTACCACCGTTGTCGCTACCACCGTTGTCACTACCACCGTTGTTGCTATCACCGTCAGGGATGACGCGATCTCCACAGTTAACGTTCTCCGGCCAGTCACATGTGTCAGTATTGGGGTTGAANAATAACGACACTTATAAACCGTTGCACCGTTTGAATGACAGGAATGTCATGTCAGTTAGCGGAGTGAAGTGCGTAACATAAGCGAACCAATCACAGAATTCTATTCAACACTCTGATTTTGCATAGTCAAGGGTCGTTTAAGTATTGTTTATGAATTGAAAGGCTTGTCATATGGAACGCATTGAGAAATGTCTCATTTCGCATAGCGTTGCTGCTTTGCATAGGTAAGTATCGTTTGTGAATACGGGTGTTAAATCTTAATCATTAATATTTACTGCGTCAATACTGTCATTTTAACGAAGGTTTAAACCCAAGCTGCCTCGTGTCTCTCAAATGTTGTCAGAGGGTCCCCGTGACCCTTGATTAATTATGTATCGAGTTCAGAAGAATTCAGTAAGCCAATAAATCTCCGAGCCTTTCTTGCCTCCTCCTTTTGCTAATTTATAAATAATAAAACACATCACCAGTATTGGGCGAAGCGATTCCTATTGACTTTTGACAATTTGAGATATCGCTCCGAAGTAACATTTTCGGAGGTTTTTTGAGTTTTGTTAGGGGTTAGGACTTTTAAACGCTTTGATCAGGAAGTTAGCAATTGTTCCCAAATTACCTACTTACATCTTTAGTGCTTAAAAATGATATTTAATCCCATTTTACAATCAGTCATGTAACCCAATCATCCAAAACTGAAACTTTTCAAACGATATGTATAGGTATATTTTTTGGGTACGAAGACGATAAGTATTGTTAGACAAAGAAAATAGTTTTTTTAAAAACTATTTTCTTATATTATTAAAAAATGGGATTGCGCTGATCTTATAGATATTTCTGAATAAGTTTCTAGGTGAATTAACTTACAGTTGAATATTAATTTCGATAATTTTATATAATAGGTACAATTTAAATTTAACCTCTGTTATTGAAACTTAACATGTGAAATTCATTTGAAACTTTAAAGAGCTGTAAATTAATAAATTCATTGGAAAATTCCATAAGCCGATCAGTTTCCAAAATACGTAGGAATACTGGAAAATTTATTTCCAGTTCGTTCCCACAATATCCGCAGTCCGTAGTCAATCATTCGTAACAGGCGTATTAATGTACGCATATGCCACAGCCTACAAAGAACAGCTTCGTCTAATCTACCGTCACCGACGATTTATCATTATATCTAGCTGCTCTACAATACCTGGATTTTATTAATAACAGATATGCAGCTATAGTTTTCTAAGCAAATAGGATTCCATCCTTAGTTTCTTTACTGGAAATAGAGTACTTTTTTGCTTATTGGTATCAAATATTAGGTTAGGTAACGTTAAAAAAAAACAAAACACAGCTATAAAATTGATGACTGTTGTTTGTAGAGTACCTTTCTTTGCTATTCGCGCTGTTCCGTTCTGTAGCCGTTCTGGCTTATCTACTTAGTCTGTGTAACGATATTTGCGGTGAGATTTTTCTCATTACCTGCGCAAATTGCGTCCATAATTATGCGGACGGGTCGCCGTCCATCCGGATACGAACCGATTTGTAGAGCATTGTCCTGTTAATTAACTTACACCCTTATTGTTATTCTTAAACGGGTTAATATGTGATAATAGGCATGCTAATTATATGACAACTGAGGTGGAATTGTGTAAAGTAATCGTAATCATTTGACAGTTCATAACGTACGATTATTCTGTCAAACGCTTTGTTTAACTGACTTAATCGTACGTTATGAACTGTCAAATGATTAGGTACGATTGTTTTACACAATTCCACCTCTGCTCTGGTATCCAATCCTAAAAGAAGTGGTGATATAAAACAATATAAGTATTAGCTATTTTTAGTAGTAATATTTATGGTTACGTGGCAGAAAGACTTCAAGGGTATGTTTTGTATTCCAGAGTTCGGTCAATACATTTTTTGTGTGCATGAACATAATATCTAAAGGCACGGGGTCTCTATCAGAAGGAACTCTAGGGGTGGAATCTCCATAGGCGTGGGTTAACGGGCAAGGAGATAATATCTTGGATGGTTGACAATCACTTTTCCTACAATTTAACGTTCCACCAAACTCAACACGCTCTCAAAGATAACCTCGTAGCCGCTTGCTCACACTTGACATGACACAACTGATTGACAGTTATCTTTTTCTGCGCATCAGTTGGGTGTTACGTTTAGGAATCACAAACCTTCCGCTCTACAGATTTATACAGATAACATAATATTAAGATTGGTAGGTACTATTAATCATCAATAATAATTGCAGCATCTGTGTCCGGCGCCGACATATCTGTTTTTATTATGTAAGTAGTTATACATAGTTATTCTCTAGTTAGAGACTAGGACATAGAAGTCTCTGAATTTAATTTTATAGCGAAATGGGATACAACTCAGAAGTCGAATTCACTCACACGTCCCTTGTGTAGCAAGAAACTACTAACTAAGATTTCTCTGAAATTAGTTTGCTAGTTAGATTGAAAGTTTTAAAACAGGATTATGTATGATTCAATGTCTGGATACCAAGGATCGAAGGTGAAGGTCGGTCTTTATGGACATTTGACTGAAACGAACGAACAAATGATATAAAGGCCGTGCATACAACGTTTTTCCAAAAACTGAGTTTATAAGTATAAATTGACAACTTGATTTGCATTTTATTGCACTTGTCATTGAAGCTGCAACAAGTCAAGACTAAGTTGCACCATCTTTCTTAAACATTATCAAACGTAAAGTTTGTCAAACTCCATACAAAATACGCCGTTTATCGTTATAGTTACGGTTAAAGTTAGGTGGTGCAACTCAGCCTTAGGCTGTATGCACCATTTTTCTTAAACATTAACAAACGTCAAGTCTGTCAAACTCCATACAAAAACACCGGTTTTAGTTAAAGGTCACAGTTGAAATAAGATGGTGCAACTCAGCCTTATTGCATTTACTTTGTTCTCTGTCTGTTATATCTCTGTTTAGTTTTGTCATTTCTTGTTCTTGTCTTAGAACACGTGTAACCAATCTATTTTATTGCCAACCGTACAAGTTACAACATTCTTCCCTCCGAACTTGATGCTGGCTAAAACAAAGAGCAATTAAACTGAGGTTCGTTCCTCAGAGGTAACAGGTAGCTATATAAATCTCTGTAAGGGAATTAGAGGAGGATGTCAAACGACCTCTCTGGGGAGTGTCCACACTACCTGTTTTGTAAACTAGTATTTTGTGACTCTTGTTACGTTGTGTTAAGGTTTATAGTTAATAGTTTGTTTGTTGTGGATTTTAGGAAAATTATGCCCGTGAATAGGGCAGGAATTGGTTTACAGTGTTTGTGTAACGTCTTGTGTAAAACGGTATTGCGGTTTCATTCGAACTGGGCGATTTTAACTGAAACCGTTATTCGAATGATTCAATTATTCGCTTGCCTTTGAATAAAAGTTGATTGTATGTTATGTGTTTGATGACTTCAATGAGCATTCTGTCGTGTGTTATTCATCTTTTTTACATAGATAAGCGACAACTATATAACGACAAAGTTACAATTTTAAAGTTTCAGAGACAAATACAATATCTGCGAATAAACTTTTTACTAGACTTTTAACCAATTTAAGAAATGAATAGATAAAGATAGGTACCTACAATATACAACATACACAGACAGGCTATTAAAATTCACACAAAGGAACAACTTATTTTACCATTTATTTACCCAAAACCCAAAACATAAAGGGAAACCTTGCTATACGTATGTTTATTCACACAATAAAACCTTTTATATACTTAATGTTTTTGTTTCAGAAACAAAAGCCGAAATCTTATAAATACACAATCAGGGATAATACACGAGGATTGCTACAAAAAGAAAGAGGAGCATTCCCGATACATTGAGCGAAACCGAATTATCCAAAAGCTTCTGAACTTAATAAAACGCAATGAGAATACGATATTTTCTCCTTCGATGTGATTACGCAGTGAACAAACAAATTGATGTTGGTATTTTTTGTAACAGAACTCATATTAAGAATACCAATAAGCCTGGTATAAGAAGAAGCGTCACGCTTTTACTTGTAAGTTTGAATGCTCTGCGCTGGATATGTTTTCTGTAACGACAAATCATACCTACCGTACGTTATGAACTGTCAAATAAATACGATTGCCTTACACAATCACACTAGATCTACTATTTATAATTCATGAGAATTTCATGGAAAGCTTTTTATCATTATCTCCAAAAACCTCATAGTATTTTTGTATTTTCTGTGTAAAACTAAAACTTTAAGTAATAAAATACCTTGCGTACCTACCTACTCGTGTTTGTTTGTAGCCACAGGTAGAGCAAAGGCAAAATACACTCGGCATCAAATAAATCGCACCTCCCATGACAAGCACTTATCAAACGTATGCATCCCCACTTCCCACCAACATTGGTACCATTTGAAAGCCTAGTTCTAAACTTCATTTCATTAAAAAGGAAAGGTTTTTACCCCAAAAATGTGTCTTTACAAGGATCCAGAGTCACTTCTTCAAAAAATAGGTAGTTACGCTATAGCCATTTTTTATGACTATAAAACTGTTAAGTTGGGATTAATCCCTATCCATCTGTTAAAGAGGACACGTGAGATCTTTATTTGGTTTTATAACCATAAAAATTGGTCTAATTGATCCCAGAGGTGAGGCCAAAGTGAGGTCTATTTTCAAGTCACATTTATGGAAAATGTTAATCATTTATTTATAAATGAAATGTATTTTTCTTTAAGGATATTTATTAGGCTTTCAATTAACACCAATATTGTTGGGGTACCATGATTGTGTCAGAAGAAAATCTTTAAAGTTCGCGTCGCGGAAGGTGCGGTTTATTTGATATTGAGTGTATATAAAATAAAGTTTCAGGGTAAGTTTATAGGCCAGTAGTTTCCCCCCGCATGAAACTTCACTGTGCCC